ACACATATTTTCATCGGGGTTCGATTCCCTACATGGGCACAATATGAGAGGCCGATTTCTAGTGTCCCCGTTGGACATTGCTGGAATATCGCTAAAGAACCATACTCACTCACTCACTCACTCGTTTTCCAACCGTTGATATCTGAACCTAGTACACTATTACTTCAAAACAACACCTCTAGCAATGTATAAGGTATCAATCACAATCCTACAGCACATTTCCTGGCATGACTTCACAATGGAAGGCTGCTAATAGACCATGTAAAGGCCAATGAGTACAAACCATTTTTACTGTCCCATTTATGGTGGTTAAGAGTACATACGAGGGGCAATCAAACAGTTTTGACCCTAAACTACTTTTGATATGTGCATGATAAAAATAACAGCATGATATTGAAGAACGGTTTATATCATTTACATAGACGTATCATTGACATGCAGCAAGTCACAAGTCACATGTACCCCTATTGAAACGGCAGAAATGGATAAGCTTCAGTACAGAGCACACTGAAGAGCGATGAGCGATTGACAGCAGAACGAGTACTGAGTCGCTACGGGACATTTATTGTCACAAAACAACAGACAGAGAATGTTACTTAGATGCAAATTCACTGAAAGGGAACCTGTGTGTGTGTGTGATAAACATCCCCCATACCATAGGTTAAATTAACAGGAAGTTAAAAGAAAAGGATTTATGGCGGAATTGTGATGTTTTTCTGTTTTGTCTTTAACAATGAAGTAAACGTCACTGAAAATGTATACGCATGATCCTCAGTTAAACAGTGTATCATACTCAAAATGTGATCTGGATCTGGTTATCTTAGCTGCGTTTAGGAACTGACCTCGCAATCTCCATGTTGTTAACTGAGGTAAGTCAGAATCAGAATAGTATGGTTGGATGGTTATCACATGTGTGTGCACGTGCTTGCGCGTGGGCATGTTTTAGTGCGTCACTGATACTTTCGTTGCTATTTGAGGAAGATATTTAACAGTCTATAAGCGCAGGATTCAGTATTACCGCTAAAAGCCACAAGCACCGAGTCAAACTCTATAATTTGACACCCCAGAGCTGATTACAAATATACATAACGATACATGTAGAAACTGTAATTGTGATGACAAATGGACGACAAATGTCACGATCATGCCTCGTCATACATCGTCGATTTGTTTGAAAGAGTTTATCTCCACTTATTGATTTACCACATCAAATGTGCAATGCCCACGCAACCGTATTTAGTCTTTGCAAACAATATGTTCAACATGTAGATACGTTTGTCAACAGGGACAAAAACTCTTCTCAACCACAAAAGAATGATACACACAATATTATGCGGTTATACAGTACAGTACAACGTGTATATATTGGAGATATGTGCAAAATATTCTATTAATTATTGTAGGTGAGAGACAAACTCAGCCAGGTACAGTCATGTCCAAGTTTTTGTATACATCCTTCATAGCAAAAATTAAGAGACACATCCGATAGTTAGCCACACTGGTAATATCACTGAGAAGATGTATCTCTAAAGTAAAATTGTCTGTATCGGTACGACAACGCCAGACCCCATACAACCAGCATTGTGCAGGGCATCGTTGCAGTCAACAACACCAACGTTTTGCGGTGGCCTGTACTCTCTCCGGACATGTCCCCCATAAAACACCTCTGGGACGCCAGACCCATGAAGATCCGGGTTAGAACTGATCTTCAGCAACCCAGCCTTGTCGTAAGAGGCGACTACAGGGATCGCGTGGTCAGGCCAGTGACTGGGTTGACACATGTCATCGGTTCCCAAATGCCTAGATCGATGCTCATGCTGTTGATCACTGGATTGTCTGGTCCAGGCTCGATTTTTTACAGACCGCCACCATATAGCTGGAATATTTCTGAGTGCGGCGTAAAACTAAACCAACTCACTCACTACAAGACGTCACCAGACAACTGACCTTTTCTTTTGGGCGAATAGGTTTTAAGTATCTTGTAGCAGGGGATTGCCATACACTCTACGTATGTGTCGTGTCCTTGAACTTATGCGATTTTAGATTTTAGAACTATTTTTGTATCTCACCTCAATCCGGGCCTGTCATGGCAAAATCGGTTGCTGAATGACTCTCCTATTACATGTTCGTTTTGTTCAGATTTGGACCATCAACACATGTTACTAAGCCTATCTATCATTTTATAAATAGATTGATTTAGAAGTATGGTAAAGTGTTTTTATATTAGTCTTTATTCGTCTTTGAAACAGTATCTCATAGTGTACCGATCAGTGTTACAGCATTATTATTTCTGTAATACCATATTGCATAACATTCAATTTGAGTGCATAAACATTCAATTTGAGTCTGTCGTCTTTGAAACAGTATTTCATCGTGTACCGATCAGTGTTACAACACTATTAAATCTGAAATACCATATTGTATAACATTCAATCTGAGTCTGTCGTCTTTGAAACAGTATCTCATGGTGTACCGATCAGTGTTACAACGTTATTATTTCTGTAATACCATTTTTGTATAACATTCAATTTGAGTCTGTTGTCTTTGAAACAGTATCTTCTTTCAGCAAATCCTAATCGTACATGCATTAGTTTTTCCTAGCCATCGGTGAATGTGCCGGCATTTTATATTTGCTACTTTTCTACATAAATCGTAAATTATATAGTATGACCAGAAATTATTGAGAATGTTAGGAATATGTTTAATTTGATTTCTAGTATAAACAACCTTGACCAGCTATCAAGTGCTTGGTTTCATTCAAGAGAGACAAATCCGTTAATCTTTTTTCATTAGTTTGCCCCTTTGTTTACTTGCTAGCAGACGACATTTTCAGTGATCCTCAGTATGGATGATTTAGAGGACGTTGATATTAAAGTATTATAACAAAGAAATCAGATCAGCTAAAGTGATTTCAAGTAGAACAGACATCCCTTTGTCCACTGTTTATCGTGTTTTGAAAAATATTGCAAATGGATATGGCATTGAGCACCAGGGAGGCGTAGGTAGGCCCAGAAAATTGACTGTCGGTGACAGGAGGCGGCTTGGTATTCTTGTTTTGAAAAACAAACGAAGGAGTTTAGAAAACTTAAGGCTGGATATGATTGATAGAGGAACTGTGGCTGTCTGTAAGGAGACAATTAGAACTGAGCTGCATGCAATGGGTTGGCAGGAAAGTCGAGGAATTCCATCACCGATCATGAAACCTGAACAAAAGGAGCGAAGGTTGAACTGGTGCTTACAGCATAGAAATTTTAACTGGGACAATGTGATATTCTCAGATGAAAGTTCTGTGTGGCTGTTTCCTAATACACTGAAATTCTGGACCAAACAAACTGAAAAACCTTTGTATCAGCGCCCAAAGTACAGTCCGAAGGTGGCATATCTGTGTTAGGGGCAACGCCCCTCTGTGTATTTGAAGGGAATATGATTTTCCAGCAGGACAACGGCCAAAACATCGTTCAAAGCATTCAAAGGGCCTGGTTTCGGACGCAAAATATGACATTATTAGATTGGCCAAGCTATAGCCCTGACCTAAATCCAATAGAAAATGTTTGGGGACTTATGAAGGAAAGTGTCAATAAGAAAAATCTGACAAATATTGCTGAAATTTAAGAAGAGAAGAAGTTAGAAAGTCGTGGTCCATGCTGTCCCAATATCGGACCACCATGGACCACGACTTTCTAACTTCTTTGATCAGTAGTATGCCCCGCCGCATTGAAGCCTGCATTGCTGCCCATGGTGACTTGACAAAATACTAACTGTTCACCTGTCTTTGAATCTGGAGTTATGTTCTGCTAATATTCACATTTAACGCGTGAGTAATGAGTGAAAAAAAATAAAAAATAACAATCTTTAAATTCTCAATCATTTCTGGTTGTACTATATGTCCCTCCTCTTTAATGTCCAAATACATCACCAACATAAATGCACTTCGCAGTTCTGAAATTCATTTCCCTATGATATCATCCACTCATACATCGTAAATCTCGCCATTTTTTCACAATACTAAATCACCTTTCACGTCCGTTTGGCGTAATTCAGTGTATGTTTTTATCTGAATATCAAATCTTTACTTGGAAAATTGAAAAATGAAAATCCCATATTACTGTGGTCACGGGTATTTGTTGGTGTTGGTGGTGGTTGTGTTCTTTAATAATGAGTTTGTAATGCTAGTATTATGCATTGTAAACCAAACGTCACTGCGTTCTTTAATCTGATTGGTTGATAAACATGATCAAATGGTATTCGATTCCCGGAAATTCGCTGCGTATTAATACATACAAACATCGCTCACACCATTGTATTGTTGCGTCGTCAGCTGAGATGACGTCATTCAAATCATATTGTGACGTAAAGTCCGAATGACGTCACAAATGAGCAGTTCCAGATGCTACCAGACAGCCGAAACGGCCGGCTGATGACATTGCACTGCTGTACCCGTACTCTATGTCAATGAGTGCAGACACAAAAGCGTGTGTGGACCTTTTGGTTTACTTTTGTGTTTACAATGTCGATAAACATCATGTGTTGGCCAATTTCCGGGTGTTATTGAGTATTTGAAGCACGGGAATATTTCATTTGAAACCTCCGGCTGACGCCGTCGGTTCCAAATGAATTCCCGTGCTTCAAATACTCAATAACACCCGGAAATTGGTCAACACATGATGTTTATCTCCTAATTGATACATATGTATTGTAATTCGTGGATGAATGTGCGAGGTATCAGCAGCTTCGTATTTATACACGCAGACCATCACTTTTACAAACCATAATCGTTGATATATGTTGATATGACAAATGTTAATATAATATATTATTATCAAAATACTGTATTGTTAAATAACCTGAACCGTTACGGCTTTGTCGATCATTGAAAAGATAAGTACATTTGTATCTAGGTATAATCAAAACAGCGAAAACACACAGACACACACGTCTTTCCAGCGCTATGTTAAAATGGTTGAGTCTCGTAGGAAACACAAAATCATAAAACAAGGAAAGACAGACATTCTGTTTTATTTCAGACCAAGACGGTAACCAAACTCAACAATGACGCATTAGTTGAATCCATATACATTACACATATATCTATGTATTGATACATAGTAATCATTCAAAACATCAGTTCTTTATGATCATAAGCTTGTACACACACATTGTTTATCAAAAGAGCCTGGCACTATCTCACTGTATTTGCAAGTTATATTTGAGAGGGGCGGTGGGGTAGCCTAGCTATACTCAGTCAGTATATTTGAGAGAATATTTCTTTCATGGAATTTGAGAATGAAATATTAGAATGCACACGTTAGGAGAGGGATGAGAATATGTCAGGGTAGTCATTACACACAGCTGTGAATTGTGGTTCGAATCTTGTTCTTTAGAAATCCTCGCACGATTTTATTAAAGACGACCACTCTAAAGCAAAATGTGTTAAGGACAAAATATACGTAATTATGCATACACAAATAAATACATGTTATGGATTTTATGCACAGTGAGAGCTATAAGACGGTTATGAAAAAATCTGTTAAACAAACAAAACTGTAATCTTCAAACAGTACAAGTAATACCAAGCTGATAAATTAATTCCATTTAATTCCATTAATTCATTAACATCCATTTATAAATGTTTAACAAGGATAAAATCAAAATCATTGTCGTTCACATTGGTACTGTACATCGGGACTTTGTAATGTACATTCATAATTGGGGAATCATAGCCGAGGAAGATTTACACATATATTGGGGCATAGTCAGTTGAAGACACACAATACGATATATGTTAGAAATAGAAGTACATAATTATGTCAGACCAAAACAAAATACATAGCCCATACAGTTTTGTTTTAATATCTGCGCGAGGCAGTTAATACTATTATAAGGTTGAATCGTCATCAATCAGCTTATCCGTGTCAGCACTGACTCCACCTCGTGCACGTCATCGTCAACACCTTTCAGCTCCACCATCCCCGTCGCCCACGTGATGGTGATGTCCATGGGCATGCTCTCAAGTGATCGTTTAACGCTCTGAATCTGTATTGTCACACGAAAGAAGTTGATATCGTAGATTAAACCTCCTTTTAACATTCATAACTTTTTCTTTAACTCAACTTAGTGGTGTATATTAATACGTTTCATTACGATTTTTCAATAATGCATAATTTAGATATTTAACAACTGAGAAAGGTTCTAAACATTAACTCCACATGTCACAGTTTCACTTAATCACTAGGACAAATCGCACTGGTAATGAATACATGGCAATGGAACATGGATTATCTGTTAGATTGTGGCTGTATGTAACAGTGTGACACTTTCCTACATCTGCCATCAAGTCCGGTAAAGAGTACCTGATGCTATAATACAGTACCCGATCACAGAATACAGTACCCGACTACGGAATGCAGTATCCGATGCTTGGATACAGTACCTGATCGCAAAATGCAGTACTCGATCACAGAATATAGTACCCGATCAAGGAACACAGTACCTGATGCTAGGAAACAGTACCCGGTCACAGTATACAGTACCCGATCAATGAACACAGTACCCGGTGCTATAATACAGTACCCGATCACGGAATACAGTACCGGATTACGGAATACAGTACCCGATGCTATAATATGGTACCCGAACAAGGAATACAGTCCCCGATGCTAGGATCCAGTACCCGATTACAGAATACAGTGCCTAATGCTATTATACAGTACCCAATCACAGAATACAGTACTCGATCAAGGAATACAGTACCCGATCACAGAATACAGTACTCGATTAAGGAATACAGAACTCGATCACAGAATACAGTACCCGATCAAGGATAACAGTACCCGATCACAGAATACAGTACTCGATCGAGGAATACAGTACTCGATCACAGAATGCAGTACCCAATTAAAGAATACAGTACCCGATCAAGGAATACAGTACTCGATCAAGGAATACAGTACTCGATCGAGGAATACAGTACTCGATCACAGAATGCAGCACCCAATCAAGGAATACAGTACCCGATCAAGGAATACAGTACTCGATCAAGGAATACAGTACTCGATCAAGGAATACAGTGCTCGATCACAGAATACAGTACCCGATCAAGGAATACAATACCCGATCAAGGAATACAGTACTTGATCAGGGAATACAGTACTCGATCCCAGAGTACAGTACCCGATTACGGAATACAGTACCTGATGCTAAGATACAGTACCCAATCACAGAATACAGTACCCGATCACGGAATACAGTACCCGATTATGGAATACAGTACCCGATGCTATAATATGGTACCCGATCAAGGCATACAGTCCCCGATGCTAGGATCCAGTACCCGATTACAGAATACAGTGCCTAATGCTATTATACAGTACCCGATCACAGAATACAGTACTCGATCAAGGAATACAGTACTCGATCACAGAATACAGTACTCGATCAAGGAATACAGTACTCGATCACAGGATACAGTACCCGATCAAGGATAACAGTACCCGATCACAGAATACAGTACTCGATCGAGGAATACAGTACCTGATGCTAGGATACAGTACCCGATCACAGAATACAGTACCCGATCAAGGATAACAGTACCCGATCACAGAATACAGTACTCGATCAAGGAATACAGTACTCGATCACAGGATACAGTACCCGATCAAGGATAACAGTTCCCGATCACAGGATACAGTACCCGATTACGGAATACAGTACCTGATGCTAGGATACAGTACTCGATCACAGAATACAGTACTCGATTACGGAATACAGTTTCCGATGCCATGATACAGTGTATGATCGCGGAATACAGTACCCGATGCTAGGATACAGTACCCAATCAGAGAATACAGTAATCGATCAAGGAATACAGTACCTGATGCTAGGGTACAGTACCCGATCACAGAATACAGTACCCGATTACGGAATAGTCTCCGATGCCATGATACAGTGTATGATCACGGAATATAGACCCTGATACTAGGATACAGTACCCGATCACAGAATACAGTACTCGATCAAGGAATACAGTACCTGATGCTAGGATACAGTACCCAATCACAGAATGCAGTACTCGATCAAGGAATACAGTCCCCCATGCCAGGATCCGGTACCCGATTACAAAATACAGTACTTAATGCTATAATACAGTACCCGATCACAGAATACAGTACCTGATCACAGCCTACAGTATCCGATGCTAAGATACAGTACCCGATCACAGAATACAGTACCCGATCACAGCCTACAGTACCCGATGCTAGGATACAGTACCCGATCACAGAATACAGTACCCGATGCTAGGATACAGTACCCGATCATAGAATACAGTACTCGATCAAGGAATACAGTACCCGATGCTAGGGTACAGTACCCGATCACAGGATACAGTACTCGATTACGGAATAGTCTCCGATGCCATGATACAGTGTATGATCACGGAATAAAGACCCTGATACTAGGATACAGTACCCGATCACAGAATACAGTACTCGATCAAGGAATACAGTACCTGATGCTAGGATACAGTACCCAATCACAGAATACAGTACTCGATCAAGGAATACAGTCCCCCATGCCAGGATCCAGTACCCGATTACAAAATACAGTACCTAATGCTATAATACAGTACCCGATCACAGAATACAGTACCTGATCACAGCCTACAGTACCCGATGCTAAGATACAGTACCCGATCACAGAATACAGTACCCGATCACAGCCTACAGTACCCGATGCTAGGATACAGTACCCGATCACAGAATACAGTACCCGATGCTAGGATACAGTACCCGATCATAGAATACAGTATTCGATCAAGGAATACAGTACCCGATGCTAGGATACAGTATCCAATCACATAATACAGTACCCGATTACGGAATACAGTCCCCGATTACAAAATACAGTACCTAATGCTATAATACAGTACCCGATCACAGAATACAGTACCTTATCACAGCCTACAGTACCCGATGCTAGGATACAGTACCCGATCACAGCATACAGTACCCGATGCTAGGATACAGTGTCTGATCACGGAATACAGTATCCGATCAAGGAATACAGTACTCAGTCGCGGAATACAGTACCTGATCAGGGAGTACAGTACTTGTTACAATAATATAGCACCCGACCAAGGATTATAGTACTCAAACACGGTATACAGTAATCGATCACAGTCACGGAATACAGTACTCGATCACAGTGTACAGTACCCGTTCACGGAATACAGAACCCAGTCACGACATACAGTACCTGAGAGGGTGACATATTCTTCAGCCTCTTTTCTTCAAACGTCCTCGTCACTATGCGAATGTCACAGATACCTTCTACTGCTTTAAACGCTCGACGTAGAACATCTTCTGTTTCTGAATACACTGTAATGTCGGCTTCACCGTCCATGGCGGTCTTCGCGAACACTTGCTCCACAGTCCCGACTGACGGAAGAGGAGGATATTTACGTTACACTCACAAGCTTAAAACCATTTTAAATTTTACATTTTAATACCAATGTAAAAGAATATATTCATGTATTAAGATAAAAAGATTATAAAACGGTTACTAGACATTATTTTATGTTAATTTCAAAATTTGGATCAAATTTCAAATTTCCTTTTATAAGATAATGCCTCAATAAATGATCGCTGTATGCCACTGTCAGCAGTAGTCTAGCGATATAATCTGGTCTGTCAATAATGGATCTTTGCCAGGCAAGGCAATGATTGGTTGCATCAGCATATTTTACCCTTGTCTGGTTCGATGACTCGCTATCGGCTGGTTAAACCTTTGTGACCCATAATTATCATATGCGTTTGCTCTTACGCAAACCTTCCATTTTGGGATTCATTTTAGTACGGGAAAAACAATAACCAGGTCCAGCTTCGACCTCCAATATGGTTAGGAACATGTATGGTGATAGTGTTACCTGTTGTGCTTCCACTGTTTGTCTTGGTAAAGTGTCTGTGGAGGAGGTCGGTCCAGAGACACCGCCAGACAACAGACCTACAGGAACATACATCATATAAGTAGAATAGCTCGTTAAACATTATAGTGATGTGATCAAGTGTTCTGTGAAAGGACATTTTATTCAAACAGTAAGCGGCCGTCAAATACTTAATAACAACCGCAATTCTGAAACCACACGCCATTATCGACATTGCATATACTATAAAAAAATGTAGCACAAGCATTGTTTATGAAGGCTGTAAGAGAGATATGACGTCGAAATACATTGTCTGGTGCCATGTCTTCAGTTGGCTGAATCATCTGGGCAAACTGCTTGACATGTAGTTTCATTGCATACATAAATAGTACTTTTTCTGTTTGCGGTTGGTAAAAGAGATTTTTTGGAAGACATTCGTTTCTTAAAATATGTTTCTAGGTTCGAACCTTAATTGAAACACTGGATTGCCACCACGCTATTCGCTGTATGATCACACCATTTTCACCAATTATGCTGTTAATCACTGGATTGTCTGGTCCAGACACGGTTAGTCATATAGCTGACATGTTGCTGAGTGCCGCGTTAAACAACAAACCAAACAAGTCCGATGTTATAAACACGCACACGTCGAGTCGTGTCGGCGCTGTCTACCCCGGTTATAACCATGAAAAAATAGTATACATATAAACAAAGTCAACACAGATGTGACGATATATATACTCATGGAAACAAATTAAGGAACACATGAAAGGACATGTGTTCCTTTATGCTTTTCCTGCTTTTCACCCACAGTGCAATACAAACCATGCAAAGAAACCGAAAGATGTTGTTTTCATGTGTTCCCTTTTTGTTACCATGAATATATCAACAGAACGAATTATTGAATCATTGAGATAAGACAGACTCACCTTCAATATCCTTGTGGCCAATGAGCGCCTCCAAGTGTGAACAAAACAAGGTATGTGTAGTTGCGTCGCTGCTGATGAAGCTGATGTCGGTGAGAGAGCACTTCTTCTTCTCGATGTCCCTCAAGCATCTCACCAGCAGCTTCGGCATTTTCTCGAGTGGAAGTTTCCCATCACCTGCCACGATTATCAGAAGTTGACCATTAAGATGTTTCCAATTTTCGGGGCTTATTTTAAAAGTAACTAGATTTTACGGGACACTATCATTTGCAGAAGCCAAGATCTGCCATTTAATCTCCGACGACGCAGGGTAGTTGTACAAAAGGAGGCCGTTGATTTGCAAGAGCCAATGACGCCAGTGACGTCAGATAAAAACGGAAGAGATAGCAGCCTGTCGTACTGTTGATGATGTTACTATTTACACAAACAAGTTATTAGATTTGTGTAGATGTACACATTTCATATATTTTGACAAGACGTGTTGATTGTGTACAGAAACTAGACTACTTTCATTCCGCCTAAATATACTTGCTTTCGAAAGTTTAGACTCACTAGTGTAAATATATAGCAACTTACTTCAGGCAATAGTTCTAAACTAAATTTTGCAAAATATTCCATACCGTTTAAAGGTACTGTTTACACATGAACTGATGTATTGTAAATTTGTAACGTTGAAAATATTATTGTCATGAGTTCAATACATGATAAAAATCAGTGAAAATTGGCGAATTCTTAACTTTTGAAAGGAAGTATATAAACCGAAACCACCATTCACACTATACGTAACTACTACGACAAATACAAGCCAGAAATGGTTTTCCATTAATAAATAAGTTACAACACTGATTCATCCATAGCATAGAGTTATAATATTATTCAAACGACTCTTATCTCTTTAATTTTTTTCTCACCTGTTCCAAACTCTGGAAATGCGATCGATGTGAAACAGTTCTCAGTCGCAACTTTCAAACATGCTTTGATGACGTCTTTCCAGTTGCCATTGAAACGGTCAACGCCGATGTGCATGATGATGTCGGCAGGGATGTTTGGTGCCGTTGTCATGGCAATTCCTTTTCTCCTTCATTTGACCAGCTGGAATGACATACAGCTCTCTCACTGAACCGGCTAGGACGGAGTAGTATGACCACACAGCTATACCAGGACGTCTACTTATGGCTGACCCATCTAATAATCCATTCAACCATGTATATGAAAAATATATGTTAAAGATAGGATCTCCTCTTTTACGAGTATCCCCACTTAATATCAGGATATTGTGATATCAGGTGTCGTGTTGTCCTGTGCATAGAGCTCAGGTCTCAATCAGTTGAAGATAAGCAAGGTTGAGTGCTGAGACCGGATGGGTGACCGTGTCTGACAACTTGACTCCTGAGAGTTCCTAGGACTTCAGTCATGTCCTACCACGAAGCACGTGATACATGTGGTCTCACCTTAGGTAAGTGAGTTTGTTCAAAGTTGCATCTGTTCACCCAGCAGAAAATGGGTACCCGGTGGGATAAATCGTGAGACTATTAACCTTCTAGCGCCTAACAGGCAGCTTGTTTTATCCGGGGTAATAATGATCAGATTGTGCGCTTTGAGCAGGATATCTAGCGTTATAATATTCTCATTATATTGACCCTCTTTGTGTCTCACTCACTAACCCACCAACCCTCACTCACCTGTCAGCTGGCACTGAAGTTCTAGGTCCTTACCGCACGCCACACTCAGAGGGCTTGACAGTATACCTGATAATTAGTCAGAAAATATAGTTGTTAAATAAATCTACTTAGTCGTTTCACAGTTCCAAATCGCTATCAGTACCCAATGCTCCTTAGTACTGTTATGGATTAGATACAAGTAACTGTAAGCTGAGTAATCACAACAGGAATACTTCCATACTGTCACTAATACCCACCCGTGAAGGTCCGAGTTAGAATGAATCTTCAGTAACCCATGCTTGTCGTAAGAGGCGACTAACGGGACCGGGTGGTCAGGATCGCTGACTTGGTTGACACATGTCATCGGTTGCCAATTGCGCAGGTCGATGCTCATGCTGTTGATCACTGGATTGTCTGGTCCAGACACGATTATTTACAGACCGCCGCCATAAAGCTGGAATATTGCTGAGTGCGGCGTAATCAAAAGGCACCAGTTCACCACTAGACTGGCCTTTATAGCAAGTTTGGTCAAACATATTCTTGGATATTTTTGAGTGGTGCTCAGTGTTGTTTTCCAACTTGTCATGAAAATTAATAAACAAAAATAAATCAATAAATCCTAAACCATTTAATGGTACCAGTTCGTCAGTAGACTCATGTGTTTAGCAAGTTGATCTGTTGATCTAGTGGATAGAAATGGTAAGATTCGTGCATTTGATAGCCATTGCCAGGAGATTGGTTTTATTGAGCCATTTTGCTGTCTCCCTGCGCATGAAAATGCTGTCTTTACTCTTATCATAAATGACCTGGAATAGTGCTGAATGCACCGGCGTAAAACTAAGCTCACTCACTCCCTCACTAATACCAATTTGCCACTCACATACATGTACAACGCCAAACCATTATCATTTACCGGTCTAGATGGATTATCAACTGAAACGAGCGGATCTTGTTATTTGTTATATAAGCATTTATCTTCAGCCTTACGGGGACCAATGAAGGTGAGTTGAAATGGGGTTTAACGTCGCACTTAAGAATAAGCCACAAGCTGTGTGGCTGCTTGTTCTAGCCCAGACTTAAGCTGGTTTTATAGTGCTAGCTCACTGAGATAGCATGCTGCAGTTAAGCATGAATATCACACTCAGTCACATCATACTCACTCCGACCTGACCAGTTCTTGTTGTACCCATTAATGCCGAGCACCAGGCAGGGACCAACAAGTACCATATTTTAACGTCTTTTGGTATGACGCGGCCGGGGATCGAACCCGCGACCTTCCGCTCTCCGGTCGGACGCTCTAACCACTACACTACAGAGGCGGTGGGATCAATGGAAAATGTACAGGAGTACATATATATGTCAACAATGAAATTATTCTTTGTACACCAAACACATTTTCGCATGACCAAAACCAAAATTAGACATGTCAATTTGAAATAACACTAAAACATATTGCACAAATGACGGAACACCACATTAAACATATTCTTTCGTCAATCAACCCTTTCTTCATTAATTCAATATATCGTCTATAACCGGACTTTCTCTGATAATTCTACATTTCAAATGAATAACATTAACATTTCATAAAAAACATTAATTTCTCATTCCTAAACATCTAAGTATTTGAAACACAAAGAACCACCTATGTTCAAGGGTGTTGTTGAGTTAGTGAAGTGGACTATGCAAATCACTTTCTCCTTGCTGATGTCGCCGTGTCGGAGGTGAACCTTGAACTTCCCCACCGGGTACCCAGCATCCGCCACAGCGGAGACATCGGCTAGCAACCAAATAGTAAAACATTAAAAAAACTTTAGGTCTAGTTATACCTTCTGAGAAGATATATACAACATACAATACATTTTTATTGTACTTACATGCTTGGGAGATGGGGTAGCCAAGCGTTCCCTTATCAAGCCGTGTCGTAACAGGCGACTAACGGGATTGGGTGGTGAGGCTCACTGACTTGGTTGACACATGTCATCGTATCCCAATTGCGTAGATCGATGCTCATGCAGTTGACCACTAGATTGTTTGGACCAGACACGATTATTTACAAACCGCCGACATATAGCTGGAATATTGCGTAATATTGTGTGGCGTAAAACTAAATTCACTCACTCACTCCACTATCAAGCCGAAACCCCACGTTCGATTCCAGTCATTTGTACAATGTGTGAAGCCCATTTTGGTTTTTTCCGCTCAATTTTGGAGGAATATTGCCATCCCGGTATAAAATATACGTTCAATTTGAAGTAAAATAAGGCAGTACCTTCGGATAGCTTGGAGTTCCGATGTTGCCTGATCTTCTCTTTTTCAAATGCCTGGGGAATCAGAAATTGCACTATATGTCAAGTTAACACAACTCATCCGCCCTTAAACATGATCACGTCTAAGATTTCTTGAAAGATGTAAACAGTTTCTCAGTATCTGCTTAGGCGAACACGAACAACTGAAGCAATTGTGATAGCCTTGAATTCAAATCTGATATCAAGTTAACAGCGATGTTTCAGCTTTTGTGACACCATCGACCAATTCCACAGCCCTGACAGAAAAATTGCATTTAAATCCCTCGACCTGAAGACCCGTTTTTTACCTTCCCATAAAAAAACTGATGTAATTAAAAATTTGATCAAAGTGGAGCTAAATTCCATTACGTTACCAACTAATACACCTGGAGACATTTCGACCAAAATTATATGCAACGAAGTACTTGTTTATGCCTTACCCGAACGACGCCGCTGTTGCCAGGGCCAATAACGATGGTGATGCATTTCAGAGATGAAGTATAACGGATGAAGTCTAACATAACTGTCAGCATTTTCTGTGCTACTTCATCAGGGGGGTAGCCCAGTTTGTCTGTACCTAAGGCTGGTAGTGCCATGCTGCGGTAGTCGCTCATGGACGCGTCATACAGGCATTTGTAGACAACTTTCTCCAGAAGCTGGTCAATAACAAACAATAAAGAAATATCTGTATCTCTTAATGTTGGGGAAATCTATTGGTTGCAGTGTTCCTCTTTCACACACACTACCATTATTATTCTTATGTTTAGTATGGTGATCGACCTAAAGTTGTTGGCGACCTATTGCTTGTATTTATATTGTATTGTCTTCGTAAATAAAATAGTTTTAGGTTTACATGCTAGTTTTAGACACCATCTGTGATACTCTAGTTATTTGACAGTCCTTCGATGACTGGTTATTTTACAACTTGTATCTATTGTGTATGCAAAACTTTTCTCGTCACTATATGGCTGAAATAATCCTGAGGTGACGTTAAATTCTAACTCACTCACTTTTCTTATGATTGCCATCGTATCCCAATTGTGTGGATCGAGGCTCATGATATTGATCACTGGATTGTTTGGTCCAGACTCGACTATTAACACATTGCCGCCATACAGCCGGAATATTGCTTTGTGCGGCGTTGAGCAACAACAAACAAACCCAAGCTCACTCACTAATTTATACCACACTCAGAGCACTGACAACTAATTCATTGATGCATGTGATCTATTCAAGGGACATAACTCCTCGTACCTTATTGCCACTTTAATTATGTACCCAACAACAACCCAGCCCGCATGTGATATAATACCACACATGCAACTGGCAACTGTTAGTTGTCGTGTCACTTGTGTGTAAATCAGTGAACTAATCTTGCACAATCTGTGTTATATGTCGACGCGTAAAAAGATTAAGTCTGCTAATGGTAAGCTCTCGAGAATGGATTTCAAGTGCACTTTGATAGTTATCTTCATGTGTGCAATGAGAGCTGAATGTATATAAATAACCTGTGTTATAGCTATACAAATAACCTGTGTCAAGTTGACCTTTCACCGCTTCTACGCTACAACAGTCTTATGACTCTATACTATGGAAGCGTATTTGTGACGTTGTGGTTTTCACACATTGTACCCATGTGGGGAATCGAATCCGGGTCTTTGGCGTGACGAACGAACACTTTAACCACTAAGCTACCCCACCGCCCCTGTGATAACCATGAATATGTTCAGGTATGTTGGATGTAATAATGATGCCTGTTTCCCTGCCGGCTTCAATACATTGAAAGTACATTAAAATGGTCTTCACACATTGTACCCATGTAGTGAATCGAACCCAGGTCTTCGGCATGACGAGCGAACGCTTCAACCACTGGGCTACCCCACCAACGCTCAACCTCGATGTGTCTTTACTGAGCTACAGTCAGAACATTCAGTGAACTAAGTCTTCATTTATATGTGTTTAAAATTTTTGCTAAATGATTTTTTTCTCCTGAGCAGAATTACATTCTATAAACAGAATTTGAATATCATCTACGCAGATGAAAGTGTTTTCTACGTAGACGAAAGTGTTTTTGACGTAGATAAAAGTGTTTTCTACGTAGATGAAGGCATCTCGTACGTATCATGGGACCCTCTATTTTCGCGGTAGTTATGCTGTCGCCATCGGGATTATGAACGCCTACTGACATTTGGCATTTCATATATATTTTCAGTTGACTGATGTTTAATCTTCATTTCTGTCACAAATAATGTGACACGTAGTCGCTACTCGTTTAATACCATTGCGGCAGTTCCGAGTGTCTCGTTTGACCCGGAAATTATCGCGGTATTGCTATTTTCTTACTATGGCACGCGATACAAGCAAATGACACAGTCAAACGTTTACTAAGACAAGTTACGAATCTAAATAGTTTGATCATTAAAAAGTATTTTAGGAATTTCATTCACATTAGTAATATCATCATGTTTTTAACCCAAACATCTGAAACTTCCATTCATTTGGATGCAAGGTAACAATAACGTAACAAAATAATGTTTTCCGCCTTAAAACGTACCATACAATTTACTGCCGTGTGCAGGGTGAATTTGCATAATACGTCACTTCTTGTTATTTTTTTAATACGGAAAATATGCAAATGACCTTATAGTTGTCACAGGATTACTCTTGACGAAGTAAGTTTTGATTCATGCCAGATGTAATGGCAGTAGGGATCATACTAGTTTAAAAATGTTCCAGAACTTACTGAAAAGATGAATACTGTAATATATCTACGATTAGACATGACATTCCAATGAAATAAATTACTTTTTCAAGAGCGATGAATATTTTTAACGTAATTTGCATATGTAAAGAGCCGATGCGGCGCGTTGTGTTTCTGCTTTCCCGGTGTTTTCATGTGCCAGCGATAATAGAAAGTCCTAGTATAAATGAATTTAGTATTCTCTACGTAGATGTCACTATCATCTTCCTATATGTTAGTATCATTTACGTAGGCGATAAACTATTTTAGACAGTGACCCTAACGCGCTTCCATAGCATACCAAGGATATCTATGGGTATTTCTTTACACGCACCAAAACTGCGTACTGCATTAAAGCCTAACAGAAGGTATTGCTTCGGGTAGGTCATGTCATAGACAAGGAAGTTGGGCCGCGTTCCAGAATCTGAACCCAGCGCTACGACGTCCCCAACCTCATAGATCATCATGTACTGACAGCAGACACTATACAAATGTTGCCTCGCTGAATGGGTCCCTGCTCTATAAGCGTAACTGACGGTGTATATCCGAGTGGGGCTTTTTTACCTCTTCACGTCCGCGTTGTGAAGTAAACATTTTTATACCAATTCATCACGTAGTGCGTATATTATCACAACGAGTGTGAATACTGACAACTCATGGGAAAAACTGTGTCATGACGGTGGATGAGCTAGTCAATAAAGTTAACGGTACAGTTTCCTTGCTTTTAATGTCTTGAAGCCGACAGGGAATCAGACATCATTATTACATCCAACGTACCTGAACATATTCATGGTCATCACAGGGACGGTACGGTAGCCTAGTGGTGGAAGTGTTATCTCTTCACGGCGAAGACCCGAGTTCGATTCAACACAAGGGAACAAAGTGTAAGCCCATTTCTGGCGTCCCCCGCCGTGATATTGCTGGGATTTTGAGGGACTGTGGAGTTGCTAGGTAGATAAGTGTTTTTCGCCTTTTATCCAACATGGGTACTGGGTGTAAAACCTCATCTGGTGTCTCTTGCTGTGGTATTTTCCTTTTTTTAATTGATTGGGATGGAAGGGGGGCAGGGGGAAGGGGGGTTGTTTACAACATGTGATGTTTGTGCTGAGGTGTATTCACTCAGCAAATTGCCCTAAAATTGCCCCAACTTTGTGAAGTTTACAACATGTGATGTTTGTGCTGTGGTGTATTCACTCAGCAAATTGCCCTCAAATTGCCCCAACTTCTCACTCACTCACTCACTCACTCACTCGTACCCACTCCTTCACTCACCCAAACAGGAGTTCATCCACCCCTCACGCACTCACTGACATACGTAGATGCATCCACTACCTTCACACATCGAAAATGACTCTACCCATTCCTCCAATGATTGACTTGCCTTGAGTTTAGGGTCGCTGGAGTATTCTGGCAAACAACAGTGGAACACCTCCTTACAGCTGAGATTCCCTCCTCTGGTCTTTGCGATCTTGCCGTACTTGATACCATTGGGGTACCTGGTTCTATATTCAGCCTGTACCTCGTCTCCCCCTGCCTGCGCGATACTAGGAGATCCTTGTGATAGATCAAGATCCTTCTCCACTGTGTGGACCAGTACATCAGCCTGGTGCCAGAAGACATACTCAGGATATACAACTGTTTATACAATTCTTACACCTGGCAATACACTAGTGAGTGAGTGAGTTTAGGTTTACGCCGCTTTTAGCAATATCCCAGCAATATCACGGCGGAGGACACCAGAAATGGTCTTCACACATTGTACCCATGTGGGGAATCGAACCCGCGTCTTCGGCGTGACGAGCCAACGCTTTAACCACTAGGCTACCCCACCGCCCCTGGAAATACACTAAACACAGCTCATACTTATATATTTCCATTATTCTATACCCCACGTGGGTACAATGTGTTAAGCCCATTCCTGGTGTCCCCCGCCGTGATATTGCTGGAATATTGCTTAAAGCGGCGTAAAACTAAACTCACTCACTCACTCACTCCATTATTCTATATATTGGTGTTTAAAATGGTATCCTTCCTGATTACATGGAGAAAAGGGCTTGTTTTTGTTGTTAAATATCAATTATATTAAATCAAAATACTGACATACAGCGACCCAATAATTAAATGACATCTCTATCAATAGTAACACAACTCTTTCAATTGTACCTATGCTTACTGTGAACCAGTGCTTAAACTTATCCAGAAAAATAACAAATAAGATCAATATGAAATTTCTAAAACTTACATTGAAGGTTGTGGTGACAATATAGAGAAGGCAAAGCATCATTTTCACAGGTGTAACGTTTGGATAATACATCATGTGTTAAATATATATTTTCAATATACTACAGACAAAAAGTATGGGAACACCCTAAAATTTGATAGTCATATATAAACTTAAACATGGTGAGGTCATTTTTACTCTAAGGTTAATGCAACATTTTGTGTGCTTAATGCGTACTTTAAACGACATCGTGGAACATGCAGGGAATCAACTGATTCAGTATTCGTTGGGTTTGAGAGCTGCATGGAAAGTCTGTCTTCCACATGCACTAGGCTGTTGTGTTTCGGCGTTTGAATCAAACATGGTGCTGGTGTGTTTCAGCACCCTTGTTTTTCGCTGTTTTTTGACAATGTTTCATTTCTCTCAAACTCAACGAATATTGAATCAGTTGCCTCCCTCCATGTTCCAGTATGTTGTTTAAAGTTTCCATTAAGCACACAAAAAGTTGCATTTACCTTAGAGTATAAATGACGTCACTACGTTTAAGTTTATATATGACTATCACATTTTCGAGTGTTCCCATACTTTTTGTCTGTAGTATATTTTATAGACCCCCCGAAGATCCGCGTTAGAATTGATCTTCAGTAATTCATGCAGTAACCCAACGCGAACGGGTGGTAAGGCACGTTGACACATGTCACCGTATCCTAATTGCGTAGATTGATGCCCATGTTGATCACTGGATTGTCTGGTCCAGACTCGATTACTTACAGACCGCCACCATATAGCTGGAATATTGCTGAGTATGACGTTAAACAACAAACTAATCAAAGTCAAAGGTACCCAAGGTATCCGAGGTTTGATATAGCCAAAACATGATGGCTGAATATGGAATATGCAGGACTAAGCTGTTACTTTAAGACAACCCTAAGTTTGACACATCTAAGTTTGACACATGTAAGTTTGTCAGGCGTTAACCAACTATACATTTTATGACACGACTTATCATGCTAGGAAGTGTTTGAGATGTTAGTTGAGTAAGTACCTACCCGCTGGCGAACTATATCTCCTTGGATAAACTTCAGATTGGTGCCGAGAATGCTCGAGTCTGGTTCTGAAAGTAGAAGGTTGTTAGCTTTAATATCTTACAGTGAGTCTGTGTTCAGAGGGCTTCGATCTTGTTCCGCTTCATTACATATTGTAAATGTAGGGTAGGGTAGGGTAGAGTAGGGTAGGGTAGGGTAGAATAGGGTAGGGTAGGATAGGATAGGGTAGGGTAGGGTAGGGTGGGGTAGGGTAGGGTAGGGTAGGGCAGGATAGGGTAGGGTGTAGGGTAGGGTGGGGTGTAGGGTGGGGTAGGATAGGGTAGGGTGTAGGGTAGGGTAGGGTGTAGGGTGAGGGGTAGGGTAGGGTTAGGCAGGGTAGGGGTGGGGTAGGGTGGGGGTAGGGTAGGGGTAGGGTAGGGGGTGGGGGGGTAGGGTAGGGTAGGGTAGTAGGGTGTAGGGTGTAGGGTGTAGGGGTAGGGTAGGGTAGGATAGGGTAGGGTAGGGGTAGGGTAGGGTAGGGTAGGGTAGGGTAGGGTAGGGTAGGGTAGGGTAGGGTAGGGTAACGTAAACAAGTTTTGACATTTTATACATACCTCCATCTTTCTTCAAATCCGAGTACACGCCCTGGTCGACGCTTATAGCACATCGGAATCTGTCCTCAACCTTCCGGAGTTCCTTTCTACCATTAGATGACGTCAAGAATTCGTACACATGGCGCTTGTGCATTTCAAAAGTGTCCTCTTTAATGTCCAAAATAGCCATCTTGAGACTATTCACCTTCTTCTTAAAGTCCGACCCATTCCCTTTCACAATGACAGCTTCAGTAGCATACTCAACTTCAACGAAGTCTTTGATCAGAGATTGAAGCGACTTGGAAGGAAATGTTTTCATGTAGCGTACCTTACCGCTTGATATGTTCAGTTCCTCACTACTGAGAGGAGGGGAAGGTATTACTGGTGATTTCCCTCTTTGTTGTGGTTCTGGAACGTCTTCTGGAAGCTGAGAGTCTTCTGGTTGTTGAGAGTCTTCTGGTTCTTGAGCGTCTTCTGGCTGTGGAGTGTCTCTTGTGGAATAGTCTTCTGAGAGGGGAGACAGTTCCAGTCTATTGTCGTATAGGTCGTCGTTGGACTTCTGTGGTTGGCTGTAGTACGGGTACACCATGAGACGAATACCGTTCACTTCATGGTCTCGACTCTCAATATTCGCTGCATCTTAAGTGAAAGTATGTACAGTACAGAACTCGAAGGGACCACTGTGTTTAGTTCGTCACAACCGTAATACGTAATAAGCATTTTGACTAAACATCAAATGGCAGTGGCTAAAATAGGCTCGTTATAACTGTCAGTTCGTTATAGGCGTACTTCTAAAATTCAATATTCATGTCGCCCTGCTGAAAGTTTGAGTTTCTTTTAGTACTATTCGCGTAGCAATATATACGAAAACACTTTCGTCTCTATTAATTGAAGATTTAAAATGTTTTCTTTATTATAATACATTACATCATACATTACAAAAGTTAACTAACACTAGCAGCTGTGTGTCCGACCAAAGAATAAGTATGAATCATACATTGTTCACCCAGATTTACTATATTTAATGTGTTTCCTGTACAAAAATAAATCTTTATCAGATTAAATAGAATTTATTTCCTTTTTCGAATTTGGATACATAATAAGCTTAATATTCATGTGGCTATTTCTATCCATTTTCAACTTAGTTTAAAGGAAACGAGTCACACATTTACAATAAAAGGTAAAGGAAAAAGGAAAAGGGAAAACATTTTAAAATGGATTCGTGACAGGGTGATACACGTGTTGATTGTTTGATACTAAACAATATAATATTTGACTTCAAGTTTATGATTCCCTCTATCGATTTAATCACGAATTGACGTCAGAATCTGAGGATACAACACAACAGGATGCCATGACGCCATGACGCCACGAAGCCATGATGCCAGGAGACGATTAGGCTATTAGTATCATTAAAAGTAATTTTAGCGTCGAGTGTTTACGTTCGTTCATGAATGTAAAACAAAACTAAAGTGGTAACTATCTAAGCCCGTATTGCAAGCTTGCCTTCGATACTACGCCGTAGTGAAACAGAAATACTACTAGCAAACATTCATGAAACTCACTCCCTAACTATCTGTTAATCCGTGTTATTGCGCATAAACATATAGTCAATTTGGTGGAAGTGTATTTGTAAACCAACCTGAAGGGTCTCGAAACGTCAGCCGAGCTGTGTTGTCAGACAGAACATCCATGAAGTCGAGCTTCCTTCCCCCTGACACCTCCCGGCTCTCGAAGTACCTCCATAACACCTCTCGGTCTGGCAACTTCATCGTGGACTCGGGCTCGACGATGACCCTCCGGTCGTCTGTATTTGCCAGCAGAAGACAACTATGTTGGTTTTGCTTGTTGTGTTTACAGTTTATATTTGTTACTGAAACAGGGCTAGTTATTCCTTTCAGTAGCAAATGTTACAGAAATAAGATGATTATATTCACTTCAGTAGTCACTTAGATCAATAATAGGCAGTATAACAGTTATTACTATAACAAAGATAGCAGCATAACAGTAACAGATATAACACAGACTAATAAGCACTTACATAGAGCAGGTAGTATAACCCTAACTAATACAGCAAAGATCAATGTGCACTTACATATTTACAGGTGGTATAACCCTAACTGATACAGCAAAGATCAATGTGCACTTACATACAGCAGGTGGTATAACCCTAACTAATAGAGCAAAGATCAATGTGCACTTACATATAGCAGGTAGTATAACCCTAACTGATACAGCAAAGATCAATGTGCACTTACATACAGCAGGTGGTATAACCCTAACTAATAGAGCAAAGATCAATGCACTTACATATAGCACTATAACCCTAACATATAGCAGGTGGTATAACATACAGCAGGTGGTATAACAGCAACTAATATAGCAAAGATCAATGTGCACTTACATATAGCATACAGCAGGTGGTATAACCCTAACATACAGCAGGTGGTATAACCCTAACTAATAGAGCAAAGATCAATGTGCACTTACATATAGCAGGTAGTATAACCCTAACTGATACAGCAAAGATCAATGTGCACTTACATATAGCAGGTAGTATAACCCTAACTAATACAGCAAAGATCAATGTGCACTTACATATAGCAGGTAGTATAACCCTAACTGATACAGCAAAGATCAATGTGCACTTACATACAGCAGGTAGTATAACCCTAACTAATAGAGCAAAGATCAATGTGCACTTACATATAGCAGGTGGTATAACCCTAACTGATACAGCAAAGATCAATGTGCACTTACATATAGCAGGTAGTATAACAGTTACTAGTTGTACAATATACATCTACCATAGGGCACATCACAAAGCTAATAAATGTAGGACATTTCAATGTACTCTAACCTTCAGCAGTCAATCCAGTTAATTGCTGTGACATGTTCTTCTTTTCAGAGATCTGCAAAATGTAATGCACTCTTTATGTAGTCAGACACACGTCTTCCTCAGTAATTGTTCAAACAGCATACAAGTCGCTGAATCATCTTCAGGGGTCCGGCCTGTATCTGTTAGGGGTTAGTTGACAGAACGTAGGCGCTATTATACCATACCCTGCATATCCTACCCTGTGGAAGGATGTTCCCTCCTATCCCATTATGTGTTTGTGAGTTCAAGGTCTTGAGCCGGATATATTTTTCAACCATCTTTTACTTTAGGGAGCAATGGAGCGTGTATGCTGCTGCAATGACTGTACTAATAATTGCGGACGGGTATTCCCCTTTCTATGGAGACTCGGTGTTCAAGGTTCACTTGTTACCTAGAAGAGAACACGTGAGATCAAGGCTACATTACCAAGAAATTAACTCCCCAGATACAGGTTTGCTCAGTATCCAGAATATCACTCCTGAACTATTGGTTCACTTACTACCAAGAATAAAACTGAACTATTGATTCACTCACTACCAAAAATAGAACACCTGAGTAATTGGTTCACTCACTACCCAGAATATAACTCCTGAACTATTGGTTCACTCATTACCCAGAATAGAACAACTCAGCTATTGGTTCAGTCACTACCCAGATAAAAATGCTCAGGTACTGTTTCAGTTGGTGAGTGAGTGAGTGAGTTTAGTTTTACGCCGCACTCAGCAATATTCCAGCTATATGGCGGCGGTCTGTAAATAATCGAGTCTGGACCAGACAATCCAGTGATCAACAGCATGAGCATCGATCTGCACAATTGGGAACCGATGACATGTGTCAACCAAGTCAGCGAAACTGACCACCCGATCCCGTTAGTCGCCTCTTACGACAAGATAGTCGCCTCTTTATGGCAAGCACATGGGTTGCTGAAGACCTATTCTACCCCGGATCTTCACGGGTCTGTTTCAGTTGGTACAGGCTGAGGGTACATTCAGTCATTCACAACCCAGATTTAAGCACCCATGCATGATTGAATTAGGCCTCAACTCATTCCAAACTCAAAACAAAGTATAAAAACACCTCCACAACCACCAACAACAAACACTAAAAGATACAATACACAAACCAGCATCTTACGTTAAGGTTCAACCTCCAGCCCGGATGAAACACCTAATTTTGACCAGCTTAATGTCCATTCATCCACCCACCCGTGAAGATCCGGGTTAGAATTGATCTTCACTAACCCATGCTTGTGGTAAAGGCGATTAACGGGATCAGGTGGGCAGGCCAGCTGACTTGGTTGACACATGTCATCGTATCCCAATTGCATAGATCGATGCTCATGCTGTTGATCACTGGATTGTCTGGTCCAGACTCGATTATTTACAGACAGCCGCCATATAGCTGGAATATTGCTGAGTGTGGCGTAAAACTAAACTCATTCACTCCATTCATCCAACAGAATTAAGAAAATAAAATCACAGTTTACATATTACCCAGAAGAGGACACGTCAAACTGAAGTTTATAGAACGCCCCAGTCACAGGTTCATACATGAACCGAATAAAAACTAAGGTTTAGGGTTCATTTATAAAGTGTATAAGAATACCCAATCTTGACTATTTCCAGTTGTTAGGTTCCAGGCAATGCATTAAATCAAAGCATGATCTGATTATCTTCGGTGCCCTTGTTAAGAAGCGATCTTAGCTGAGGATGTTCGTAACTCCTATACCTTAAAACAGGCTTTAAACAACGGCACCCTGGTCAAGCTGAAAGGGTCTTATCGTCTTGGATCTTATAGATTTAAAATATGTTTCAAAGACATACAGCAGACTTTATTTGCCATACAGAACACTGAGCTCCATCTGTTGGTTGGTTTGTTGTTTAACGCCGCAACTCAGCAATATTCCAGCTATATGGAGGCGGTCTGTAAATAATCGAGTCTGGACCAGACAATCCAGTGATCAACAGCATGAACATCGTTCTACTCTATTGTGTCAACCAACTCAACGAGCCTGACCACCTGGTCCCATTAGTCGCCTTTTACGACAAGCATGGGTCCAATTCTAACCCGGATCTTCACGGGTCCTGTGTTGGTAAATGTATCATACTTAAAAGAAGTTCACATAAAAGAGATCACCTTTCTCAGCAACATCCAGTTCTTGCTAATCCGTGATTCTTACCTGATCCTGATGACCAAGCAACACTGTTGATGTCCTGCTGTATTCCACGTTATGTGGCTGTATATGGTTAAATGGTTGGAGTGAGTACCCAGCACTTGCTTGTCCAGCTTCCTGAACGTAACATAGACATGCAGTTTGTGAACACGTAACAGATATCTGGTTTCATGAGCATGAAAGCAAACAGCCTTTCACTTACCCAATCCCGAGGAGCAAATTCACCCAGTCTGACTGGTCGGCTAACGTCTTTTAAAACAAGCGGGTACTAAGAAACGCCAAGTCACACCCTGTCATTTGAATCCATTAGCTTTTTTCTTATTACACTGACTTCTTAACCTCATTCACTTCCTGAAACTCCAGAACTCTGTTTCGGTTTATTGTCTGCGCTGAGTATCGATGAATATATGCTTGAATTCACAGATTTGTGTATTCAGAGTTAAAAAAGAAATGGCTTCATAGGGCTGCTGATTTCATTCATTAACAATGAAGGGAATTTGGGTGTAACCCAAGAAGTAGTATCATCCGATTTGTTACGAGAATAGCTATTGCAGCGAGTGGAAAGCTGAAATGTTAAGCCAATGTCTATTATATATACTTTAAGGTGTAAATTTTCTTCCGACAGATGCATGTAGCATATGTTACACAAAACATGTTCCCAGGATAATATTGCAATATATTATCATGCATTAATCTGTTGCTTTTGACTTTGAGCCAACACGACATATTTACTTGAAGTAACAACAAAGAGTCCCTCTTAAATAGTTGAATACAGTACAGCGTAGGCACGGTGAATACATGATCGTATTCACTGGAGCGGCGTGTATAGATCAGTGCATGTCTGACCCGAGTATACATTGGCGTGTTTTCCTTTTCACGAACACCTGGTGTTGATCGTCAATAATCCACCTTATACTCCCTTTTCCTTCCGGGTTTGTTGGCTATTCAAGACTAGTTATTTACTGGCGTTGATATTTCAAGTTTGTAAATTTGTATATGACCACTATGAATCTCTTTTAGCTATTACTATATTTTGTATATGGACAAGTGAAAATGAATCAGTGAGATGCATTCCCACTAGTGTAGCAGCCACAACACAATGACAAGAATGCTAAGGGTTATGATAACCAAATGCATGTGAACTGAATGTGTCAAACAATTAATAATAATGGTATTTGTACAGGGCCTCTGTCAAATGTAGCAATGCTCAGAAGCGCTGAATTATTACCCCGAATAACCATAGCTGCCTGTGAGGCGCTACAAGGTTAATAGTCACATGACTTATCCCATTTTCTGCTGGGTGAACAGAGGCAATTTTGAACATACTGACTTGCCTAAGGTGAGATCACATGTATCACATATGCTTCGTGGTGGGGCAGGACAGAAGTCCTAGAAACTCTCAGGAAACGGTCACCCATCCAAGGACTCTCCGTGCTCAATGTTGCTTTACTTCGACTGATTCGTGACCTGAGCTCTATGCACAGGTCCACACACCACCACATGATTGATATAACAAGTAATGTGTACAGCAAACTGGTCTCTTGAAAAGTAAATTGATCAGCCTAACTGATGGAAGTACCTTAAAATCGTGTTTTGCAAAAACTAATTCTGCTAACGGATCAATGACAAATGCCTTTTTCAATAGTATCAGAAATAAGGTATGTCACAAGGCAATAACTTTTTAGTCTTTGAATGGATCAAAGTTCGTATTCTTTATAAATAAGTAAATGTTCGGAACAAATCACGTGAAATCTGACACTCGAATCACTGGATCCTTGTATGAGTAGGGGAGGTAACTCGGAATGGTGGATTGCACCTAATGAGACCATTGTGCCACCCTTCCTCCTCAACCAGGATTACTTGATACGTTTCAATTGTGTTATTTTAGTCATCACGCTTCATTTTTTAAACTGTAGAACGAGTTTTCAGTAATATTTTGTATGAACATTCAAATTGATATTTTTATAAACCTCGTAGGCACCCATGCTTGAGTAGTTTCTCAGAAGTTGTTCACATATGAATACGATCAGATGGTCAGGCTCTTAGGAATAAATGACTGTATGTCATCGCACCGGGTTAGAATTAGAATTAGAACCGGGTCTTCAGCAGCCCATGCTTGTCGTAAGAGGTGACGAACGGGATTGGGTGATCAGGCTCGCTGACTTGGTTGACTCATGTCATTTGAGTAGATCGATGCTCATTCTGTTAATCACTGGGTTGTCTGGTCTAAACGTGATTATTTACAGACCGCCGCTATATAGCTGGATTATTGCTGAGTGTGGCGTAAAACTAAACTCACTCCCTCTATTCAACATTGCCGAGTGCGTCGTTAAACAACCAAACCACCACCAACAACAAAAAGCATGCAATTGTAAACGGTGTCTTGTAACATGTCATGTTTTCAGCTGTGTGGTTGAAGTTGACTAACGTTCACTGACATTTATTTAAGGTCTCACTTTACCAAATAAACTACATACATACACTATGAAATATACACTGAAAACTGTATACATGACATAGTATTACCAACTTGCCTCCGTCTATTTGTTGTTGAACGAATTAGAGTGGGTATGCTTTTATGCAGCGTTTAGTAATATTCCAAATATTTGGATCACAAAATGAACTATTGTACCCATAGTGTATGGGGAATCAAAGGTATGTTAACAAGGCAAATGGTTTTCTATAAAAAAAAGTTCTTAATTTGAATCAGACCAAACAATTTACTCAGGAAACACTAACCTTAAGGCGCCGTTCTGTGCAAGCGGTCACGTAGTCAGAAAATGTAGGGGAAAAACTTGTGTCATGTCCCCTAAACACTGGCTTTGAACGTACATGCATAGGCACATAATAACCCTTTTTAAATAATATGTATTTGGAATGCATTTGAATTAGACTGTAAACGTCCATTACGATCTGGACAAAATAAGCACACAAGAGATTATACACACGCATTGGCAAATGTACGTTACGTTCTTTCATCTCATATAACGGCTGCATTTAGCAGTATGACACATCTTGCTCTACCAGTGTTGACGTACTGTATACAACTTGAGATACGTTTTCTTTAAGCGAGGAGTGGAGTAATATCATGTTGTCACTGGCTCTTCAAATGATTATTTAATGATTGTAACACGTAACACTTTTTCATCGTTTAAAGCCATGTTTGGAAACGGCATGTCTGTTTCTGAATTCTTTGGTGAACCAGTACAAATGCCCGCGTGTTACTGAACCCCTCAAGCAGACTGTACATTGTCAGGTGAGGTTTCAAATTCGGAATTTGAGCACTGCGAGGAACGCCAGACCGGTTTCGTGCGATTTCTCTACGTTACAATTTCCGTGTACAAAGTCTGTGTAGTGTTCCGTGAATCATACACATTATGATGATGTTGTCGAGAGAATCATACACATTATGATGAGGTTGTCGAGAGAATCATACACATTATGATGAGGTTGACGAGAGAATCATACACATTATGATGAGGTTGTCGAGAGAATCATACACATTATGATGAGGTTGTCGAGAGAATCATACACATTATGATGAGGTTGTCGAGAGAATCATACACATTATGATGAGGTTGTCGAGAGAATCATACACATTATGATGAGGTTGTCGAGAGAATCATACACATTATGATGAGGTTGTCGAGAGAATCATACACATTATGATGAGGTTGTCGAGAGAATCATACACATTATGATGAGGTTGACGAGAGAATCATACACATTATGATGAGGTTGTCGAGAGAATCATACACATTATGATGAGGTTGTCGAGAGAATCATACACATTATGATGAGGAGTTGATGATGTTGTCGAGAGAATCATACACATTATGATGAGGTTGTCGAGAGAATCATACACATTATGATGAGGTTGTCGAGAGAATCATACACATTATGATGATGTTGTCGAGAGAATCATACACATTATGATGAGGTTGACGAGAGAATCATACACATTATGATGATGTTGTCGAGAGAATTATACACATTATGATGAGGTTGTCGAGAGAATCATACACATTATGATGAGGTTGTCGAGAGAATTATACACATTATGATGAGGTTGTCGAGAGAATCATACACATTATGATGATGTTGTCGAGAGAATTATACACATTATGATGAGGTTGTCGAGAGAATCATACACATTATGATGAGGTTGTCGAGAGAATCATACACATTATGATGATGTTGTCGAGAGAATTATACACATTATGATGAGGTTGACGAGAGAATTATACACATTATGATGATGTTGTCGAGATAATCATACACATTATGATGAGGTTGTTGAGAGATGTCTGTCGGTCGCCGACGCTTGTCTTGAGCCTTTAGGATTTTGTGGACATACAAAGATTCACATGTAGGATCCGACGATACAAAATGATACTTACTACAGTTTACGCTACATATAGCATAGGCTGCAGTGAAGGTAACAGAAACTATATCCTTAGTCACAAAGGCCAAGGACAAACCCCTAATATCATCTATCCCGATCAGGTTAAAGCCTCGCATTAGAGTAGACCTATTCGGGGACGAGCTATATTGAGAAGGCTCTACACTGAGAGGTACAGATCGATTACATTCAAGCAAATGATACAAGTGTGTTCATGCTCCATTCGACATTCATCATCATCATCATCATCATCACCATCATCATCATCATCATTGGATACTTATATAGCGCACATATCCACGCACTAGTGCATGCTCAAGGCGCTGGTATTTTTACCCTCGATCATTGGATGTCAATCTCAACGGCACATCTTATTATCAATCTCAACTCCCTGGGGAGCATACAACTCTTACTGTCACAAGTGCACCGAGTTATCGTGGCTTTCCCATCCTTACGAGGTACCCATTCACAGCTGGGTGGACTGGGACACATAGTCACAGTACTTTGTCCAAGTTTACTGCACGTTGCTGTACCCGCAACTAGGTGTTTGCACGTATTCGCCCACCACGCCACGCCACATTAGTGAGTGACCATATATATAATTATAAATGTGTTACATAATTGTATATTCACATGACGAGATGGATGTGCCTTTTGACATCCTATGGTACAAACAGCACAATGGTCTGTAAAAACAACCCACGGTCACACAGAATGAGGTGACACGTCATGACAAACAGAACTTAATCAATTGTTTCTTATGAAAATCCTGGAATACTTGATTAATATGACCAGCAGTCATTACAATATCATATATTCACTTCAATAACATAACCTCTAAGAATGAAATGCAGTAGCAAAGTAGACAACAGTCAACTCTTACACCCACAGAGGAAGATTATAACACGTATGCTTATTACGACATACGTTAAATGTTATGCCCTTTATCAAATTTACCCCTGAAGGTCTAGGTTAGAATACTGATCTTCAGTAACCCATGCTTGTCGTAAGAGGCGACTAACGGGATCGGGTGGTCAGGCTCGCTGACTTTGTTGACACATGTCATCGGTTCCCAGTTGCGCAGATCGATGCTCATGTTGTTGATCACTGGATTATTTACAGACCGCTGCCATATAGCTGGAATATTGCTGAGTGCGGCGTAAAACTAATCTCACTCTATCACCTTTATCAAAATATAGATCTGTTCTGCGTGTTATTTTGTCCACAAATTATATGCATGTTGTCATGAACGGAACTTGATACAATAGTTTTTGATTCCGTTTGTTAACGCTCGTGGTGAACACATTTGGTGGGAACTAAAACTTGATATCCTGCTATGTTAAGTGTTTAGGGACATATTCCGTTATACGTGATTGCGATATGGAAAGGAAATACAGGGATTACATTTAAAAGGAGCGAGATTAATACTTTGGTAAAATCCTAACAGAAACTAGAATGTGACACAAAGGATGCTTGTAAGGAAATTGTTACAGATTACATTTTTATTGTAACAATGACGTACACACACATAAACCTAAATCAAAGTTCTGTAGTGACGAAAACAAACAAAAACATTGCATTGCACATCTCATATACTGATGTATACTTAAAGTGCTGTATTGAATAACTGTACTTTATCGTAATGTAAGTTTCTGTTATGATAAAACCAAAAAAATGACACTGTATTGCTCAGCCCATCTAATGTACTGATGTATGCTTGCAGTGCTGTATGGAATAATGTACACTTTAATTTAACAGTAAGCATGCATGACATATAGGACAGTGACATATACGTCTGACGGTGTCTTGCAAATAGTAACAATGGAAGCTACAATGGACAATTACACATTAGCCTGACTATCGTACATACAGTAAGCCTTCAAGCTACAATATAGGACAATAGGACATGACGGTTTCTTGCAAATAGTAACAATGGAAGCTACAATGGACAATTACACATTAGCCTGACTATCGTACATACAGTAAGCCTTCAAGCTACAATATAGGACAACAGGACATGACGGTTTCTTGCAAATAGTAACAATGGAAGCTACAATGGACAATTACACATTAGCCTGACTATCGTACATACAGTAAGCAATTCACATTAGCCTGACTACAATATAGGACAATATAGGACAACAGGACGGTTTCTTGCAAATAGTAACAATGGAAGCTACAATGGACAATTACACATTAGCCTGACTATCGTACATACAGTACAGTCAAGCTACAATATAGCAATACAATATAGGGACAATTACACATTAGGACATGACGGTGTCTTGCAAACAGTAACAATTCAAGCTACAATGGACAATTACACATTAGCCTGACTATCGTACATACAGTAAGCATTCACGCTACCTACAATATAGGGCAATAGGACATGATGGTGTCTTGCAAACAGTAACAATTCAAGCTACAATGGACAATTACACATTAGCCTGACTATCGAACATACAGTAAGCATTCACGCTACCTACAATATAGGGCAATAGGACATGACGGTGTCTTGCAAACAGTAACAATTCAAGCTACAATGGACAATTACACATTAGCCTGACTATCGAACATACAGTAAGCATTCACGCTACCTACAATATAGGGCAATAGGACATGATGGTGTCTTGCAAACAGTAACAATTCAAGCTACAATGGACAATTACACATTAGCCTGACTATCGAACATACAGTAAGCATTCACGCTACCTACAATATAGGGCAATAGGACATGATGGTGTCTTGCAAACAGTAACAATTCAAGCTACAATGGACAATTACACATTAGCCTGACTATCGAACATACAGTAAGCATTCACGCTACCTACAATATAGGGCAATAGGACATGATGGTATCTTGCAAACAGTAACAATTCAAGCTACAATGGACAATTACACATTAGCCTGACTATCGTACATACAGTAAGCATTCACGCTACCTACAATATAGGGCAATAGGACATGATGGTGTCTTGCAAACAGTAACAATTCAAGCTACAATGGACAATTACACGTTAGCCTGACTATCGTACATACAGTAAGCATTCACGCTACTATGCAAGACAATCACAAGTGAGCAGCCACACAGTTAGCATGTAGGCTGCAATGTAGGTCAAATCACACCTTAATCTGACTTAATTGTGTGTACAGTAAGTGTTCCACATGCAGTAAATCCACATTATTGTATGCACGATAGAGTCAGACCCAACCAAAAGCTCGGTTAGAATTATGTATTTTTTAAGCATATGCATTAGTCAGAATTTCCTACAACTATATCTGTTGCAACACCAACAAGTAGTGTGTTGGACCATTTCCTGGTCATTGTTATCACAGCGATTGTTTGAGTACACAGAAATCTCGAAAGTGGTTCCCTTCTTTTAGAGTGAGTGGATTGAAATAGGTATGAACGTTCTTTACAATACTGATAACATTCACTACAACATTGGCATTAAATATAACATTCTCTTCAATATGTTAAACAGGACATATTTAAGTTTTATATGCAATCTTGCCCAAACTTGACTTTATTGTCATATCTTTTACAAAGCTAAAGAAGCAAAACAAAAACAGATGACATTTGCAAGGTGTCACATAGAGCATGTATGAGCTATTGCACAAACATATAATGTTTCTACAGTAGACAGACCCGCTAATCTTCACATAATGAGTCACGATTCAGTAATGTCTTTCCAACCAGACATATCAGTCTGTGGCACTGATCTTGATATTTTAAAGTCCGTCATTTCATTGTGAACAGTACCTAGATCACTAAGGATGTTGCATTTTTTAAAGAATAGGGTAATCCCCCGAAAATATTACCAAGAACAGACATTCAAACAGAATAATCAATAGTTTTAATATAGGTAGAATAACAGTTAAAACGCAATGTAGCTACGACTTAAGTATATGTACGACTATACATGCAGTCTCCACGACAGTAGTTCGACCATGCATGCAATGGCTGGAGTCATAACGGTATTTGCGACGCTGCATACGCAAAGGGATCTTACACGACAGTGGCTGTCATGTCTACTTGGATTTTTTTTTCTGATAACAAACAGATATTTCGGGTAGGCCTGTGTGTCCCTGAACACGACATACATGGATGGGTTGTCACTGTTGTCCACGGTGCACCCATAGCGGACAGATCGTTTCCGGTCGATTAACGGGGTGTCAAACATTTTCTTGCTGCCCTTTGTAGAAACCCCGGTCAGAACCTGTGCCAGATAGATGTATTTGTGTTTGGACTCGTCCGGAACAGACAGGACATCACTGGAGGAATAGCTGGCTTCTGTGGCAAAGTATACGCCTCGTCCAAACTTCGTGCCTACAAAAATATATACACCCTATAATGCCGGGGAAATATCGCTGAAATGAAAGTAGCGTCTGCTACTTCAAAATGAATGTATCACCAATTCTTTAAATTGAGTGAGATAAGTTGTTTTTTTGTTGATGATGTTTAACGCCAAACAAGGCAATGTTACAGTTATATGGCGGCGGTCTGTAAATAGTCGAATCCAACATGAGCATCTCTCTGCACAACTGGGATACGATGACGTGTCAACCAAGTCAGCGAGCTGACCAACCGATCCCGCTAGTCGTCTAGAAAACATGGGTTGCTGAAGATCAATTCGTACAATTCATACAAAAGACAATCAACAGTAACTGAACAGTCTGAATTAACTGAAACATCCTAATGATTCCATTATTTTGCTACATCTTTTCTACACATTTCGTATAATTTAAACTGCCCCGTCACTAGGGATTCATCGTTCGATGGATTCTTATGGGTATAAACCAAAATGTTCGTGAAAGGCATTAGGAAGTTGGGCCAACATGAATACATGTCACGTTATATGAATAACAACTTCTATTTATATTATTTATCTCTTTCAGATCAAAATGAATCATTTATTGAATCATTCACCTGATGAAGGAGCGTGAATTTGCTATGAAACGTCATGATAAAGAATATAAAAGAAATTGTTATCCATAAAACGTGTCATGTATTCGTGAATAAACAGAATTAAATGTTCAGGTCTGAGTTTAATGGTGCCCTGATGACAATTTGATTGTAGTAGCCTTACCGTTCTTTCCACAGTAGCCCCTATTGAATCCATACTTGTTGATGTTTTTGATGGCCTCCACGTTGGTGCCATGCCACAGGTGTCTTTCATTGCTCTTGTGAGGGTAGTTTTTCTCCATGGCTTCTTTCTGTATCTGATACTGCTCGTACAGGTATTTATGCTGAATCCGGTATACCTAGGAAGGGTTGACGAAGATGTGTCTTATTAGATGCCATATATTTAAATCATAATCACGATGTCCTCGCTTTTAAAGACGTGATTGTCACATTTCACGGGCATGTTATTGCACCGGAATGTTATTGCACGGCGTGCTATTGAGATGTTTTCATGTTTTGAGGACCATGATACTCACGTTTTGTAATATGAACATCACACAATGTTTAGCTAAAACCAGGTATCGACCTGGCAAAGAAGTTTTTAAAGATAATCGTGAAGATTAGGGCTAGAATCATCTTCTATAGGCCACCATCATATAGATGAACAAAGCGCAAACAAAGACAATTGGGTTATATTGAGAAATATTCTATCACTGATTACATCATTAATGTATTCAGTGCTTTAACTCGTGTCTGTGCATATATTATGCTTTAGGTTATGAAACAATTTAATTTAACATTCTACGTAGTTGGGTCAGTTAACAACTGACATACCCCCATAATCTCATACTTGTTCCCAGCGTTGGACATGAACATTTGACGAAGTTTATCAGCTTCAGGTCCATCCTTGATCCTTGGCGCGATGATATCCTTGGCTCCCATGTCTTCCCAGATGTCAGGGAGAGGCACAGCTGAAGGTGCAACAGTCAACGATACATCCTTTCCTTTAGTATAAACTCATCAATGCCATTTGTTACGATTCAAGTTTGTTTTTCCAGTGTGTCATACTTTCATTCTTGTCCAAAAATTTCCTTGGTTACATATTGATTTTCGTTCCGGAAGTGAACTCACATCACAGAAATTCTCACACTCGTGGTTATTGTGAGTATCGAATTATACGGAATCGGATTCACATATTAGTTGTGATTGAAGCATACTCTAAGTCTGGATAATCGATATACTTTGTTCTGCGTCTTCCAAAGATACTGAATTTGGATCTGATGTAATTTTGTCAAGCCAAACGATGCAAATTGGTTACGTTGTGTTGTTTTTTAGTACAATTCTACAACAAAAAAGACGCCGTTGTGAATAATGAAATTTGAAAAAGGTCCCTTGCTTGTGCTTGTTAGAAACAGATACACAACGGGTGTAAATTGAGGTCTTTACTACGCCATGGTGTGCTGTTTTCTTTGTCAAGTATATAAATGTCAGGAACAATCAGGATACATTTGGAATATACATGGTATGACATGAACATCAACAAACGTAAATAACATTAATACCAAACATGACAAAATTGCATTGTGAACCTACCTGGGCCTTTTTTCCTGATAATCTGGAATCTGTGGTTGGGGTTTTCCCGGGAACTGATATCCATGGAGGTAAAGTCTATGTTGACTTTACACGTCGCTGTCTGCACTACTGCCGTAGGATGTGCAGATCTCATCAAGAAAGCTTCTTCAATCAGCATGCTGGTCATGGGCGCGAAGCTCATCTCATGACCATCTTCAGTGATGTACCACCATTCCACAAGACGACGAAGAAGTTCAGCTTTTTCTAGGTTCTTCTGGACGAACTCAATATTTTTCAGCACTTCCTGGGTCTGACCCTTGGCCTTGATGGCGTCAACCTTCATCCCGGAGTGATAAATGACACAGTTCGTGGTGTCCACCTCGGAGGTCACGTCAATATCAGCACACAAGCGCTGTATATCTTGAACCTGGAATTTAAGTGATACTATCAGAATCTTTCCGCTACATCAATGCGTATTTCTAATCTATGACAGTTTGCAAGCTGGTAATACGGGAAGTCATCTGTCATAACGTACCACTTACCAATAAAATACAAACAATTTTTCATGAATAAGAACATGATTATGAGCTTTGAGTTTGGAGAATTCAGATCAAACAATAACCATAGACCCAATGGCCTCTGGTGCCTAGATGGTGCATGTGGTTCATCATTTGTTGCTCTTTCTAACCTTGAATTCTGAGAATCAACGGGTTACAAACGAGCACCCATGCATGAAATGACAACTCCCCAAAGGTCCCTCAAGAAAAGATGGCAAACACATCTAATCGTATTTTGCACGGTATTCGACGATCACTTCAAAACGGTATTCATGTTTTATAAATTCAAATATTATCTTATCGAATTAAAGTATTGCTAAATATGTTTTTGCTTTTAAAAGGTTTTCTGTTGTTTCTTGAAGTTAACGTTTTCTATTTCCTGAAACTTGATGTTCCATTATTATGTAATTATGTAATTATTATCTATTTAACCAGCCTTGAAACATGAATGCAAAATGTTTTATATCACTCCTTTCAGCTGTGTGCATAATGCTGACTTATTAATTTCAGACTTTTTAAAGATCAGCACTTGTCAGGACTTCACCTCAGACAGATTATAAGGCTGTAATCATTCGAAGTCAAAATTGTTATTCTATATCCTGTCTTATGTTAGGTACAATTAATAAACTTCCCACTTTTAAAAAGATTCATGTGGATAGTGAAATCGTTTTTCATAATTCTCATATTATATTAATTCGATACTGCTATAACTTATGGGCTGAAAAAATGTTTCTAAGGCTGTTCTTTGTTTGAAGGTCTGAAGTATTGCTTACTTGATATGTATAATCAGGGCGGTGGGATAGCCTAGTGGTTAAAGCGTTCGCTCGTCACGCCGAAGACCCCGATTTGATTCCCCACATGGGTACAATGTGTGAAGCCCATTTCTGGTGTCTCCCGCCGTGATATTGCTGGAATATTGCTAAGAGCGGCGTAAAACTGAAACTCCGTCACTCACTCACTCATATATTATCAACCCACCAGTAATTACTGCAATATGTGTGAGTCGTATGGATGGCTCGTGAATATATTTTAATAATTTGCCAGATCCTAACCTGCTGTTCTGTCAGGTCGCCGATGGTTGGGTTCTCCAGTGTCTCCACAGACAGGTTTTCCATCAGCAGGTTGTCTAGGAACTGCTGACATTCTCCGAAACTCCTCCTGTTGTTACACACTATTTTCATGGCGAGGCCACCTTGAAGTGTACAGTCATCCGTTTCACTCTGCGTTTGTGAACCTTATAACAACAAGGACATGTATCTAAACATTCCGTAAGAACAGTTTTGTACTATCACTTGTAACACTATTATTCTATTAAACACCCGTGAAGGTCTGGGTTAGAATATTGGCCCTCAGTAACCCATGCTTGTCGTAAGAGGCGACTATTGGGATCGGGTGGTCAGGCTCGCTGACTTGGTTGACACATGTCATCGGTTCCCAATTGCGTAGATCGATGCTCATGCTGTTGATCACTGGATTGTCTGGTACAGACTCGATTATTTACAGACCGCCGCCATATATACTCATGCCAATAATGGTTATCACCCCCCACCCTAAACCACCCCACACCCCCTCTCCAATAAAAAAAATTGAAGGGGGTGAATATTGCTAAGAGCGGCGTACAACTAAACTCACCCACTCACTTTTATTAAACAACAGTATTTACGTTTGCGAACTGTCAGACTGTCGATAATTAACAATGATGGTTTGAGTCGATTTTGATGTAAGCTTATGCATTGTTCACGTAAAACCATTTCAGGAATGATGGAGGATTCATTGAAATGAATATTTGCATGTACATTTTACACAATGTGGAATCATTTGGTAATTCTCCAGAATTTAAAAACAGGTTTCATTTAGGTTTCATATTGGTTGCTCCAGTATCATAGAAGACAGATTTGACATTAAACGACACAGAACAATGTCCTTAAGTCTGCATTGTTATGGAGGACGTAAAACGAAGCTCTTTCCAACTGAAAACGTCTGAATAACCAACTGTAACTGCACCTGGGCTATTTGTCACCTACCCTCTGCTGGAGGTTCCGGGGTCGTTTCCGCAAACCTGTACCTTCCCACGCATGTGGAAGGGAGCTGTTCTTCAATCACCGTCACGGCGGCAACCATGGTTGCAGGGTCGGTGTAGACGAGCCTGACTTCTCGGACAAACTCAAGTGAGCCCATGAGACATCTGACGGACTTAATCAATACTGCCGGAAGGGATTCACCCTTAGTGTTACCTGGGCGGAACATCTATCATTGGTTTCTCTTCATGCATATATTTGTATATAATTTGCAACAAAATCAAAGGGCTTCAAAACTGCGATGATTCATATGTGACTGACACTCAACAGATATCAGAACGATAGAACTATTTGGATACAAACATGGATTTGTATAAAATAATACGGACATATATAATGTCAGGGAAAAGAATACACTCTCTTGACAATTATCAGAAACACAAGCCATCTTGGGTAAAGGGCACAATAGTTGTGAATATCATATGATCAGAACACTCAACATTAGAGATGACACCGGGTGTTCTCGGAAAGGGAAATCGTGTCCGACCCTACTGCTAGCATCCGCAATTCACAGAATGTGCCCCAAAATGTAAGAACACCGCAGAGCAGCAATGACTGTGAATATATATACATTCCGTGAGAAAAGGGAGAAGAAAGTCCCGAGTGATAGTTATCATAAAGTGACTGAGGATAAACAAAATCCGAATCAATTTGTTGGATTTAATATACTCATGGAAACACATAAGGGAACACAAGAAAGGACAACTTTCCGTTATTCTTTTCAAGGTTTCTTCACAAGGTTTGTGTTGCACTGTGGAAATTCTGGAAATAAATAAAGGAACACTTGTACTTCCATGTGTTTCCTTATTCGTTTCCATGAGTATATTAAATCCAACAAATTGATTCGGATTTGTTTATCCTCAGTCACTTTATGATAACTATCAGTCGGGACTTCCTTCTCCCTTTTCTCACGAATAAAGAATGTTGTAGTAACCCACCTGTCATAACAGGGATAGCGATGGATGTCACTTTGTTTTTCTCAGCTTTCCGCAAGCACTTGCAGATCATCATGAACAAGTCGCCAGTAAAGAAGTCCCTGGATATGCCCAGGATACTGGAACAGTGATGTCCGGGTACACGCAGCATCACTCCTCCAGACTTCCGGATGTTGGACTCTGGGAGTAAAAAAATAAATAACACGTAATTCTGGAAACCCAAAAGCCCAGAAACTCTCCGCACTGTGACCAGTTTCTGACAAAGGATTTGACAAAATCCAACATGCAGTTATCATGAGTAAAATAGTTTTTCGAAAACTCAAATTTTAAACTGCCTCGATTAACTAATCGGGCCGGCTCATGAGCGAGAATATTAGTTAATCAAATTGTTACTTAAGTCCTCACTGATTTTCAATGATGAATTCATATCCGTTTTATCACTATTTTTCTATGTTTGGGCAGAGACTCGAAATTCAAGATGGTTCAGCGTTTTATATGTTTGACTGCATGGGTTAGGGTAATTTGTAATGTGTCACTTGGATCCATTTTGATCTTTGCATCAGAACATGTAATGGATATTTTATATACTTATGTTTGAATACGATAAGATAGACGATCAGTTAGGAATGAAAGGGTCTATTTGTCCAGTGGTACCTCGAAATGGTGTGCTGACATTCCAAGAGAAATGGAAAACAACCTTTCGATCATTTTTTTCAAATGAAATCTTCTAACTACCTTTCCACTGACGAAAGGTGTTGTCTCCAAACTCATGTACAAAGGTCCACTTCACTTCGCCTGAAAACATTAACCAAAATGATTCTGATAGATCTAAATATTGTGTAACAAAAACGGATTTACTTGTGAAAAAAGGTTTGTGCGCCCCAAATAATTCATGTACACGCCCTACAAGATACTCACAAGACACTGACATTTTGTTGTCGGTTGGGACTACAACAACATCCACGTCCTCCTTAAAGACGTTGCCTTCTTTCACAATGAGCAGAACATGGCCTATGTGGAACTCTGTTGAAGAGAGCAAGCCATAACATAAAGTCAAATTCATCATTCGATTTAATCATTGAGGACATTAAGAAAATTAAAGGTTATAAACGGTTGTGATACCATGACCGTACCTGTCATCATGGAAATGTTTGAAAGGGAGGAGTGTCTTGGATTCGTTTTCTCACTGTCATAAGCATCCTTGAAAATCTGTAGGAAGAAACATTCAGTAAGGAACATTTCGTACTATCACTTACACAATTACTATATCAAACAACAGTAACAATTTTCCGAAGTAACTTAGTTGAAGGTCAGACTCTCAATAATTAGCAATGATGTTTTGAATCTTGGTTATAACTAATGCATTTCAGAAACCATTAATCATGCATTGGCATGAATAGTTTTCGCATCCATTTTGCATTTTACGCCATGTTGATAGTTTTGTTAGAGAATCAAGACTGGTCATTTCCCAGAATTGAAATGTATTCAGGTTTCTTTCTGATAGCTGCAGCATCAATATTTATGCATAATCTGACTGGTTGATAATTGTTGTTTTTAATATATGTGTTTTTGTACCTTCAATAGGTCCTGATTCGTGTGATAACACACAATCATGACCTCTGCCAGAGAACTGAAGTGGTTTGATTTTGTGAAGTCTTTGATAGCCTCTCTGAAGGTTCTTGCCACCTCATCGGTTGGGTATTGCCTTTTGCCGGTGCCAATGGGAGGGAAGGCCACACTGCTATGACCAGCTACAGACGCTTTGTGCAGACACTGCAGAATTATCTCCCTTAGAAGCTGTGAAGGACACACACATACGTTGGTGATGTAATTTCAGTGTAAAATAGCAGTACAAGTTGGTTAAGTAAATCATAATTTTCAAAACAGGTAATGCAAAATGAGGGATATATCAATACAAGATGGCAATAAGTTGATATTTAACGCCATTTTTAATACTTGTCCTTCGATATCATGCGAGAAAAAACATTGGCATTTTTAATCCCAGTGTAAATTTTGATTTACAGGTTATCGGTTGTAATTGTTCAAAACCTTGTGTGATCAACATTCTTACACCAACTAGGGAATTAATAATGGTTTCCTCTCAGTACGAAGTGCAAGTAGGATAATAAGTGAGTGAGGTTTAATGAATCTTGATCAATAAACCAGCAATATCACTCAATGTGTATCCTCGAATTAAGGAATTGTGTTTTACGCCGTTTTTAGCACTATTCCAGCAATTTCACAAGAGGACAGCAGAAATGGGCTTCACACATTGTGCCCATGGGGAATAGAACCCGGGCCTTCGGAGTGACGAGCGAACGCTTTAACTACTAGGCTACAACACCGACACTCGAATTAAGGAGCCTTCAGCGCTAACTTTTAGCCAGCACGCTGCCTAAACGCCCGTTTTGTTTAACCAAGTGGCGTGTATTTAAAACACAGCACTACCACACGTCGTTTCGGCATGACACTAATGTGAGAGAGTAAGTGAGTGAGTCGGCTTTAAGTCCAGTTTAAATAGTATTTATTAGTAGTGAGAGACTGACTGACTGAGTTTGGTTTTACGCCGCTTTTAGCAATATTCAAGCAACATCACGGCGGGGGACACCAGAAATAGGCTTCACACATAGTACCCATGTGGGGATTCGAACCCGGGTCTTCGGCGTGACGAGCCAACACTTTAACCACTAGGCTACCCCACCGCCCCAGTAGTGAGAGAGCTTCGGTAACGCGACCTGTAACAGGATTTCTGTTGCCAGTCAAAATGGCAAGCTTAATGTGGGAGGAAAGCCCGGAGTCACGCATGTCTCAGACGTTCACTATTTTGGTGAGACCCACGAGAACAGGTCTAATGACAAACCTACAAGCATAAATGGGCGAACCTGGATTCACACCCACAACCCAAGGTTTCTGGCGTACAAAAGGTACCTAACTCTGCACAGGTTGCGGTGCCTCATCTGACATGGTCACACGTGTAACGATGACCTATACTAACAGTTGGTAAAAAATTACATGTATTTGGAAGATAACCTCAGTAAAGGAATAATCAAACCTCAGCGCATAAATGATTATAGGAATTAAAATAGTGTCACCTTCTCAGCCTGACCGGGATGCTCTCGTCTGTAGTCTGAAAGACAGCAATGATACAGCTCTTTGCAGTGTAGTTTCCCTGGACGAGTCTTTACAACATCCCCAACTCTGCATCCTTGTGGATATAGCTCCTTGCATTCCGTCTGTATGGCAGCGCCTCCTACTTTAACTATGGCCTTGGACAGTTCACTACCAGATAAGTCGAGTCTCTCGTTTGTTGAGTTGACGATTACGTCCACCTAGTCATAAGCAAATTGTGAACACAGATTAATTCATGTTAGTAAGCAAAATATAAAACATAATACATATGAAAACATAATATTTGTTTGTTTTTTGTTGTTTAACGCCGCCTCAGCAATATTCCAGCTACATGGCGGTGGTCTGTAAATAATCGAGTCTGAACCAGTGGTCAACAGCATGAACATCGATCTACGCGATTGGGATACGATGACATGTGTTTACCAAGTCACCCGATCTCCGCTTACTACAGTCATGGGTTGCTAAAGACCAATTCTAACCCGGATCTTCACGGAACAAACATAATAAAGCATTAAATATTGCAATTTTTCACAAAGCGGGAACTGAGGTCCATCTGTGACAAAGGTAAATGGTCACTGAATTAATCTATCTGTTCCACGTCAGAGGAGCATGGCCCGTCTTCATCTAATTACCTTTGTTAATGCGATATCTCCTAGTTTCAGGACAACTTCAATGTCAGCTGAGGCAACACCGTCCGACTGTTCCGCTTCTGGAAACAAATCATTTATACGTGATGGAGTATTGCATGGAAGGTTGTAGAACCAGACAAGTAGGTCTATTTGTTGTGTAACGCAGTTGTCTAATGTATAACGGAGGTCTATAAATAGCCCAGTGACTGGTACCATGCGTGTGAATTTCTTAACATGCGCTACGATGACATGCACCAACAAAGCCAAACGACTCCATCCCGTTTGTTGCCATTTGTTGCTGAAGGTCAATTCTAACCCTGCTCTTAAATGTGGCAATGTACGTCATGATCAATATGCTTCAATGCATACCACATTAACATAACTCACATTGACAAATGTGCATGAAATAAGTATAAATAGTTGAAGCTGCATGAATGTAAAACGGCGGGGGACACAAGGAATGGGCTTCACACATTGTACCCATGTGAGGTGAGGTGAAATTGGTTTAACGTCGTGCTTGAGAATATTTCGCTCATATGACGACTTGCATGCGTGTGTATGTGTATGTGCGGCTGCTTGTACTAGCCCAGACTTAAGCTGGTTTTATAGTGCTAGCCCACTGATATACCATGCCGCAGTGAAGCATGAATATCCCACTCAGACACATTATACTGACTCCGAGCCGACCAGTCCTTCTTGTACCCATTAATGCCGAGCGCTAGGCAGGGACCAACAAGTACCATATTTTAACGTCTTTTGGTATGACGCGGCCGGGGGTCGAACCCGCGACCTTCCGCTCTTCGGGCGGACGCTATAACCACTACAACACGGAGGCGGTCTGTACCCATGTGAGGAATCGAATCCGGGTCTGAATATGAAACATCAGAGCCAGATGATAATCCAGCTGACACACAACGTTTTCAGCCTTTCAAAGGTTAATGTGAAGGGTGTATATTGGTAACGTCATGACACAATGTTTTCACAAGGTTAATGTGAAGGGTGTATATTGGTAACGTCATGACACAATGTTTTCACAAGGTTAATGTGAAGGGTGTATATTGTTAACGTCATGACATGTTTTCACAAGGTTAATGTGAAGGGTGTATATTGGTAACGTCATGACAGGTGTAGATTCGTTCATGACACAACGTTTCACAAGGTTAATGTGAAGGGTGTATATTGTTAACGTCATGACACAACGTTTTCACAAGGTTAATGTGAAGGGTGTATATTGGTAACGTCATGACACAACGTTTTCACAAGGTTAATGTGAAGGGTGTATATTGTTAACGTCATGACACAATGTTTTCACAAGGTTAATGTGAAGGGTGTATATTGGTAACGTCATGACACAACGTTTTCACAAGTGAAAGGTGTAATGTGAACGTCATGACACAACGTTGTGAAGGGTGTATATTGGTAACGTCATGACGTTTTCATTAATGACATATTGGTAACGTCATGACACAATGTTTTCACAAGGTTAATGTGAAGGGTGTATATTGTTAACGTCATGACACAATGTTTTCACAAGGTTAATGTGAAGGGTGTAGATTCGTAACGTCATGACACAACGTTTTCACAAGGTTAATGTGAAAGGTGTAGATTCGTAACGTCATGACACAACGTTTCACAAGGTTAATGTGAAGGGTATTGTTAACGTCATGTGAAGGTTAATGTGAAGGGTGTATATTGTTAACGTTGACACAATGTAACGTCATGACACAATTTCACAAGTTTTCATTGTTAACGTCAAGGTTAATGTGAAGGGTGTATATTGGTTAACGTCATGACACAACGTTTTCACAAGGTTAATGTGAAGGGTGTATATTGGTAACGTCATGACACAACGTTTTCACAAGGTTAATGTGAAGGGTGTATATTGTTAACGTCATGACACAACGTTTTCACAAGGTTAATGTGAAGGGTGTATATTGGTAACGTCATGACACAACGTTTTCACAAGGTTAATGTGAAGGGTGTATAGTAACGTCATGACACAACGTTTTCGCAAAGTTAATGTGGAGGTCGTATATTGGTAACGTCATGACACAAAGTTTTCACAAGGTTAATGTGAAGGGTGTATATTGTTAACGTCATGACACAACGTTTTCACAAGGTTAATGTGAAGGGTGTATATTGGTAATGTCATGACACAACGTTTTCACAAGGTTAATGTGAAGGGTGTAGATTGGTAACGTCATGACACAACGTTTTCACAAGGTTAATGTGAAAGGTGTAGATTCGTAACGTCATGACATAACGTTTTTACAAGGTTAATGTGAAGGGTGTATATTGTTAACGCCATGACACAACATTTCGCAAGGTTAAAGTGAAGGGTGTAGATTGGTAACGTCATGACACAACGGTTTCACAACGTTAGCATTACGTCATTTTAACTACGTTACCGTAGACACATATTGTCAGAACGTTGTGTTTTGACTATAAGTCAACGTTATGTTTCATCGTTTCTGAAACGTTATCGTTTATGGGAGGTAAACTTTCCCGAAACCCATGTAAAAGAGTGACATCGAATTATTCGTAATTTATCCAGAAAACAAGACAGTAGTGCATTATTTCCCTATTATATTATACTTTGTGATTACCATACCATAAATGTACTGAGGTCACAGTGACAGTAATTTCCATTCTTACTGACAACGTTAACATCACGTCACTGTGCAACGTCACGTCACAACGTTGTGACAACGTAAATGGGAGTCGACAGAATAACGTTGTAACAACGAAACCATAACGAAATTGTTAGCTGGGAGCCAGCATCTATTATCCGAGATTCGTTAGGGCTTAAGAGTAGTGTACTTTCTATAAAAGGATGATCGGAACTCGTTGATCTGTGGCGTTGGCGCAGTAGTTGGAACAGTGAAACAAATGCACGTGTGGATGAGCGTTGACTTAGACTACCGTAGAAACCAACCCTTCTCGGGGTTCATTTAATATGCATCCCCCCTTGTAATACAAACTAATAATAGCGAGTTGGAACTATGATCGTTTGTTAAGCAACTTTAATCCTAAGTTGAATAAAATTCTGAGATTTTAATGTTCAATTGGCAAGGTAAAGTTATGAGGATTCGCAATCTTAAATTCACTTTATTTGATTAAATACTTTTTCATTTAAAGTGAAACAGTATGTTGAGTATAAAACACACGAATTCATCATTAAAAATATTACGTACTCAAAATATTATTTAGTAGAAATTAAATCTGGGCTACAGACCACTAAAAAACGACCAAAGTTAGACCAGGAGGATTTATGCCTTCACTTTGGCCTCCAGTGGCTGTTTATTAAAAGGATAAATAATGAACAAAAATAACCACATCTACAGAGAATCTACCTACCTCTCCTCTCAAGGTTTCTGTGAATGAAACACTTATATTTATCTTCAGCTTGCCTGACTGACGTCTCCCCTGTGGCGGATTTGAAATATTTTCTTGCTCCCATTCGCATTGACTTGTACACTTCCATCTTAACATCAGCGACCAGAGCTTTGATGCGACTAAAGGCTTCTTCAGCCTTCGACCCACACATGATGATACAGTTGGACTTGAGATCAAATGAGATAGTGACAGACAGTTCTCTCCTGATTATATCTATTGACGATGAGCAGTGCCTTTGCAGAAACATGATTTTGTCTCGCTCTTCGTAAATCTTTCTTTCCTGTTGTTCCTCTCCTGAACCAGCTCCTTCTGGTGCCTTTAGAACCTGCTCCGGGGCGTACTTCTTCAGGATATGCTCTTCTTCAGCTTGTTCAACCAGCACCAATAAATTCTGAACAATCGGTAACACTCGGTCCTGTACTCCAATAACAATATATCCTGGCTGGTCGTCGGACAGACTCACCATCACTTCATCTGACGTTTGTGGAAGAATCTTCGATAATTTTTTCTGTTTCATTTCTGGCCATAAAATATGCATCACAGTAACTGGATGTACTTTTATGTCTCTAAGGACATCTGCGATGGCTGTATCCATGTTGTCTCTCCATGTCTGAATGTAGAAAACCGAGGAGTCTGAAGAATCGAGATGATCTGTATTATCATCTTTCACAAGTGCCACAACCAGTTCATCATCCTTGCTCTCATCCCATCTGATTTCACCACATTTAGTGTGAGCTAAGGTTGCTATCTTCATGCTGTGTGTATGGGATTGCTTCAAAAACTTCACCTTGTTGCTATCCAGGTTCTGAATGGTGTACAAAATATGGTCATCCCCGCTAAGGAGCTCAAGGTACGCAGCTGATGGTGGATCAGGAAGAGATTCATAATCTAGAACAAAATACATGGTCATCTTTATGCATGTTCTTGAACTAGTGAACACAGTTGCATGCTTCAATTTGTCTTCAATCAGTATTTAACATGAAAAACAAATGAAAGTTATAGACTGTATTGCTTAGATGTATGTATATATGTATGTATGTATGTGTGTGTGTGTATGTATGTATGTATGTGTGTGTGTATGTATGTGTGTGTGTGTGTATGTATGTATGTATGTATGTATGTATGTATGTATGTATGTATGTATGTATGTATGTATGTATGTATGTATGTATGTATGTATGTATGTATGTATGTATGTGTGTGTATGTATGTATGTATGTATGTATGTATGTATGTATGTATGTGAGTGTGTGTACGTGTGTGCTCATGTGGACGCGCGTGCGTATCGATGGTTATGTTCAGGGTTAGAAGTTTCAAGACATGTACTATTAAAATACAGACATATACCAAGACATAAGCAGTCGGGTAGCCTAATGGTTAACGCGTTCAAAAAAGCGAAAGTTTAATTTTGCAAATAGATACAGTGTGTGAAAGCCATTTGTGGTGTGATAGTGCTAGATTATTGCTAAATGCGGCGTAAAATCCTATTCGTTCACTTACCAGATAAGCTGTCAATAGGCGAGATAATATCACTAATCTCCGAAGTGATAATCTGGAGAGTTTTATCCCTTGGTTTTACAGCCCGGCCTTTCCGACGGTCAGAACAGAACGACAATAGGCTTCGCCTCTTTTCACGGCTGCCAAACGTTCTTCCCTTGCGATCACGTTGCGCTGTTGCAGAACTAACGCTGTCTCCAAACGCTGCCATATAGTCATCAGCATCATCGTCAAACACACTGTCATTGCCCACCAGTAACTTTCTGTAAAGTATATCTTCATCCGCAACATCTTCAGATACACTGCTCATCAGAAAGACCCGGACACTGTGTCCAAACTGGACTGTTGTGAGGCCAAGCTGCTCATCATTAAGCAGTGGCTCGTCCTCAGATGCCCCAAAGAGTCCGTACATAGGGTTGCTGGACATTGCTGCTGGAATCAGTCCTTCAAAGATACGTCTACTCAGCAGAAACCTTTTCTTACAAAACAGTTATTTTACTTACGGCTCTCTTATTAGCAAACTTCCAACACGACATATGAATCACACAGTGTCCCAGTAAACATCCACCGTACGTGTCTCTTATCAGCAAACTTCCAACACGACACATGAATCATACAGTATCCAAGTAAACATCCACCGTACGGGTCTCTTATCAGCAAACTTCCAACACGACATATGAATCACACAGTGTCCCAGGAAACATCCACCTTACGGGTCTCTTATTAGCAAACATGCACCATCATGGCGGTATGGATAACACTGATCCAGATTTCACTATGCACCTGTTGATGTTAAGTGTCCTTCACAGAGGCATGTACACGTACTTCTATGTAAACTTCATACCTTGCTACAATCGTCCCGTTTTCAAACGTCCAAAGCGTGGCAGGACCTAGAACGATAGTCAGTAGACAACACCCACTTCTGTAACAGTGTCAGTGTATGAGACGCCCCGTCCGGTACAAACCTGCATTACTACATCCTGCTATGACGTTCCTTGATATGGAGTAGAATAGGTCTACTACGCTTTCATTCTCTCACACCTGCGTGACTAATAACAGTAACTGTACCTGTATTATTGGCTGGATGTCTATATATACACGTACATTGTATCATATAATATCCTGTTTGAATTTGCTTGTCGAGTGTAGAAAACGTCAAAGGAAAATTTCATGCATGACTACTCCGTCCATTCAATTTATATTTCAACATTCCCTGTTTGCTCTAGCCTTGCTCCAAGGCTGTACTGAGTGCTACGCCCATACAATTATAATAATTCTATCCTTTGAATAGGTAAGTCTAGATAAAGGGACAGACCACATCTGTTATTAATATATTCTTTAGAAATTATTATTTAAACTATTAATCATTACCTTAGAGACTTGTTCAAGTCTAGGTTTGCCCTAGATGTGCAGTGTTTATTTTTCTTTCTATGAAACCCATACGCCGTATTCAATGAGGATCCTGGTTTGGGGTTGAATTCGTCAATACAATACAACAAATGATGGTGGTTTTCCCCATCCGTCTCACTGGAAAATACGTTTTGCTTTTGCTGATAGGACAGATCACGGAAATGTTCAGTTGTCAGCGAAATGTAGCAACCTGACGTCATATTGATATATTTAGTAAACACAATACAAGTTGTTTCCTGGTCACGAAGGGGACATGGGTTGATGTACATAGAGGGTACGTTGACCATGGGCCCCAGGGAAACATGTATTTATATTACCAAAAACCTCAATGTTAATTTTGAACTGTTTGAGTAATAAGGAGAACCAGAGTTAGCCAAATACCTACGACAGACAAGAAAAACAAATTTAGAGTTATCTCCCTTCCATCGATTTGCATTCGTAAAACATCGGTAATTTCCGTATATCTTTATGTGACTCAGTTATTCGAGATAAAGAATTACTAACACGAAGTGTAAAATGAATTTCTACAGTTCGGCATTTCCAGCGGGGTACATACAAAATGAACCGTTACAGCAAACCTTTACCGAAGTAGGCAGTGGGTGTTAGTCGGGATACAATTTAATATAAGGCGGTTCAAGTGGTCAATTCGTCTCAGGTTCGAAATGCACAGCTTTGCCAACACTATGTCACAGGTATGTCAAGTCATCGTTTACCAAACACATCGCTACCAGCGGACTACTTTCACGCACTTCACCAACACCTGGTGTCATCTTACGTTTACCTTACACACCGTTTATTGCAACGGAAACGAGCTACCATCCACTTCACCAACACCTGGTGTCATATTACGTTTGCCCTAACTCGGCGTTTGTTGCGCCGGAAACGAGCTACCATCCACTTCACCAACACCCGGTGTCATATTACGTTTGCCCTGACTCGGCGTTTGTTGCGCCGGAAACGAGCTACCATCCGCTTCACTAACACCCGGTGTCATATTACGTTTGCCCTAACTCGGCGTTGGTTGCGCCGGAAACGAGCTACCATCCACTTCACCAAAACCCGGTGTCCTTGTTCACTCACACCTACACCGGGTGTCATCGTGATTAATCCTATGTATACCGTCGGTGTTACAGTTTCAACATCAGGTCGTAGGTCCTGGTTCGATTCCAAACATGGGTACAACTATTAGGTGTTCCTGTTGAGATATTGCTTCAGCCGTGCAACACGGAGCGCCAGTAAAGCGACAAAATTCACTCTACAATCAAAACGTTCACTAAAAGCAGAGTCCGGTGAACGGTTTCCATCATGTCATAAGTGTGTGTTTAAATATAACTGTTACAGTCATGATAATACCTGTTGTTTCCGAGCAAGAGTCTCTAACGCCCTTTGAAATCGACAGTGAAAGATAAGCCTCGAGTTGACGTCAAGTTTGGAAACTAACCGCACTAGAGGCTGGAGAGTTAACAATTGGAATGTTCATATCCATCATCTGATAAAGTCTTTCAATTCTGCTCTCGGTAAAGTGTTGGCCTGTGTACATCCCATTTCAATGGAAAGACATAATGTATGTCTAGTCGAGCGATTTTTCATTCAGTGGGGTGTGCTCACTCAACTGGACATTTCTATACATGACCTGTCACTTTTCGCACACATGTTTTTCAAGAGACATAAGCTGATACATGTGTATACACCACTAGGGTATGATATCTCCATTGTTTCAACAGGTTGATTTTTTCCATAGCTACACCCAACCTTCACGTGCGGAGGTATCTATATGGAGGTATATTTGTTTTCACCGCTGTATACAAATAAGATGTGTTCTCGTGCAGATACCTCACCTTTCCTCGGCTTCGCCTCGGAATCGTAGGTATCTGCACTCGATATCGGGAATTTTCGAATATTGCTTCTCGGCTACGCCTCGAATCAATGTTCGAAAATTCCCTCTGTAAAATAGCCGTTGGAGGCGACGGATGGAAATTTCGAAATTTAAGGCACGTAAGAAGTAACCTCCTAATAGTAACCCCGGCACGTGTATTGGAAGTGTTCAAACTAATATAGAAATATTCAGCACTTTAATACTGTGGAAAGAGTCCTAACCGCAACACACAACAAATTAGGAAAGAAAACACAATGTTTGAGATTTTATTTATTGTCAGTGTTCACCTCATAACTAAATTGACAACACAGTTCTCGAATCTAAGCTCTGGATATGCGGACCGAGGTACCGCAATAGTTGATGTTTCAGGGGCAGTGTTCCTACCCATCTGGACGGCTTCTTTAGTTACTGTCTCGGTTACTGCAGTCGGCTCAGAATCCTTATCAGAAGAAGCAGGGTCGGTAGTAAGAATAGCACTGACCATACTCTCCTGCTCCCCGCTCGTCCTCGTGTAACTACGGACCCTTATTTTGAAAAATGAGACAATTTATAAAAGTTAAAACTTACCTGTTACACATCTATTACATATTTTACATATATATTTCATATTGAAACATTTAAAAAGACTGCATTATACCTTCACGGTAAATTATTCATTTTTGTACTTTAAAATCGGCTTTTGGAGTTATAAAATATCCAGTATAACATTACCTGTAACACTTTTGTGACAAGTACGCTCCATAATGAGCTGTTCACTTACACCAGCATTGTATAGTCTTGTAGCAGTTGTAGCACGTAGCGAGTGATTGGTTTTATAACCTTGAATACCCGCCCTGGCACACATCTCGGGAACAATCTTCTGCAGCGTGTTATGTCCTAAGGGCTGCCTACTGTACCTGAAAATACGCATTTTAGTAACATTAGCAAAATACTGGAAGAAATGACAGAAGTTTCCAATCACAGACATTTGTTCAGGAAATACCAACTCGGGCGAAAGTTTAACAATGGGACATCACATGACTTGATCGATTCAGACGTTACTTTCTCTGGTAATTTTGTTTAACACACCCGACTGTCAATTAAAATATTTCTCTTAATTAGTTACTTAAATTATATATATGCAAATCATAATTAGATCATTACTACTAAATTAATAGGTACGAATTCGAAAGTACTATTTTGTAATAAAATTTAATACTAGTACTTAAACCAAAACAGTATAGAATAGTACTGGGCAACATTACTTCCTAAATCATAATTAATAACAGTAAGTGATAATCTTTAAATGTATATGTTAGATTATATTTGAAAGGTTTTTACCAGCATTTGTCTGTGGGCGACTGCAAAACCTGGATCGAGATAAAAGGCATCATCATGGTCGCCGGTAGGGCAGAGGGAGAGGTACTCGTTATAGAGCCTTACGTGACATCTCTCTGGATTCAAACTCGGGTAGTGTTTGACTTCTTTCGGGTTGAGTTTCCTATGTTTTAGCCCATCTTGTACAGTTTTGGAATAGTCTTCTCGATAAAACAAATATTCTCGCCCAGTGTTATCTTTACTGAGAGAAATCTGCGAGTTCACATATTTCAGTTTCCTGTGCGCCTGACCACTACGTAAGCTGAAATTCTTTCCATTCAAATACAGAATTGTATGCAAAAGTACCCTTGGATTGTGATCTCCTAATTGTTTTGACTTCCACAATGAAAAATGTTCTGTGAATGGTTCGGCTTTTTTAACTTCCTGACCCAGACCCTGACGTGTTAATCATTTTATTTCCCCATCAAGCACCTGGCCAAACTCTTCGAAGGCTTCATTTTGTAGAAAATGCACATTTCTCTTGGTTTGTAGTTTAATGTGAGACTGGATCCCTATTACTAATTGCAGCAGTGTTTTTGGTGGATAAGGCTCCCCGTTTTGCTTCCGAACCTCAACGACAAATTTAGACATGAAATACCCCAGTTCTTGTTCTGACATGCTTTCTAATGTGCAGGTTAACTTTCTGTGTGAACTTCGGCGATTGTTCATAGCTATAGCCTATGCTTGAAAAGTGTTAACAGCAAATTTGCCTCGGCGTTGAGTGTTTGTAGATATAGCTTCCAATGTACGATTTAAAACTTCATCATAATTCGCTTCAACAAAACGCTCACCTGTTGCAGTTTTTTCTATACCAAGCTGGGACTCTATGACTTGGGACGCATGAACTAATTCTTCATCAGACTCGTCAGAAAGCATGATCCTACTATAGTCCGTTTGGCTCAAAAGCGGACCGATGAATTGCAATCTAACTCGAAAACTAATAAACATAAAATACTCAATGAAAAGCTGATCATAATCAAAACATCATACCCACTCTGTGAGGTTTTTGCAGAAGTTTTGTCCGAGAACGGATGGAGACGGCACAGCACAGGTTAATGAATAAATAACTTTGTCTGTGAACGTGCTTCTCGAACACCTGGCTGTCCCTTTCTCTGCACTCCTCCCTCGTAACAAACAGTGAACTGTGTCAATATTTTAATGATAGTTTGTTAAACAACTTTATTATTTTTAGGACAAACATTCTGCAAAAACCTCACAGAGTGGGTATGATGTTTTGATTATGATCAGCGTTGAGTATGTTATGTTTATTAGTTTTCGAGTTAGATTGCAATTCATCGGTCCGCTTTTGAGCCAAACGGACTGTTTTGTAGTAATGTTTGCCAACGACTGTCACCAAGTGCACACACAACTGCATTGATATGCTCGGAAACAGCGTGCACATTCTCGTTAGAGATCATGGCATGAACAGGTAGCGTTTTGACGAATGTTCGCAATCACGAGCACACAGAGTACATTTAATTGGTTTGGTATCTACCTAGGGGAGATATATGGACGATATCATTAGGAAAAGGTAAGTCATCTATCACGCAAGTGAAAAGTGTAGCCCACATGGTGTATGACGGTTAGCGACACACCTCTGCGGGGTGATATGGATTCAATATGGTGGCTGATTAGGGCCATCGCTTTCTCGTCTTAAAATCCGGAGGCGAGAAAGCGATAACACGAGACGGCCCTAATCAGCCACCATAATTCAACGCAATTTTTCAGTAATAACACGACGGGGGACACCATAAATGGGCTTCACACATTGTGCCCATGTGGGGATTCGAACCCGGGTCGTCAGCGTGACGAGCCGACGCTTTAACCATTAGGTTACCCCACCGCCCCCAGTTTTTTTGTGAGTAAGAGGAATATGCAGTAGAAGATATTTTCCCGGGTTTCTTTCATATACATACACATGTACATCTAGGTGTTGCTTCTATTTCAACGACATCGATGCGCATATATACTGATAATACACAGGTAGATAAACAGGTTATTACTTCAACATGTATTATAGTCGTAAATCATTTAGACACACCTGCACGACAAGCTGTGAGACAAACGTAATAAAGAATCCAGTCATAAATCAAACATTGTTGCTCTTGTTATTACATAATTTCATCGGATCATAACCTACGTCCCCTATATTTCCAGCATGTAACACGTGTACATTCTGTTCAAGTCCATGCCTCTCACAAAGTGAAGTACACATGAATGATGACATGTTTCACTTTGTGCAGTCTGCTTTACCCAGTTGATAAGTTGCTCAATAGCTGTGGGTGCAAAGGGGCGGTGGGGTAACCTAGAGCTTAAAGCGTTTGCTCGTGACGCTGAAGACCCGGGTTCGATTCCCCATATCGTTATATTGTGTAAAGCCCATTTCTGGTGTCCGTGGTATTGCTGGAATATTGCTAAAAGCGGCGTACACCGAACTCACTCACTCACTCCTTGCAAACTTGAGTTTTTAGTACATATTGTTTCCTTTGTAGTAGGCAATATCCGAATTACACTATGGATTATTGTGATGTTGAATCTTCGTGGTTAACATGTGGGCTAACTGCATCAGAATAGTTTCAGACTTACAAAACAACAACTAAACAAACATGATTATGGGAAGTAATATACAATGTCAGTGTTGACTATACTCAGAAACAAAATCCGTTTCGGTGTAAAGGGGGATAATAGCTGTGAAAACTGTATAACTGAATTACTGAAAGTCAGTGATGACACCAGGTGTTCCAGAAAAAAGGAATTTACTCACTTGAGTATATACAGGTGTATTCCATCAGGTTCACGTGCACGTATCTTAGAACCGACATCAACTTTTGTGTATTTTGAAAGACGTATTGGAATTCCTGATGTTATGATATGTGCATATTGTGCCTTGATCTCTACATGGTCTAAACTATGAATCCGTTATAACTAATTAAATATTATGACCCTTTCTCAACACCGGCATTGTATTTATGGTTCACCACGTATTCAATGATATTGCAACAATATCATCAAAATTATCAAATCTGGACCAGACAATCCAGTGATCCATATTGCGAACAACGATCGATTCGGGCGAAGTAAAATGACGCCCAATCCACATAGCCTGGCATCCCAATCACAGGGATTCGAATTACTGTTTGGGCAATAACTACATAAAATAATGAGTTTTCTAAAATATTCATTTCCACACCGATTTCATTCAAATTTGAAACATATATTAATCATAACATATATAAACAATATACAATTGCAAAAGTCTAGATTTTTATTTCTAAAAATTATTGTCCAAACAGTGATTCCAACCCCTGTGATCCCAATCCATCTCGTTGCCTCTTACATGTGCATGTGTTTTGTAGGCGGTTAGGGGCCATTTCTAACCTGAGTCCGCATCTACATAGATATAGATTAATGAACACATTTGGATGAAACTTCTGACAAATGACCTCAGTGCTTCCAGCTTATTTACCTCTTTATTGCAGTGTACATTGTATAACCACTAAAGAAAATCTAAATGAATAAATTATTCGGGATAATTACAACAATGTTCAAATAGATATAAGTTTGATGTTAATAAAGTTTGTTTTTAGCAATATTCCAGCTATAGGGCTGCAACCGAGTAAATATTCCAGTCTGGACCAGACAGTCCAAAGATTAACACTATGAGCATCGACCTGCGCAACTTGGAACCGATGAATGTGTCAAACAAGTCAGCGACCCTGACCACCCGATCCCGTTAGTCGCCTCTTACGACAAGCATGGGTTGCTGAAGATCAGTTCTAAGCCGGCTTTTTATTGTTCTTTATCGACGTAAACGTTTGTTCACTATCGAAGCATCACAAAAACCTTTACATGTGTTGCTCCTCTAGAAGTCAACGGATAATGTACATAAGATCTATGACATTGTTGTTGCAGTACCTTCTTATGTGTTTCACGTGGAGGCACAAGTCAGTACTATCCTGATCTGCTGGTATTTGCAAGTAATTCAGTGAGATGAACTACTTTAAATAGACATCGTTTTTAAGAGGCACTGACACCTTAATAACTGGTACAGTAAGATAAACTATTTCAAGTAGATATCGCTATCAACAGGCACTGTCACGTTAATGACTATAACAATCAGATGAACTTCTTCAAATGAACATCACTTTCAACAGGCACTGTCACTTTCGTAACTGGTACAGTAAGATGAACTATTTCAAATAGACATCGCTATCAACAGGCACTGTCACGTTATTGACTATAACAATCAGATGAACTACTTCAAATAAACATCACTTTCAACAGGCACTGTCACTTTCGTAACTGATACAGTAAGATGAACTATTTTAAACAGACATCACTTTCAACAGGCACTGTCACTTTCGTAACTGGTACAGTAAAATGAACTATTTCAAATAGACATCGCTATCAACAGGCACTGTCACGTTAATGACTATAACAATCAGATGAACTATTTCAAATAGACATCGCTATCAACAGGCACTGTCACTTTCGTAACTGCTACAGTAAAATGAACTATTTCAAATAGACATCGCTATCAACAGGCACTGTCACGTTAATGACTATAACAATCAGATGAACTATTTCAAATAGACATCGCTATCAACAGGCACTGTCACTTTCGTAACTGCTACAGTAAAATGAACTATTTCAAATAGACATCGCTATCAACAGGCACTGTCACGTTAATGACTATAACAATCAGATGAACTATTTCAAATAGACATCGCTATCAACAGGCACTGTCACTTTCGTAACTGCTACAGTAAAATGAACTATTTCAAATAGACATCGCTATCAACAGGCACTGTCACGTTAATGACTATAACAATCAGATGAACTATTTCAAATAGACATCGCTATCAACAGGCACTGTCACGTTAATGACTATAACAATCAGATGAACTATTTCAAATAGACATCGCTATCAACAGGCACTGTCACTTTCGTAACTGCTACAGTAAAATGAACTATTTCAAATAGACATCGCTATCAACAGGCACTGTCACGTTAATGACTATAACAATCAGATGAACTATTTCAAATAGACATCGCTATCAACAGGCACTGTCACTTTCGTAACTGCTACAGTAAAATGAACTATTTCAAATAGACATCGCTATCAACAGGCACTGTCACGTTAATGACTATAACAATCAGATGAACTATTTCAAATAGACATCGCTATCAACAGGCACTGTCACTTTCGTAACTGCTACAGTAAAATGAACTATTTCAAATAGACATCGCTATCAACAGGCACTGTCACGTTAATGACTATAACAATCAGATGAACTATTTCAAATAGACATCGCTATCAACAGGCACTGTCACGTTAATGACTATAACAATCAGATGAACTATTTCAAATAGACATCGCTATCAACAGGCACTGTCACTTTCGTAACTGCTACAGTAAAATGAACTATTTCAAATAGACATCTCTATCAACAGGCACTGTCACGTTAATGACTATAACAATCAGATGAACTATTTCAAATAAACATCGCTATCAACAGGCACTGTCACTTTCGTAACTGCTACAGTAAAATGAACTATTTCAAATAGACATCGCTATCAACAGGCACTGTCACTTTCGTAACTGCTACAGTAAGATGAACTATTTCAAATACACATCGCTATCAACAGGCACTGTCAGTGCTTTCCTCACATGAGTAGGCTTGACATGCTGAAGTCTTGGCGCAGGTTTTGCCTGTAGACAAATTGACACGCAGGAATCTTAGAATGTACAAAAACCCGTTGCAGTCATTTACTTTTACACAGGGCAAAGTTATTTCAGTCACCATTGTCACCATGTAGCTGTTTAATTGCAAATAAATACTGTGGATATACATGTGTTTCTCTGAAAATGATATATTGGGATGGAGGTCCATCCATCATGATCATCGCTGGCGCCATCGTCTCGTCCGCTTTAGTGCGTTCACCGGTGATTGCCTGGCATAGGTAGATGTACCTAATGCCGTTCGAGTCTCGATGGCAGTATTTGTCCTGAGTCGCACAACTGACCTCTGTGGCGAAGCACATGCCTTTTCCGTAGATGGTATCTATGAATAATTAATAAAGTTAGTTGATTTGGAAAATGCAATTATGAAAGTCAAATGAAGATGCAGATAGGGTAGTATATTTCGTTAAATAATTTAGGATCAGTCTGTACTTCGAAACATCACAAAGTCACCATTTTTAAAGTGATAATCACGGCATGGTTGAAACGTCACGTTCCGACGTAGATTTTCTAAGACGTTAATGTATGGAAAACTTTGGCCTCGCACTTAATTCACAGTTTGTGGAATCAAAGAGTTCGGTATTGTCACGATGTTGGAAATAATACATCTTGAAATAGGTAATTTTTGGTTTGTTCGATTCATGTAGATTTGAACATTGGAACCTCACGCTAACGAAACGTCAATCGGCCAAAGGATGATGACGTAAATATAATTCGTCAGTTCAAAAGCATACCCAGTTACTGAGTAGAATCGCCTATACCATCTCAAAGAAGCCTCATAGCTTCATGGAGCAACATTTACTTGATGTGACAATGAAGTTTGCTCTTGGAAAACGATCTTTTGTGATAATATCGTATTCAATGCGATAGGTTTTTCTGTATACATGTCAAAACTGTTATAAAGTAACTAAGTTTCAGTTATGTAATATTTTACCATTGTCACCACGATGTGCAATGTCGAAGCCGTGTGTATTGATATCGTCAATATCATCCACGTTGGTGCCACGCCAGAGAAGTCTAACGTTGCTCTCAGGTCTATCGTTCATGGACTGTTTCAGCAGCTGGTACTTCTGGTACCTTTCTCTGTTCTGGATACGGAGTATCTGCAATACAATTGTTCCATCAGCACAACTGAGAACAGATAATTACATTGCTGGATTGCATATGAACACCATAAACAATCAACTTGTTTCAGTATGATTTTAAGGAAGTATTTCAGTAATGTGTAAGGAAGGAACACGGTAATGCAGATCAAAGATATTTCCTTTTTTCGGTGAAATTGATAATAATTATTAAAACACATGCGACAAAACCGTTTCCAAAATCATAAGAGATCTATATTGCCAAGACATAGATGATATTGAGAGCTAATCAGGGACTCGAACCCAGACAGCAGATCCTGGCTCGGCTGGGGACGTAGCACTGTACAGCTGCTTTTTACACATTTATGCCATCCCTGTCCCAACATGTAAATCAGAAGAGAAGAATACATCTAGAACCTACGTCTACAATATCGAACGTGTTTCTGGCACTGCTCCGGAATATCTCCATCAGTTCCTCTGCTTCTGAGCCCGATATGACCCTCGGAGTGGTCACATCACTGTCGTCCATGTTATCCCACACATCCTCTGACCAATCCTTGGACAGGATAGACGGACCTACATGTAAAATAAATGGCTAGCATTATTACAAGATGGTAAAAGAAAAATTCAACTCCAAAACGGTTGAGTGAGTGAGTTTAGTTTTACGCCGCACTCAGCAATATTCCAGCTATATGGCGGCAATCTGTAAATAATCGAGTCTGGACCAGACAATCCAGTGATCAACAGAATGAATATCGATATACGCAACTGGGATACGATGACATGTGTCAACCAAGTCAGTGAGCTTGACCACCCGATTCCGTTAGTCGCCTCTTACGACAAGCATGGGTTACTGAAGACCAATTCTAACCCGGATCTTCACGGAAAACTTCAAAACGAATATAATATAATATAGACTGGATCAGATGATATGATGAAAGCATTATTACCGTGCTCGTGGATTTTAGAAAAATGGTAACCATCGCTAACTAACAGGAAGAGCCATACCCGTTATACAGTATTTTCTGACACCCGCTTGGCTGAGGGTATCCTTGAACAACTGTGCGGCTTCAGACACTGCAGCAGGGTTACTGAGGACAAGTCGCACATCTCGGAGGCATTTAAATTTCTCGTGGTTGTTGATTATTGCCTTGTTGAAAGCCAAGATGAAGGAATCCTCATGTGTGTTACCTTCATGGAAATAACACAACATTCTAAATGTTATTCTCAACATTATAAATCACCTCACTCAGCAATATTCCAGCTATATGGCGGCGGTCTGTAAATAATCCAGTCTGGACCTGACAATCCAGAGATCAACATCATGAGCATCGATCTACGCAATTGGGATACGATGACATGTGTCAACCAAGTCAGCGAGCCTGACCACCAGACCCTATAAGTCGCCTCTTATTACAAGCATGGATTGCTGAAGACCAGTTCTAACCATGGGATTTAGAGTCGAAACACTGAGGTTACATTCTCTCGTATCGTGCCAAAACGTATTGTATCGTTCTCAACTGATTTATAGATAAAGTAAATTTATAAAACGCGAGGACGCATAAACGATTCCTTCTCACCACATACAGGAATGATATCTAATGGCTCACCAGACTGGTATGTTATGGCGAGCGACATTGCTTTGTCTCGGTCAGCTTTACACAGACACTTGCTGATCTGCTTCCACAAGCTGTACTTCACAGGCTGCCGCGGGGTGGTGACGGTCTTTGCTGGAGGTTTGGGCAGAGGCAGTATCATGGCTCCCGTAGCCTTCAAGCTCGACTCTAACGTAAAATTAAAGGAGGTTACTTGTACCCAGATATGTATGAAGTGCAAGCCATGCGGTCAGTAAACTTCCTGAGAGTATTGCTTAAATATACTTGGATTATACAAGGAGATACATATATGTATTTACATAGCACAGCACACATGCAAAAACGAAGTGAAAAGGGGCTTACAGCCAGTTTTAAACCGAGATTAAATATTACGCACATGGAGGGTTTTTTTTCACATTTGATGGTATATTTTTATTTTATGACATATATTTGTCAAAATATGTGGACTTGACAAAGATGAAAACAATACTGTTGACTTGACTGTACAAGATAGAACAAATCGTCACACCTCGCTGGCCTGTGGTAGAAGGTTTTGATAGACGGTACAAATCTCAGGGAGGAAAACATAAATTCGTATTAACCATTGTTGGTTACGGCAGGCTTGAGTGAATTACTTCATGTCTGACTCGGAGAACAATCTAAGTTTTTTTTGGAAGGTAACCTTCTTTCTGGTTCTTTTGGGTTGCTGTTTCTGCATTACTGGATTTATCGCTGGTCCCTTACATTATATTAATACCGAGCCGACTTAGTCTAGTCCTTGTTTAACGTCTTTCAGTTAAACACGGTGCACCGGTATCTGGGCAGACACTCTGCATTTGTAGAACGCTCAGTATCCACCTCAAAATTGCTCAGTGGACAAATTATACGCAAAGCGAAGGCATTATTACTCCGGTTAACCCAAGTTGTCTGTTCTCTTTTACTTTATTCACTCAAGGCTACAATGTAGCATGATGAGGTTTTCAAGAGATATATAATAATTGCATATGGGCGTATACATGGTTAAGTACATACATTGATATCATATACACGAATAATACAATGATGGAGTTTTATCTGAATTTACAGAGCACATGGCGGCAAAAGTCTTATTAAAGTAGATACATTTTTTGTCTGGAATAAATTAATCATATTAAATATTGAGGGCTTTGTAATCAACTTTTTTAGGAATAAATCTTTTTCTTATTTCGTTAAAGTATTGACAAAGTATTAAAAAGTTTTAAAAAGGTAGTGGTACTCATCTCCTATTACATCTAAGGTGCACAATGTACATTTTCTATAATCATAATCGATATTGTACCATCCTCCACTTTCAACAGGAAGACGATGATTTGACAGTTTAAAATGTAACAAATTGAATATATATTTTTCAGGTAAGTGTTGTAAATAAAAATCAGTATCAGTGTTGTTTTTTACAACCTCATAAAACCTACCCTTTGATGATGCTTCTATATCTGAATGCCATTTTTGTATGAAAAGATCTATAAAGCTATTCTTGACTTTACATTTAATCCAATCCCTATTGACAAATGCATGATTAATCCATACATCATTATTTCCCGTCTTTATTAGTATGTCTTCGATACATGATAGCCATTTGTTATTAGATGTATTATTTGATGAAATATGCAGTAGCATGTTTGCCAGCTTTGAGTATATTCCTGTGATTAATCTCGCCCAGGAGTATATCATTTTAGTATATATAACAATAGAGAGTGGTCTTCGTCCTGTCTATGCATAAATCATATATAATGGTTTACTTTTCCTTGCCCTATATGTAAGTAATTTCCTTAAAAAAGTTAAATGGATATTTTTCGGAATACTTAAGTTTTCAAACTCCCATATTTCACACCCATCTGTGAGGCGCTAGAACGATAGCCAATCATAGCCTCATCACATCGGGTACCACTCAGTACTTGGTGAACAGTGGCAACATATTCACTTTCCTAGGGTGAGACATGTGCCACGTGTGCTTGGTTGTGGGGCAGGATAGTCCCAGAAACTCTCAAGAGTCTGACTGTCTAACACGATCAACCATCCAAGGACTCGTGACCAACCTTGCTCAAGTTTAACTTATTGGTGACCTTGGATCAGTGCACAGGACCACACACCAAAACAAACCATTCACCACCTCCTGCAGTGTTTATACAAGGATACAAATGTATGTTGTCATTATTAATATAAAGAGTGAGTGAGTGAGTTGAGTTTTACGCAGCCTTCAGCGATATTCCGGCGGCGGTCTTTAAATAATCAAGTCTGGACCAGACAATCCAGTGATCAACAGCATGAGCATCGATCTGCGCAATTTGGAACCGATGACATGTGTCAACCAAGTCAGCGAGCCTGACCACCCGATCCCGTTAGTTGCCTCTTAAAAGCATAGTCGCCTTTTGTGGCAAGCATGGGTTGCTGAAGACCTATTCTACCCCGTATCTTCACGGGTCTGTTAATATAAAGAAGCTTATCATATGATGGTAATGAATAATCCTAAATGTACCATTTGCATATTTATTTGTCTATAATGGTCTTGTCCATGGTAATTCAGTGGTCAGTGGACATCGACCCTTGAGGGTGGGGTGGTGTTACTCACCTGATGCCTCCATGATGTCTGTGGGGACAACAATGGCGTCGACGCACTCACTGAGGATGTTCCCGTGCTTCACTTCCAGCTGCACGTTGCCGTGGAAGAACTCTGAAACACAGAGACATAACGTAAATAGGATTGACCTTGAAACACTGGGCATTCTGGCCCAAAAGGGACGCTGAGATAACAAGGATTCTGAAACAAGGGCTTCTGAGACATGGAGGGTCTGAAACGTGGTTTTCTGCAACACAGCATCTCTAAAACATTGAATCTCTGAAACACGAAGACTTTGAAACATGGGGAACTGAAAAGTGGGATTCTGAAACTTACAGACTGTGAATCAATGGATTCTGAAGCAAAGAGACTGTGAATCAATGAATGCTGGAACACAAAGACTGTGAATTAATGAATGCTGGAACACAGATTGTGAATCAATGAATGCTGGAACACAGAGACTGTGAATCAATAAATGCTGGAACACAGAGACTGTGAATTAATAAATGCTGGAACACAGAGACTGTGAATCAATGCATTCTTGAACACAGAGACTGTGAATCGATTAATTCTGGGACACAGAGACTGTGAATCAATGTATTCAGAAACATGGAAGCTCTGAAACAGGGGTCTCTGGAACAAAAGCCGGCGTGTTCTGAAAACAAAGGGTTTAAAAACAAAGGAATTGATCCTGCGCACGTACAATGGGGGAAAGTCTTAATTCGAAGCTTTGACATTCGGCTGAAGCTCCACAATCTAATCTCTGACTTATTGTTGAATGAACCTATGTCTTGGTATGGTAATTACATCTCTGCCTCATAGATGAGACTCACGCCAAACCAATGACACTGGGCTAAGTTCAAAGGCAACGGATAAGACAGAGATAATATTACAACCAATACCGTCATCCAACAAATTTGAAGGTGAGTAATAGTGAACTGTACTGTTATGAAGAAACTTACCCGTCATCTGCTCTTGTTTTAGGGTTGTAGATCGTCTGTATCGAACATCTCCGTCAAACGTGTCTTGAAATACCTTTTTACGCCGATGAAAAAGGTGTATATATATTTTCTGTTGTATTTTGTTTATTTACCTGTTACCACACAAGCAATTAACATGTCATTTTCTGACGGTAAATGGTGCTGAATATTTCATGTAATTTCAAAAGTAAGGTTCAATCAGTTTTAGAATAACAATTCATGTCTGTATTAATGAATAATAATAACGGAGTATAGTCCACTGTATGCAGGTATAATTAACAATAGTCGCAAGGAAAGCATGTTATCCAGATGAACGTGGTTTTATTGTACAGAACAATTAAATATACACGACTTACCTTAAGTATATTTGTATCTTTATGAAAGATGACGACCATGATTTCTTTGAGAGAAGTCGGGTTTTGTTGTATGTATTCCCAAATGGTTTCTCTGAAGACATCTGCCACTGTGTGAGGCGGATAGTTCCTGACTCCAGTTCCAAGAGCTGGGAATGCTATGGTGCTGCGTCCTGCTTGAGATGCTTTCTGGAGACACTGATGTATTGTGCGACGTAACACCTGTACCCAGGAGTGAGTGAGTGTAGTTTTACGCTGCATTTAGCAATATTCAAGCAATATCACGGCGGGGGACACCGGAAATGGGCTTCACACATTGTAACCATGAGGAGAATCGAACCCGAGTCTTCAGCGTGACGAAATAACGCTTTAACCACTAGGCTACGCCACTGCCCCCTATACACAGGGACATTATACACATGAACAATGATGTGGTAATCATAGGACAATTAACGCATTACCTTAAGGCGGGGTGACTTCAGGGAAGTACATCTCAATGCCACAGGTATAATCGACACCTTGACAAATCACATGGCAAGGATAAATCACAGTGTGGGTTTAGTACAGGGCATTTTGCTCATTAACACGGGTGTGAGCCACAGGACACCTGACACATTACCACTGGTTTTAGCCACAGGGACACATGACACATTACCACTGGTGTTAGCCACAGGACACATGACACATTACCACTGGTGTTAGCCACAGGAAACATGACACATTACCACTGGTGTTAGCCACAGGACACATGACACATTACCACTGGTGTTAGCCACAGGGACACATGACACATTATCACTGGTGTTAGCCACAGGAAACATGACACATTACCACTAGTGTTAGCCACAGGAAACATGACACATTACCACTGGTGTTAGCCACAGGACACATGACACATTACCACTAGTGTTAGCCACAGGACACAGGAAACATTACCACTGGTGTTAGCCACAGGACACAGGACACATTACCACTAGTGTTAGTCACAGGACACATGAAACATTACCACTAGTGTTAGCCACAGGGACACATGAAACATTACCACTAGCGTTAGCCACAGGAAACATGACACATTACCACTGGTGTTAGCCACAGGACACTAGACACATTACCACTGGTGTTAGCCACAGGACACATGACACATTACCACTGGTGTTAGCCACAGGACACTAGACACATTACCACTGGTGTTAGCCACAGGACACATGACACATTACCACTAGTGCTAGCCACAGGACACAAGATACACTACGACAGGTGTTAGCCACATGGACACAGGACACATTGCAACTAATGTTAGCCACAGGACACATGAAACATTACCATTAGTGTTAGCCACAGGGCACATGATACACTACGACTGGTGTTAGCCACAGGGACACATGGGATATTACCACTGATGTGAGCCACAGGGACACATGACACACTACGACAGGTGTTAGCCACAGCGACACATGACACATGGCAACTGATGTTAGCCACAGGACACATGACACATTACAACTGGTGTTAGCCACAGGACACATGACACATTACCACTAGTGTTAGCCACAGGAAACATGACACATTACCACTAGTGTTAGCCAAACCATCACATGACACACTACGACAGGTGTTAGCCACAGGGACACATGGCACATTACCACTGATGTTAGCCACAGGACACATGAAACATTACGACTGGTGTTAGCCACAGGAAACATGACACATTACCGCTGGTGTTAGCCACAGGACACATGAAACATTACCACTAGTGTTAGCCACAGCGAGACATGACACACTACGACAGGTGTTAGCCACAGGGACACATGGCACATTACCATGGGTGTTAGCCACAGGGACACATGGCACATTACCATGGATGTTAGCCACAGGACACATGAAACATTACCACTAGTGTTAGCCACAGGACACATCACACATTACGACTGGTGTTAGCCACAGGCACACATCACACAGCTGTGCTAATGACAGGACACATGACACATTACCACTGACGTTACAGAAACAGATTTGACCGTTTGTATCGCAAAAGATGAAATTGATACAAAGCTGTACAAAAGCTGTACAATTACGACAGGTGTATGGCACAGGGACACATGTCACATTACGACTGGTGTTAGCCACAGGGACACATGACGCACTACGACAGGTGTTTGCCACAGAGACACATGTCACATTACCACTGGTGTTAGCCACAGGGACACATGTCACATTACGACTGGTGTTAGCCACAGAGACACATGGCACACTACGACTGGTGTTAGCCACAGGGACACATGACGCACTACGACAGGTGTTAGCCACAGGGACACATGGCACATTACCATGGATGTTAGCCACAGGACACATGAAACATTACCACTAGTGTTAGCCACAGGGGCACGTGTCACATTACGACTGGTGTTAGCCACAGGGACACATGACACACTACGACAGGCGTTAGCCACAGGACACATGACACACTACAACTGGTGTTAGCCACAGGCACACACCACACAGCTGTGCTAATGACAGGACACATGACACATTACCACTGATGTTACAGAAACAAATTTGACAGTTTGTATCGCAGAAGATGAGATTGATATACAAAGCTGTACAAAAGCTGCGTCGTTGACGTTACCTCTTCATGGCGCTGTTGCGGTTTATAAATTGGAAGACAACAGTGATGCAACTCCTTGCAGCGGAGTTTGCCAACATACGTTCGTATCTGCACCACGTCACCATTCTTCATACCCCGGGGAAAGAGCTCCTTACACTGCATCTGTACAATAGCACCGCCTACACTGACAATAGCCCTGGACATGGCCGATGTTGACAGGTCGAGCTCTGTGTTTGTAGAGTTGACAATCACATCCGCCTGGTGATGAAGAATAACTCACTGGTTATGCATGGTTTATATTATGTGTTAGCGATAATACACCAATACACGTCACATTCAAAACAAACTCTGAATGACCCAAGACATTAAATAGTGAGTGAGTGAGGTTAGTTTTTCGTCGTACTCAGCAATATTCCAGCAAGACATTAATTATATGATGTAGTGGTATATAAAGAGATGTGATAAACAGAGCAATATTTGTGAAATTACCAATTGTCAGATTCAACCCTCATACCTTTACTATTGCCAAATTTCCTACTTTAAGAGTGATCCCGATCTCAGCGAAAGTACCACGTTCTGGAACAAAGCAAAACAGAATGAAACGATATTATAAGATGAGAAATTTTAATCTCTCAATTATGAGGCAGTGTTTTAAACATTATACCCCAGTGCAAAACAATACCCCATCTTGACCATCCCCATATCCTTTTGGTACAGAGGGGAAAATAGCTGTTAAAATGGTGTGAATTGACAAAACAAAGTCAGTGATGACACCAGGTGTCCTGCCCTACCGGTATCATCCGCCATTCGAAGACTGTATATCCAAGTAGTGAGTCGTAAAGTAACTTGTCATGCCGCTCTCATGTGGCCTGGCTTGTACTGTCACTCTCATGTAACCTCACTTGTAATACCACTCTCATGTAACCTGACTTGTAATACCACTCTCATGTAACCCGACTTGTAATGCCACTCTCATGTAACTCTTAATGCCACTCTCATGTAACCTGACTTGTAATGTCATTCCCATATAACTTGACTTGTAATACCACTCTCATATAACCTGACTTGTAATGCCACTCTCATGTAACCTGACTTGTAATGTCATTCCCATATAACTTGACTTGTAATACCACTCTCATATAACCTGACTTGTAATGTCACTCTCATGTAAACTGACTTGTACTGTCACTCTCATGTAACCTGACTTGTAATACCACCCTCATGTAATCTGACTTGTAATGCCACTCTCATGTAACTCGTAATGCCGCTCTCATGTAACTTGACTTGTAATGTCATTCCCATATAACCTGACTTGTAATGCCGCTCTCGTGTAACTCGTAATGCCACTCTCATGTAACCTGACTTGTAATGTCCCTCTCATGTAGCCTGACTTTAATGCCACTCTCATGTAACCTGACTTGTAATGTCACTCTCATGTAACCTGACTTGTAATGCCCCTCTCATGTAACCTGACTTGTAATGTCCCTCTCATGTAACCTGACTCTCATGTAATGACTTGTAATCTCTCATGTAACCTGACTTGTAATGTCACTCTCATGTAACCTGACTCGTAATGCCACTCTCATGTAACCTGACTTGTAATGTCCCTCTCATGTAACCTGACTTGTAATGTCACTCTCATGAAACCTGACTTGTAATGTCACTCTCATGTAACCTGACTTGTAATGCCACTCTCATGTAACCTGACTTGTACTGTCACTCTCATGTAACCTGGCTTGTAATGCCACTCTCATGTAACCTGACTTGTAATGTCCCTCTCATGTAACCTGACTTGTAATGCCACTCTCATGTAACTCTTAATGCCAATCTCATGTAACCTGACTTGTAATGTCATTCCCATATAACCTGACTTGTAATACCACTCTCATGTAACCTGGCTTGTAATGCCACTCTCATGTAACCTGACTTGTAATGTCCCTCTCATGTAACCTGACTTGTAATGCCACTCTCATGTAACTCGTAATGCCACTCTCATGTAACCTGACTTGTAATGTCCCTCTCATGTAACCTGACTTGTACTGTCACTCTCATGTAGCCTGACTTGTAATGTCACTCTCATGTAACCTGACTTGTAATGCCCTCTCTCATGTAACCTGACTTGTAATGTCACTCTCATGTAACCTGACTTGTAGTGCCACTCTCATGTAACTGGTAATGCCGCGCTCATGTAACCTGACTTGTACTGTCACTCCCATGTAACCTGACTTGTAATGTCACTCTCATGAAACCTGACTTGTAATGTCACTCTCATGTAACCTGACTTGTAATGCCACTCTCATGTAACCTGACTTGTACTGTCACTCTCATGTAACCTGGCTTGTAATGCCACTCTCATGTAACCTGACTTGTAATGTCCCTCTCATGTAACCTGACTTGTAATGCCACTCTCATGTAACTCTTAATGCCAATCTCATGTAACCTGACTTGTAATGTCATTCCCATATAACCTGACTTGTAATACCACTCTCATGTAACCTGGCTTGTCACGCCACTCTCATGTAACCTGACTTGTAATGTCCCTCTCATGTAACCTGACTTGTAATGCCACTCTCATGTAACCTGACTTGTAGCGCCACTCTCATGTAACTGGTAATGCCGCTCTCATGTAACCTGACTTGTAATGTCCCTCTCATGTAACCTGACTTGTAATGCCACTCTCATGTAACCTGACTTGTAGTGCCACTCTCATGTAACTGGTAATGCCGCTTGTAATCTCATGTAACCTGACTTGTAATGTCACTCTCATGTAACCTGACTTGTAGTGCCACTCTCATGTAACTCTTAATGCCAATCTCATGTAACCTGACTTGTAATGTCATTCCCATATAACCTGACTTGTAATACCACTCTCATGTAACCTGGCTTGTAATGCCACTCTCATGTAACCTGACTTGTAATGTCCCTCTCATGTAACCTGACTTGTAATGCCACTCTCATGTAACTCGTAATGCCACTCTCATGTAACCTGACTTGTACTGTCCCTCTCATGTAACCTGACTCGTAATGCCACTCTCATGTAACCTGACTCGTAATGCCACTCTCATGTAACCTGACTTGTAGTGCAGCTCTCATGTAACTGGTAATGCCGCTCTCAAGTAACCTGTAATGCCACCCTCGTGTAAAACAGCTATTGTTCATGCAATATGTTACAATTTCTGATTACGCTGCAACTTCTCTTGTTGATATGATGGTGAACACAACAATGGATTTATGTGTTCCGGGGAAAGCATCGAACGCTACATAAAAACTCCAAGACTTAAAGTTTCACGTGACCTATGTACGTCACAGTGCAATAACAGCATTATTTATATGAACATCTGTCAACAATGACAACTTTCGATTAAACGTGGAGGAACGTCGAGAAGTACGATCGGCGCTTTTATCCTGTGAAGTATTCAGCATATTGTGGATGTTAATCCTGTGGCAAGGATTTACACTTAGTCTTTATACTGATAGGAAACATGTTTGAATGCAGCGAAACGAAGGCCGGTAATACCCACATCCTACCTGCCGTTGAAATGAAAACCTTCTTATTGAAAGTCCCTCTCATAAAGTTAACACTGGCATGCCCATGGCCCTATTCAGAATACAGTCTCAGCACTCGGTCTACTGATAATCATGTACTGTAGCACAGACATACTACATCACTGAGTTGTGATAGAGTTTTGAAACGGACCCCGGTTATATATTACCGTGCCATAAGAATGACTCAAACAGCTATTCATCTACTCTTTTCAAGTCGGGATCCAAAATATTCACATTCATAAAGGACACAACACGTCGTCGGGGACACCGCTGACAACTCCACCTTGAATGTTTGTTTATAATGCATATATTGCCATCTTTCGGCACCAACACAGATAATTAAAGGCCACTTGTCTGAGACAAAAATATACAAACATGTTTTAACTTACTGTGTTCAGTGCCATCCTTCCTTACGTTCACATATGACGCTTCGCTGTCCGAAAGCGACCAGTGAACCCCCTCCTGGGTTGTCATCCTTTGCTGGTCAGTATCTGACCCATCCTTCCTTACGTTCACATATGACGCTTCGCTGTCCGAAAGTGACCAGTGAACCCCCTCCTGGGTTGTCATCCTTTGCTGGTCAGTATCTGACCCACTGATATTTCCAGTTATCGGATTCATTTTCACGACCATGCAATTTCAGCTTCACAAAATAAAACCTTGTTACGTAGATGAGTCACAAACAGCCGACCTCAGTAACCTGAATAAGGAATCCACTTGTTCAGCCGTTGTTAATGTACAAAGCAAACGAAACTTCAGTGTGTTTATGTTATGGAAAATCCGCCACTCTTAATCCATTGCCATTGTAAATAACTATTAGACCTTGACATGAAGCATATTATTTGCACGACAAGCTATCGCAAATAGCTTTTCCAACCTTTTATTTGCCATGTCATTAGGAGCAACAGTTCGTTCAAAAATGCACTAGCTTGTCTTCAAACAGGCACAGATACTTCTTCTTCTGTGGGAATTATACAGCAGATTTGCACCATACCACTTAAACAGTACGGCGCCATTTCAGAGACAAGGTAACATCGGCTACGACGGTGTTGTTAATTGGTATGATTCCAGCGTCTCATTATATACCCACAAACCGGTATGTTCAGTTAAAACATGTACACAATATCAAACGACAACGGGTATAATAAGGAAATCTTTTGTATCGGTTCTATAAATACATACACCGCACATCTACGCAGTTAGATTAGTAGGAAATCGCCTACCACACTGAGTCACTGTTTCAAAGAGGACGCACATCAACATACGAATACAAAGCTGGTAACATTTCTAACCCCGTGTATGCTGAACACGGGGAAGTTTGTATGTGCGATGTATTGCTATTCTATCACATTCACACGTCGTTGAATGGGACATTGAGCAACCTCCATACAAACATATTTCTGCCAGGACGTAATGGCATTCAGGCGCAGGTTTTCCCCGTTCACGTTGTTGATCACTGTAAAATTGAATACCTAAGGCTGATTTGCTTATTATAGACCATAGCCAGCAAAGTTCCTGTTGTTTTTTGGCATCATGTATGTAACTGTTCTGTGACAAACACATTTTATACACGAGTGAGTGAGTGAGTATGGTTTTACGCAGCTTTTACGCAGAATAATCGTGTTCGCTCTTTAGTATTAAGGCAGAGATATCGTGAAAGCGAGAATGTCCCTTACGGTATTCCTTACAAATCCATTATCCCTATGTTCCCGGTGTTAGTGAGTAAGTGAGTTTAGTTTTACGCCGCTTTTAGCAATATTCCAGCAATATCACAGCGGGGGACACAAGAAATGGGCTTCACACATTGTACCCATGTGGAGAATCGAACCCGGGTCTTCAGCGCGACGAGCTTAACCACTAGGCTACCCCATCGCCCCCAGCGACTAAAGTTATGTCTGGTCTGACATACCCGTTGTGGGGTAATTAATTGTAATGTTTGTGTCTGTACCGGACGTAAACATACCAAAATGAACTCAGTGGAACAAAAATTGTTTTATTGATCACAGTAAACGTTTTATCTGAGACAGATTGGCATCGTTGTCAAATACAAATCGTTCAGACAGAGATCAAATCGTTCAGACAGAGACTCACTTCATAGGTGAGTTTGGTTAAGGCCACTTTAAGCAGAATATCAGTCACATCACTACGTTTTCCTGCTTTCATCAAAGTAATAAACGTCAATGATAACTTCAGGTTTTTCTCGAACTAATACCTTACCCACTTAGATAAGAAAAAACAAAACAATTAAATAGTTTGGCCGCAGTCACGTGACAAAAGTGGACTGACTTGGACTGGTTGTTAACTACAGTGGTCGGTCCGACTAAGATCCCTCGATTATATCCCCGGTAATGACACCAATACTCCCGACAACAATGACCAATTGTTTTGCAACTGAAATAATGTTCAGAACCAAATTCCCTCACACTAGTTCCGACAGATCAACTAACCATTGTCTGAATAGGAGCAATGGACAAGGGTGTGATAAGGACACCTGTATTGGACAACGGATCTATATATGTTACAGCCAATGGTTACAATCAGGCAATGTGTACAATGACTGAAATAACCAGTCATTGTGTACATTGTCTAAAATATCCAGGCATTGTGTACATTGCCTGATTAATTAACCCAAATATTGTACAGATTGACTGATTGTTGAACAGGGATTATCGAGAAGACAAGATTAGCATGGGTTCCGTTCTGTGATCACTGAGGCTTCGTGTAATAAAGTAATGTTTATAGTTTAGATTAATCCAACTTTCCTTAAAGCAAAGGTTTCCCTAGTAATGATGCTTCCTAAGAGCACAGGCTTATACAAGATTAAATCAATCCAACAACATGTTCAGACAAACCGGTGGCGCATTCTGAAAGACATCAACTGAAATCCCGGAGAGGCCTGGCGCTTTACCTGGCTTCATACTGCTGGTGCTGATAACAACTCACCTATACTGATAGCTTGATCTAACTCGCTTTCCATATAAACAGTTCCATCAATCGCTTCAGCTGATATAGAGTTCACAAAATCATCAACAGATTGATAGAATTCAATAAAGTCTTCAAATTCTTACTAGACTTGACATTCATTCTTGTTATCATCATGGAGCCTGCATTTCGTGAGCAGACGACAGCCCGATTCGAAGTCAATCTTGTTGACTAAAGGAGATTACCTTAGTTTGATTGAAGAAGTCAAGGTTTCACTAGGAGCTGAGAAGAGGACGTTCCGGCAGTATTACGTTCTTGGGAGGTATTTTGGTAAACAAGCAGAACTCTGCTTATATCAATACCTCACCAGTACATATATCATTTAAACAAAATGCACAAGAACTGGATACAAAAACCGACAAATTAAATCATCTATGTGCGTTGTAGGTGCTTATAAACATTGAGCTTGCAGCTACACTTCATTAATTGATTGCATATAATTGTTAGTATAATTTGTCAAATCGTTTAGACTTAAAGATGTATTGATGCAGGGACTCTATTATGTTCTTATTGACGTTGTTGTTTGCCGGAGATATTCCGTATAACACAGTTTGGAGATTGTGGCCATTTACATAGAAGTAGGTATTAATCAGAAGTTAATCAGAAGGTGAAAGCCAGAATCAGAATCTGCAGTTAGCTATTTCACTCATATTGATGAGCTGTTTGATATAAAACGGAACCCATGCTATTCTTGTCTTCTCAATAATCACTGTTCAACAATCAATCAATATGTACAATATTTAGGTTAATTAATCAGGCAATGTACACAATGCCTGGAAATTCAGACAACGTACACATTGACTGGTTAAATCAGTCATTGTACACATTGCCTGATTGTAGACATTGACTGTAATATATACATTTAGAAATATAAAAATCGTTTGAAATCATATATGACAATTTGATGGTGTTCATTTCAACTATTGAGTATTTTTAACTCATAATAACACTAAGATAAGTCTAAAATATTTATTGTATATAGTACAAGAATACTGGTTAACGTCAGCATTAAAATGATATTACGATAGCCCCTATATTGGTATTGGTGGCTCTTATATACTCCCCATAAAAAGTTTAGACTCACTAGAATCACTTACTATATGTTATGAATATATATGGTTACATCTGAGATGAATTTCTCCACTAACTGGGGGGAACCAACTGCAAAGTTTATGTTGATGAATTGCACAGGTATCATGGATCAAATTGCTGAAAAGCATGTGCAAATATCGCGAATGTGAACAGCTGCGTTTTGGTGTAAAGTTTTGTTAAGAATTCGCCATTTTTCACTGAGTTTCATCATTTATTAAACTCATGACAATAATCTTTTCAACGTTACGAATTCGTTTTACAATACATCAGCTCATGTGAAAACAGTACCTTCAAACAGTATGGGATATTATGCAAAATCTAGTTTAGAACAGTTGACTGAAGTAAGTGGCTACATTTACACTAGTGAGTCTAAACTTTTGATGGGTAGTATATAACGCTTGAATGCTAACCAAGAAATACACATTGCACGTTGACGTTTAGGCAAGTCTGGTTACAATAAATACCATGAACAAACAAAATAATTCATGAAACCAATGGGATGATGTAAACTGATTTAACATGTAACTGAAATAAGGTATATGAATGTGAAACAAATACATGATGTTTGCCATTAAGCGGATTACAGTGTTTTAGTAAGTACAATTAATAGTTCATTTCGGAGTCCTATCCGGGATTCGAACCTAACAGAGTGAGGCAATTGGTGCTGGCCATTAGGTGTTTCTCTATGAGATCTTCGCTTAGATCCCGGGTGCTTCTCCATCCAAAATATTCCTAGTATTTGTACTTTATTGAGAAAGTGTAATTCCAAATATAACTCACGGGCGAAAGAAACGTCACCTCGCTTTTTTTGTCACAAAACAACAAACTCAGATTTTGAAAATTTAACAATCATATTTGGAAAATTAATGGATCTACAACATTCTGAATGTTGAAAGTGTGAACTACAGATATGAATAATCACTTAGTGTACGATAAAAGATAAAAATAATCATTTTGGTGACGTTTTTTCGCCCGTGAGTTTATGTTAACCTAATAAAGTTAATCAATGATTCAACAAGAGACAGACATATCAGATTTCAAATCAAGAAATATCAAAATATTCCGTTTAAGAAAATACTGACAAGTAACGAAGGCCTTCTCTCCATGTTAGTCTTTCAAAGATCCCAAAGAGAAAGGTCGTTGTACCCTAGCAACTTAAATGTTCATTTGAGTCCAGGATAAACCAGACATTTAAGTGTCCCCAGTAGACCCGAAGATGACTGCCAGTTGTCACATGATAGGCCAGACTACAACGTGTGTGAAGGTGGAGTTGGCAAAGCAGCTGAAAGACAAATTCGTACATTTAACAGCTCTACCAGTCTACAGTGGGAGTCGTCGGTATCTACTGTGTAACAGTATTTCCCCTTTGGTTTTTATGCAGTATTTGTTCTATCGTGATTCAACAGTGTTTATCCCAGTATCCCGGTTTTACCTTCTAGTCTGCTATTTCACAATCCATCCAGCACATGACATAAGCCATAAGAAAAGATGGTTGCATACATTTAAAAAAAGAGGTTTCCGAAAGTTTTAGGAAACAACACAGTGAACTGATAAAATATTTTATAAAAAAGGACTGAATTGAGTTTAAACGATACGGCTCTAACGTGGTAAATGTTCTCAAATATTCCCAGCAAACATAAGGTTGACGTTTTTAAATTGCCTGGCAAAAGAAAGTAAACATTAAAAAACTGGATCTGCCTCCCAAAAGGTTACAAACGTCTTCAAACCGTCACTAGGCTGCAACAAAACAACGAAACAATGCAAAATGAAGGTCGTTTGAGTGAGTTTAGTTTAACGCCGCTTTTAGCAATATTCCAGCAATATCACGGCGGGGGACACCAAAAATGGGCTTCACACACTGTACCCATGTGGGGAATCGAACCCAGGTCTTCAGTGTGACGAGCGAACGCTTTAACCACTAGGCTACCTCACCGTCCCAAATGAAGGTGGAAATATAATATGACACCCGCATCAAGTAAATCGCCATCAAATCGAAGTAAACATTAGAAAACGGGATTTTGCTAAAACATAACCGTTACAAACGTCATGACACCGTAACTTGGCTGAAACAGAAGATGGGACAGTTCCATTCAAACATGCTCAAATATCTAGAAGCACATGCACTTATCAACAACATTTCAATATCCCATATATTGCAAGTTGACACAAATCATACTTTTCGCGTAGTGTTAACACGACCATGTCAGAAAGTCCCACCACGCTTCTCAACCCGAGACATCTTCAACGACTCTGTAGGCGACATGTGGAACCGATTTGTACGGAAGTCAGCAGTGACCATGCCTCCCGAGACTTTGAAGGTAGCCGATGGGAAATCTTCCTTGAAGGCCTGCTCCAGCAGCATGTTGGTCACTGAGGGAAGGCCTTGAGTTCCCCTCCCGGAGTGGTCATGTACCACCACTGGACGTTGGTCTGAATCGTTTCGGCTCGTTCCCGTGTCTGGTGCTTCGTATTTAGACCTTGGACATATTCATGAGTCTTTCTCTTCGCTGCCATGACGTCTTCTCTGGAGCCGTGGAAGTGGACCATCCCGTTGCTCTTGTCTACCTGCGCCAGCACGTGCAGATCCGCGCAGAGGGAGGTCACGCGTGGCACCTAAAACAATTAGCAATTGCATGGTGCAGAAAAACGATCATGACGAAACTTGGATTCGAACCTAAGGTTACGGTGAGTGAGTGGGCTTGGTTTAACACCTCTTGTTAAGAGTATTCCATTTGTATCATGGGTGTTATCTTCATGTGGGAGTAGCCTAGTGGTTAAAGTGTTAGGTCTCACACCAAAGACCCGGGTTCGATTCCCCACATTGGGTTCATCATGTAGACCCCATTTTTGTGTCTCCCGTCGTAATTATGCATGAATATTGCTAAAAGCGACGTAAAAATATACTCATTCACTCACTCACTCACAAGACCTCGGTCATGCTGCACACAATCCAAGAAACAAAACAAGCGCATGAGCTAAATAGTTTTACGCCGCTTTTAGCAATATTCCAGCAATATCACGGCGGGGGACACCGGAAATGGGCTTCATACATTGTACCCATGTGGAGAATCGAACCCGGGCCTGCGGCGTGACGAGCGAACGCCGTAACAACTAGGCTACCCCACTGCCCTTAAATATTTGAAGGGATGGATACTAAGGTCCAAAGACAACGAAGTGCTACGCCTCAGCTCACCTTGTCGTCAGGAAGAGTTTCAATGGCCGAACCTGTCTGTATATCTGACACAACATTGTTCAGCAAGATGACGGAGACAGTGTCCATGCAGTTTTCAAGGTGCTCTTTGGTCACGGCCAATAGACGCAGTCGCGGCAGTGGAAGCAGGCACGGATCATCCGACCTCATGGACTTACTTTGGTATCTTTGTGGTTTGGAGCCTACGAACAAAATAACGAAAAATCAAATAAACCAATTCTGAGAACACAACATAGAGTTTGTGAATGAGTTGGGTTTTTCACAGCGTTTAACAATAGTCCAGCAATCTCACGGTGGGGGGGACACCAGAAATTGGTTTCACACATTCTAACCATGTGGGGTTTCCAACCCGTAGCCGATACCTCAGACATCATATATAACAAAGAGCCATGCTTATATTAAGTGGGCGTACGTGAAGGGAACCCCTCAACAACCTCCACCCATTTATTCCACCTCAAATACATTAGATATAACAAAAAGCCATGCTTATATTAAGTAAACGCACGTGAAAGCAACACCTTAACAACCTCCGTCCCTCCACCCATTTACACCAAACGATCAACTTAGACATTAAATATAACAAAGAGTCATGCTTATATTAAGTGGGCGTACGTGAAGGCAACCCCTCAACAACCTCCACCCATTTACCCAACACGGTCACCTTGGACATTCAATATAATAAAGAGTCATGCTTAAATTAAGTGGGCGTACATGAAGGCAACACCTGCACAACCTCCATCCCTCCATCCATTTACACCAAACGATCAACTTTACACCAAACGATCAACTTGGACATTAAATATAACAAAGAGTCATGCTTATATTGAGTGGGCGTACATGAAGGCAACCCCTCAACAACCTCCACCCATTTACCCAACACGGTCACCTTGGACATTAAATATAACAAAGAGTCATGCTTATATTAAGTGGGCGTACATGAAGGCAACACCTGCACAACCTCCATCCCTCCATCCATCTATCAAACACAAATGATGAAAAAGAAGATGGTTATATCAAATGGACGTACGTGAAGACAACTCATCTTCATGAGACAGCACAAAAGATTTCCTCATAGCTGGGCGACCAACGTTCTGTCGGAAAATGGAATCAAATGTGGACTTTTGTTCTGTGTTGTTGAGGAGGATCCGAACATCACTAAGGACCTTCAGGTTAGTCTTGTGTCGTTTGATGGCCCTCTCCATGCCAGTGGCGAATACCTTAGCGTCGTCGTCTTGCTCTGTAAGAACAATTAGTGTTTATTATTCTATAAAACATGAGGTTGAAGACATGGAATGTTTTCTAATAAATTAGCACGGTTGAAAGCATGCATACTATTGTTAGGTCCTCATAATCTTTGTCATACGCTTTGACTATGTCGCCAAAGCCATTGTCAAATAACCCTTGACGATCCGGGTTAGAATTGATCTTCAATAACCCATGCTTGTCGTGAGAGGCGACCAACGGGATTGGGTGGTCAGGCTCGTGGACTTGGTTGGCACATGTCATGACACATGACACACCAACAGCGTAGATCATGATGTTGATCACTGGATTGTCTGGTCCAGACTCAATTATTTACAGACCGCCGCCATATAGCTTGAATATTGCTGAGTGCGGCGTAAAACTAAACAGACTCACTCACTCACCCATTGTCAAATCCGTCTTCAATGAGTCGAAGATAAAGTTCTTAAAAGGCATTTAGAAGTTGGAAGAACATGAATACACGAAACGCTTTATGTATAGCAACTTCTTTTTATTCTTTATAGAAGTTCATCATGTGACGAAGAAGCAAGAAATAGCTCTGAAACGTCGTATAAAGAATAAAAAGAAGTGGCTGTCCGTAAAATGTGTTATCTATTCAAGCCGAAGATATAATAATATCGTTCATAATTTCAAAGATAAGATCTGCATATGTTTCAAAACATATTTCTGGTGTAGTATCTGTTAGTAGTTTCTTCGTGTTTCGAACACTTCAGTTGGACTGCAAATTAGAACTGAAGGTATTTCACTCATAAGCAAGTGTTCAAATAGTGCGTGGTGTGCACCCCCTTTCTCAAAAGAGTGCACACACACACACACACACACACACACACACACACACTCACATTTCTCAAAAAGCTGTATCCGCCCCTGCCAACTGACCATTGCCTCGTACGATCAACTGATCCTAGTGTAGCCAGGAATCCCCAGATGGTTGTGTGAGTGCGTGTGACGTGCGTGCATGCGTGCGTGCATGTGTGTCTGTGTGCACTAATATGCAAACGTTACAGGGAACTCGAATTGTCGATGCATATTGATGAACATGTTACCTGGAATAACGTGGCCAATTGCGAGTGACATGATTTTCTCCTTTTCTGCCTTTCTGAAGCACTTTTTGATCACCTCCTCTACATTGTTCTTGAAATATTCCGTAGACACAAGCATGACGTTCGTGCAGGACATATTTTGAGCAGGAACGACGACAGCTCCGGATTTTGTGATATTTGCTCCTGGATTAGAAAACGTTGACAAACTGATGGTATACACCCAAATTATGAAATATTGTAAGATATACGAACTTTTATCTTTTGTAAAAAAAACATTGTGCCCTGACAACGAGACTGCGAGCACCGAGACAAATAATCACGTTCGCACTTTAGCATGAAGATAGAGATGTCGCGAAAGCAAGAATGTCCCTTACGATGTTCCGTACAAATCCAATTAACCCTATGTTCCCAGTGTTAGTGAGTATGGTTTTACGCCGCTTTTATCAATATTGCAGCATTATCACAGCGGGGGACACTAGAAATGGGCTTTACACATTGTACCCACATGGGGAATCGAACCCGGGTCTTCGGCCTGACCGGAGAACGCTTTAACCACTAGGCTACCCCACGGCCCCTTTCCAGTGTTAACCGACATATGAACCTACATATCCAAATTTACGAATTATGTTTACAGACACTGTGAGAGGGTAAATCATACAATACATTACACTAACTTAACATCATGATAGCGTATATCTTTACGGGGGAAAGTTTCCAGGCTTCGCAATATGGAAAAGAAAGAAGTATGTTGCACTCACTTACATTATATCAGCATATGATTCTTCATCTGCACATTAACTAACGGTATACAATAATACGCCAATGGTACCCACAGACAATCATGTCTTTGCGATGATTGAAGATTTAACAAAATGCTTTTGAGATGACCCCCGACTCGAAATGCTTCACAGTACAATGCGTCATGACTTTTTCTAATATGAAGCATTTCGAGTACGGGGTCATCTCAAATTTCTACAAAAAATTAAAAAATCTTTATTTCTCGCAAAGACACGATGGCCTGTGATTGTACCATTCAGTTCTAAATAGATCTTTTCTCCTAATGAAAATATAGAGTTTGGAGTCTAAGTCATTACTTGAACTCTAAAGGCGATACAATGGCAGAGAGAACTTACGGTCACTTCCAACCATACAGTCAGGCCCAAACTCGGACTTCAGAAATGCCACTTGGCCTGAAACAAAAAGACAAACTGTCCTTTATATACATTAGTAGATTAAAACGGCTAAGAGAAATGAAAAAATATATATAACATACAGGCCCGCTAAGGGTTAAACCAGAACGTCGTAAGGGCCTGAGTGGGTGTGATGGGTTAGGTGATGCGATATGGGCTTTAACGTAGCACTTAAGATTATTTTGCTCATATGACAACATGTATGGGTGTGTATGTGTGGCTGCTTGTACTAGCCCAGACCTGAGCTTGATTTCTAGTGCTAGCTCACCTAGATAAGTTTTTATTTGTCTACTACTGGTTGTATGAGAGAGGTTGGTTTGTTGGTTGTTTAACGCCGGACTCAAAAAAATATTATATCGCGGTGGTCTTAGAAAGCTACGGTAAAGTTATTAATATGCAATCGTTACAATTTACAGTAATTCCGTATTTCCTCTAATAAGCGCCGGGTATCTCATAGTGTCGTGCTGGGAAGGCTAAAATATATATTTCGGATGTCCCGGGAGAACTCCGGTGAAAACATTAGTGCCCGGGCGCTAAGTAGAGTAAATACGGTAGATAGTTTTTAACACTGCTGTGAACAGCCTTCAGACACATAGACAGGACGTGTCAGCTTAATGTGGGAGAAAAGCCTAGTGTGTTGCAGTTCTCCGACGTTTACGAACATTCGAACCCAAGATCGCATAGGTTTGAGATTATATATGTTGGTTGGTTGGTTGGTTGTTGTTTAACGCCGCACTCAGCAGTTTTCCAGCTGTATGACGGCGGTCTGTAAATAATCGAGTCTGGACCAGACAATCTAGTGATCAACAGCAGTAGCAAAGATTTAGCAAAGTAGCAAAGTAGCAAATATATTATGGCGGCTGTCTCTAAATAATCGAGTCTGGACCAGACAATATGTTTTTTATTATATTATTTATACTCTCATTGGAAAAAGTCTGTTAACATGAAATTCTTCTGCCTCTGTAAATTTCCACGTAATACAATGTTGTCAGTCATTAGCAATTCGGAGCAGAAGTAACGGAAATGTTTATTCAACGGACTGTTATTTTAGTCACCTGCGACAGGATTAAAAGCATTGTTCTCATAGCAAGTTGATTGTTGGGGCTGTTATTTTAGTCATCTACAACCGGATTACAAAGAATTGTTCTCATAGCAAGTTGATTGTCGGGACTGTTATTTTAGTCAGCTACGTCTGGATTACAAAGAATTGTTCTCATAGCATGTTGATTGTCGGGACTGTTATTTTAGTCTGTAATCCGTAATTGAGAGAGTCCGGATAAAGCACTCTTAAATGATAAATTAAAAACAATTTTGCCGGGACTCAGAGAGTAGTCCGGATTATGGAGAGAAGCGGATTACACAGAATCCGGATTTGACAGATTCCACTGTACTATGTCTGAAGCCCCCATGATATAATGCTGGAGCATTTCTGAAAACAAGAAGACCCGTGAAGATCCGGGTTAGAAAGGGTCTTCAGTAACTTGTAAGAGCCGACTAACGTGATCGGGTGGTCAGGCTCGCTGACTTGTTTGACACATATCATCGTATCCCAGTTGCGTAGATTGATGCTCATGCTGTTGATCACTGTATTGTCTGGTCCAGACTTGATTATTTACAGACCGCCGCCAGACAGTGCTGGAATATTGCTGAGTGCGGCGTAAAACAACACAGACCAAACAAAAAACAACCCCAACCAAAACAGGAAAAAACGTATTCATTTACTCTTCATTCATCTTTGCGAACTTCACTTACCACGCAGTGACACCTTGTTGTCAGTTGGCACCACGATTGTGTTCACTTTTTCCGTGTGCAGAGTTCCTACTTTCACCTCAATCCTGAGGGGGTCAATCCAAAATTCTACAAGACGAAAACATTCGGTCATAGTAACCGTTTGTGTCAACATGTCAATAGTTTGCATATAAACGGAAACAAAAAAGTACAAACTATTGTATTTGCCCGACTACAGTTACATCTTTACTGAACCTGGGTCCCACAAAGCGTTCGTAACGTTACGACCTGTCGTAACTATAGTTTATCGTAGGCTTAGGAATGTCGCCACGCTACGAACGCCTTGTGGAGCGGGACCAAAGTCTGTACAATCACACTGCAGATAACAAATATTTATAGGCATATTTATCAGTTGAAGCTGGTTTGATAACCAGGTATTAGTCTTTGTGCTGACTTGGTACCTTCACTGTTCGTCCTATCCATGGTCGTTGGTTCTCTGATCATACTCGGGTCGCTGTCGAACGCTTCATTGAAAGCCTGTAAAACAAACGTTAAACATAAGTGAGTATGGTTTTACGCCGCCTTTAGCAATATTCCAGCAATATCACGGTGGGGGACACCAGAAATGGGCTTCACACATTGTACCCATGTGGAGAATCGAACCTAGTTTTCAGTGAGACGAGCAAACGCTTTAACCTTCAGGCTACCCCATCGCCCCTATAAACATTAACTCCATCATGCATTTAAGTGACGTCGGCGTAGGTTTCAGGGTTCCAATCCACACAGCGTTCGTAGCACTACGTCATTCGTAATCCTATGATAAACTGTATAGTTGCGATGGCTCGTGACGCTAGGAACGCTTGGATCGGGAACCAGATGCTGTTACTATCCGCTGTTACTATCCGCTAAGAACCTGACTTGAGGTGACATTTGCGATAACATTGTCATTGCGTTAAAATCACAGCGTCCATATTTGTGTCAGATCTATCTAATCCTCAAACATCATGACAGAAAATGATACTAACTGAGGCAAAAAAGAAACTTCACAAAATGTAATTTGAAAAATAATGAATAATTTTTCTCTGATGATACATCTATGTATCCGAAATGGAATCCCTATCTTTCGACTCTAGGAAAACATTAGCAAAACCCACTCAAACCCATCCATTCCTCGTGCAAATGACGTTATTGCCAAATCAGGTTTTGCACGTGCAGTCGATCACGTGATCTTCGCATCGAAGTTTTCTTCATATGCACGTGTTTGCACTGGCCTCAAGAATTGAAAAAACACTTTTAAACCACAGTTCTAACGGTACTTGAAATGCCACGATTGTCAAATGTGCAACGTGAACGTGCCGTTGGCATGTTGCAAGCGGGAAGATCAGTTATTGACGTACTGTGTATGACTTGCGAGGTCGTCTACAACAAACTGGCACCACTTCTGATCGCCCAAGGTCGGGTCGTCCACGTGTGACGTCACGAGCAGAAGACCGTCAAATCGTCCTACGTCACCTACGTTACATATTTCTGCCGGCTACACGAACCAGGGCTGAGATGTTTAGAGGTCGACTGTCCTCACAGACCATTCGAAATCGGTTGCGGGCTGCCAATCTCCATTCTCGACGTCCATATCGTGGGCCAATTAACGCCGTTTCATCAACGTCAACGTCTGCTGTGGGCCCAACGTCACCTCCGATGGACCCAGAGAGACTGGAATCGAGTCGTCTTTAGCGATGAATCCAGGTTTACCCTCAGATTCGCGGACAGCGGGCATAGAGTCTGGAGACGACGTCGTGAACGGTATGCCCAATGTTGTGTACAGGAAGTCGACAGATTCGGAGGCGGAAGTTGCATGGTGTGGGGTGCTTTCTGTGGGAACAACCGTTCCCGACTTCTGTTCATCCGTGGAAACCTGACAGCTGCTGCTTGCCGCGACCAGGTGCTCACCCCTGAACTCGTTCTTTTCATAGCGGCTCATGGTCCAGGTGTACAGTTCCAGCATGATAATGCTCGGCCGCATACCTCGATGTGGACACGAAATTTCCTTCAAAACGCTGGAATCAACGTCATGGACTGGCCATCGAGGTCCCCTGACCTTAATCCAATAGAGCACGTTTCGGATGCACTTAGGAGAAGGCTTCGTGGTCTTAGGAACCAACCTCAGAATTTGCAGGAACTTGCCGCTGCCTTGCAAGAGCAATGGCGCAGAATCCCCAACCACGTGTCCACAAGCATCAGGCAGTCGATGAGGAGACGGTGTTTGGCAGTGGTGAATGCGCGGGGCAGCCATACACGATATTGAACTGAGAAATTTCGCATTTTTATTCTTGTGACTTGACATTCTGTATACCCATGTTTTGGAACGGCGGTGTAGCCTAATGGAACTGATTATGGCACTGTCAGTGTCACACAGATCTCAGCAATGAAATAGTAACAATTTAACCATCTTACCATCTCTTGTTTTTTTTAATTGCCCTTAAGAAAGAATGTGAAGTTTCTTTTTTGACTCAGTATACATCGTTACCAAAGCAGAATGTTCTTTTACTTTCCGAATGGTAGCCTATAGGCTTCCCGCGAGACAGTAAGGTCGAAGGTGTACAGTGTCTTCATAGTTTTCTAATTCCGAAAATGACTTTGAGACTGTCGAAACACACAGTAATTTATCCTTTGACATTGAAAGTTATGTGAGTTTTTTATTTTATTATTTTTTCATTATGCAACTTAATTCTTTTTGAACAAATTGTATTATCTTTCCAAACTAATATAAAAACTCCACTTGTCTCGAAAGAGGGGTAATTCGACACTGCAAGTTTATGATCCCTAGGGCTGTAGGAGTATATGTGGATCACTGCCCTGCTTATCTCGAACTACGAATTATAGTTATAATGGCCCCAGAACGACGATTTGACCAGCTTTGGCTGTATCACTTAGACGTGTAAAATATACAAGCCTTTGTTGTTTTCGCATCCTTGTGATACAATACAATGATCACTTCCCTCAGACACGTCAGTGGGTTATCTGTGGAGAAAGCGGCTATTCTCTCTTTGAACACCCGGGCTACTGTCTCGGGTGGGTACTGTAGTATGCCGGTCCCGAGGGCCGGGAAAGCGATGGTCCCGTAGCCTCTGGAAGGTGCTCGTTGTAAACACGCGTCCACAGTCTTTATCAAAAACTGAAAGCAGAGGTTTAAAGCAACTGTTATGTTTCTACTAAGAATAATACTCTCCATTGGTGATTTCTTAGATCTTAATCAAATTCTTTCTTGATATTAAACAAATACAATCTCCTAAATCTTTCACAAATAAAATCTCACACAACCCAGGTATTAATTTGCCTATGATCCAAATTCTGGAAGCAGATTCTATCAAATTATGCACTGTAGACTTCGATTAGGATGTAGTGATCTAAACTCGCACAAAGTTAATCGTTTTATATCTAATGACCCATCTTGGTCCTGTGGTGCATTTTGTGAAGATAATTTACACTATTTCTTCCTGTGTCCAAATTATGACAATTTAAGAAATGATATCCATTTTCATAGAAATGGATACAATCTCAAATCAGTACTATGTGGAAATATTCAATCATCGGAAATTTAAAATTTGCAAATTGTTAAATCTGTTCATTGTTTTATCGAAAAATATATAATAATAAATAAGTTTAAGAAGTAATGTACTGAAACACAATGTAATACATAACTGTAAACCTACTGTAAACCTTTATTTCATTCATCAGATTCAATGTCACTTAATTATTTACTGTTGAACTGTCATACATATGTACATAATCAATGCTGTTGTATTGGGGCGGCATTAAGATAAGCCTTTGGCTTGTTTGCCAATCATTTTCATTACTCATGATGAATAAAATTTGTTTAAATCATTTCAAAGATCTTTCTATTTTTACCGTGAGTACAGACTACACTGGCGTGTTTTGATTGTGACCCGTGTTAAAAATGAAAGAAACTTTCAGTCATAAACAAGTTTCGAAGTGAAAGGATATTGATAACCACAGTGACTGTAACTGCTCAGTAGACAGATGTTCTGGGATACTGATTAGATCCTCAGTGGTTACATAAGAAAAAAGTAATTTGTTAGCATCCTGATCAGGTATCGGAACCCGCGTCTAAACACTGATTCCATCGGTGTATCCAAGTTCTTAAAGAATACTGAATATGAAGTGCACGTTTATATGTTTGAAAGAATGTACACTGATGTCCGCTTGCTGCGAAATAGTAACAATGAAATGCAAAATAAATATACATCTAAAAAGAAATATATGGCATGAAAGTTGTTTTTATTTTTCCATACCAACTCGTCACCACAATCTCAGACATTGCCATGAGGTATAAACAATCCTTCAACAGTCGCAAAGATACCAACTTCAGAATTGCAAGTTCTTGTTGACAATTGACCATATTTTCGACTTAAGTCCTTTAAGATGGTTGAAATGGTGGACACTTTTCTGTAATAAGTGCTCCATTTTCCGTTCAGAAAGGTCCGCCAATTATTGTGTGTGGAGTTGTTGTTTTTGAAACTGTAAAAAGAGTCCTCCCCATCCAATTTGCAATAATCATAAACGTAAAATGTAAACATTTTCAACTCATCTTTGAATCTCTGTATTGTACTGTATAGTAAAGAGATATAGAGCACATACCGTTGTCTGCATTATAATTATCCGAAAAGCAATAATACGGGCATCTCTAACCATAGGTTAAGTTATGTCAACGTCTAATTATGGTGTCGACAAATAAATATCTTTCATACAACTTGTTGCTATTCGGACACGGACACACACGCACGCACGCACGCACACACGCACGCACGCACACATATGTATATCATCGTTACGATGTTACAGCAAACGGCCTGTTGACTACATCAGGTCATTACTGAGGGCCCACCTGTAAAGCATCGCTTGAATCCTCCCACTTTGGGAGGCATGTGTGGTACACCTTCTTGCAGCGTAGATTACCTCCCCCTGTGTCCACGACATCGCCGAATTTGATGCCCTTGCGGTAACGGCTGTTGCACTCGTTCTGTATGGTAGGGCCCCCTGCTGTAGATATCGCCATGGAAACCGCTCCCTGGCTGAGTCTCAAGTCCTTGTTGGTCGTGTTCACTATGACATCTGCCTGTTCCATGAGAATACAGTACTCAGTTGCTATGCATAGTCTGTCGCGCAGCCCGTGAGTAAAATCGGTGGTCAGGCTCGTTGACACATGTCATCGTATCCCAATTACGTAGATCAATGCTCATGCTGTTGATCACTGGATTGCCTGGTGACTCGATTATTTTCGGGTCAACCAAGTCAGCAGGCCTGACCACCCGATCCCGTTAGTCGCCTCTAAGGACAAGCATGGATTACTAAAGACCAATTCGAACCCGGATCTTCACGGGTACTTTCCCTCAGACATTAATTTTCGTGAAGGGATGCCTGAATCAGTCAGTATGCATTGACATTAAATCCTTATTGTTCTGTAGGGCGGAGAGGTAGCAGTGTGGTTAAAGCGTTCGTTCGTCACGCCGAAGACCAGGGTTTGATTCCCCACATGGATACAATGTGTGAAGCCCATTTTTGGTGTCCCCCGCCGTGATATTGCTCGAATATTGCTAAAAGCGGCGTAAAACTGAACTCACTCACTCACTTATTCTTCTGCATAGGGCTATATAGAGGATGAGTAGATATGTGCCTGTCCAAGAGCGGTAGGTCGGTAGTTCGAATCCCGTCTGTGTGGTAACAAAATACATGGGACTTGCTGCTGCCCAACTAGGGAATACAACAATGACTGGTCAGCTGCAAAATATTAACTAATATTGTAAGTTTAACACACACCGAGTGAGTGAGTGAGTATAGGTTTACGCCGCATTTAGCAATATTTCAGCAATATCACGGCGGGGGACACCCGCCAAGCTTCACACATTGAACCCATGTGGGGAATCGATCCCGGGTCTTCGGCGCGACGATCGGACCCTTTAACCACTCAGCTACCCCACCGCCCCTTAACAGAGAGAACATACCATGGTTTTGGACAGCTCGCCGACTTTGACTGTAATCTCGACACCCGTGACATCTCCATCACCAACATCTGAATACAGACATCTACATAAGTCTCTAATATACTGATAAGTACGGGCTGTATACATAAACTGAAAGTATACACTTCAATCAATGTTGTATAGAAAGCTTCAAACATTCCCAAAACGTTAAAGTTGTACAGTAGACAGGTGGAGGAAATTTGACGCAGCAATAACAAATATAATACCATACGTTTTCAGCTGAACAATTGACTAGCCTTTGCGTGTGTGTATGATGCATGGGTGCCACCGATGGGGCAGAATACGCTGAACTTTACGCGAACACCTGATATCATCACTGTTTTGATAGAGATTCTTAAACACATGCTTATGATGAGGTCGGAATTGTACAATGGCCAACATATACGTTTGCTACTGTTTCACACGTTTGTTTTTGTGTAATTAAAGGGAGCGAAACTAACAATTGTACTCAATTAACGGAGTTGGGCAACCTTTTAGTGGAGATTTCTTGTGGGTGTGTATTTTCGTTTATATTTATTGGCTGAAACATCGCCGAAACACTTAACTTACGGTCCATAAACACAAGTATTATGCCTGTATTAAATACATTGCAATGTAATAACAGTACATGTATTTTGTTTATTTCATTTTTAGCCGCCTCAAACACGAGCACGTTCTCATTTCCCGGTAGTGTATCGGGCCCGTAAGTAGGTCACGACACTTCCCGAGACCTTAGTACTTTCGGTGACAAACAACGTTTCATATCCTTTCGAATGGTCTCATGGTTGTCAGTTGACTGTAAGGAACCAATAATCCTTGCAGGAATAACAAATTTCCGATCTAACTATCCCTAAATTAGCCAACTATTACGACTGTGAACAGCTGTGACAGCCAAGCACGCCAATTGAGCCGGGAATCAGCTTAGTACCGGCAGTAGCACATCGCGAGACTTACAGGCCCTATAGTAACCCTCTCCGTGAGTCACGCGTACAAACATGTGATCCTTTTCAAACAAACAGAAATCTGGACCAAATAAGTACACAGGCATTTCGAATCGAAATAGTATCATTGAGTCCTACCCTTCGACCGTTTAACTGTTCCAAGGAGCCTGTTGTTTCTCTCATTCTCAAATATCTGAAACCAACAAAATGTGTCGTTAAAACGTTCACACAAGAAGATTTACTAATTATTTGCACAATAACTAACGACAACTCCTTCAGTTTTATTATTGCACTTTATACTGAAAACTTAAAACGTTAACTTCTACCAACTAATACCACTGCTGCTATTGTTACTATTACTACTACCATGAGTAGTAGTAGTAGTAGTGGTGGTGGTAGTAGTAGTGGTGGCGGTAGTGGTGGTGGTGGTGGTTGTGGTGGTGGTGGTAGTAGTAGAAGTGGTGGTGATGGTGATGGTGGTGGTAGTAGTAGAAGTGGTGGTAGTGGTGGTGGTGGTGGTGGTTGTGGTAGTGGTGGTGGTGGTAGTAGTAGAAGTGGTGGTGGTGGTGGTGGTGGTAGGAGTAGAAGTGGTGGTGGTGGTGGTGATGGTGGTGGTGATGGTGGTGGTGATGATGGTGGTGGTGGTGGTGGTGGTGGTGGTGGTAGTAGTAGGAGTGGTGGCGGTGGTGGTGGTTGTGGTAGTGGTGGTGGTGGTGGTAGTAGTAAAAGTAGTGGTGGTGGTGGTAGTGGTGGAGGTCGTGGTGGTGGTAGTAGTAGTAGTGGTGGTGGTGGTGGTAGTGGTGGTGGTGGTGGTGGTAGTGGTGGTGGTGGTGGGTGTGGTTGTTGTTGTTGTTGTGGTGGTGGTGGTAGTAGTAGTGGTGGTGGCGGCAGTAGTAGTGGTTTTGGTTGTGGTTGTGGTTGTGGTGGTGGTGGTGGTGGTGGTGGTGGTGGTGGTGGTGGTGGTGGTGGTGATGGTGGTGGTTGTGGTGGTTGTGGTTGTGGTTGTGGTGGTAGTAGTAGTGGTGGTGGTGGTAGTAGTAGAAGTGGTGGTAGTGGTGGTGGTGGTGGTGGTGGTGGTGGTGGTGGTGGTGGTGGTGGTGGTGGTGGTGGTGGTGGTGGTGGTGGTGGTGGTGGTGGTGATGGTTGTGGTTGTGGTTGTGGTTGTGGTTGTGGTTGTGGTGGTGGTGGTAGTAGTAGTGGTGGTGGTGGTAGTAGTGGTGGTGGTGGTGGTAGTAGTAGAAGTGGTGGTGGTTGTGGTGGTGGTTGTGGTGGTAGTGGTGGTGGTGGTGGTGGTGGTAGTAGTAGTAGTGGTGGTGGTGGTGGTGGTGGTGGTAGTCGTCGTAGCAGTTGTTGTTGTGGTAGTTGTTATTGTGGTAGTAGTAATGATATTCGCGGCAGTAGGATGTTTCTTTCTGCTTTAGTCTTACATTAAAATGTTAGCTCTGACATTATCGAGATATAACTTCACAGCAGTGTTAAGCCTAATCAATTATTCTTAATGTTCCACCACCAACTGCAATGTCTCCAAGACAGACGGTTATGTCTCACTAGTACCTTATATATCTTTTCTTCTGTGCCGTAGACCAGGATATTTATTTCCTGTAAGCCACTCTTGGTTGTCCTTTCAAACAAGGAGAATGCATCGAACAGAGCTTTGGCAGCTAAATGAGGAGGGTATCCGAGTCGACCGCAACCCATCGTCGGGAACGCTATGCTAGTGTAGTTGGAGACGTTGGCCGTTTCAAGGCAAGACAAAACTGCTTTCTGGAAGACCTACAGGTAAAAAAACACATTTGAAGAAGCATGTTGGTAGAGAGGCTCCTTGTCTAAACCTCCTATAGAAGAAAGTAGTGCATGCCTTTGTTGTGAAAATGCAACTATACTCTTCAAATAAAAAAGAAATTTGGACTCGTGTAGCTGCGGAAAAAACAATACAAATATACTCTTTCTTTCCAAAAACGTCATCTTTGAGTGAAAACGTCATCTTTGTAAACAGCGCCAAAACGCGGCAATGTTGACTTTTTCCCCTTGTTTTAGAAGCGTTTGAAGAAATATTCGCCAAAACGTCACCATGAAAACATGCAAAGCAAACTGCACGTGCAAGTAAGCGGAAAAACATGCGGTATTGACCACTATAAAAAGGCAAACGGTGTGTTTAAGTTTGTCATTCGTTTTTCCTGGAAAAGAGGAAATCATCCTGCCTCATCTGAATACCGCCAATCGAAACATCAACATGAAGCTGGGGAGTCGCAGTCTGCAATTGCCCGACATTTCAACGTTCATCAGAGCACCATATCTTGCCTGTGACCTACTAAGAGTCACCACCCAAGTCCAGGACCGCAAAATCCGGGCTGCTCACTTGCGTCATCGTCTTGTCACAGCCGTGGAGACTGCACAACGCATCCCTGGTTTGAGAAGAATTTCCCACCAAACTGTCAGAAATCGATTGCATAAAGTGGGGATTCGACCAAGAAGGCCAGTTGTCGCCCCTGTTTTGAGAGACTTCCATCGACGCAATCGCTTGTAGTGGTATCGTAAAGTCCGGAACTGGAACCTTAGAAACTGGAGTCTGGCTCAGTGATGAATCACGATTTCTTCTTCACCGGCGTGTTTACCGATGAACGTTTTGCCCCTAATTGCATTCGACAGGTCGACAGATTCGGTGGAGAAAGTATCATGGTGTGAGGAGCGATATCCAGCACACAAAGATCTGATTTAGTGGTGGGTCATGTGAATTTGACAGCAAATCGGTACATCAACGAAGTCCTTGCACGTCACATAATTCCGACTGTGGACCGAAATAATTGCTCTTAAACTTAAAATAAATGGCTTATACGTTTCTTTTTTCTTTCTTTTTTGAAGAGTGTATTTGGTATGAAACAGTAAGTGTTGTTATTCTACCAGCATGGTGGTTCTACCACTCACTGATAACAGGGATGACGGTGAATTGAGGCGCGGATTCACCTGGCTGTACGACTTTCATAAAACTCATCTCTTGCATTCCTAAGCTTTTCCGGAAACCATTGATTGCGGGTTGGAGTCGCCCTGAATCTATTCATGTCTAGATAACATTTCAACAAATTTGCAATCGTCTACAATCGACGTCAGTTTTTTTTCCATTCAATATACAACTGAAAGGACACCTTTGCCACATACTCATACATTGACGGGTTTGAAAACACGCGTTTCAAATACATAAATTGCAGTCCTTTTCTCTTATACGAGGGACAGTCAAAAAGTAGTGAGCCTGACCTAGTAAATGATACAAATGCAGCTGTTCTTATGTTTTATTTTTCTACATATTATCTGTCAACCTCAAGCAAATTGGTTTTGCTACGTTTCAGCCTTACGATCCCCATTTTGTTTGAAATTTTATCTTGGTACCCCCAAAAAGCGCAAAATCTGGAATAAATGCACCACAAACTTCAGGTAACAAAATATGCAAGAAACATTTTGTGTGTTTGAGATAGGTAGACGTCCGCTAGAATCAAACTTAGATATTAAAGTGGATAAAAAAGCAATTTGAAAGTACAATCGCTTGTTAAAGTGATTCCCCTTTCATGTTTACTGAAACAGCTTGTTTTGGAGACACTACCCACCCCCGTTCAGACGACGATTTCATAAGGACATAACTTATTCTAATGTTTTGACTTTTTCACACATGATGCTAAAGGTTCAAAGTAAATACTGAATGGTCACACAAGTGTCAACTCTCTGTATATTGTAAACAGGGCCAGCTTGAATATCTAGACACAATGTTTTTGAAAGACTAAAATGGGTGTGTCCTTAAAAAAACAGCCCTGTCTAAACATAAATCAAGCAATCCAAATCTTTGAATGTTGATTATGACGGGAAGTCATCCAATACTATACTAACATATTTTATACGACATTATCTACGGCATACCATTATCCAAGAGGTACTAAATGACGGATCGTTTTTCATTTTCTGCATTTTTTCTAGAAATATTATACCCCAATGTGTTGTGATGACTAATATCTCGTTAATCACATTACCCACATATGTGAAATTTTTTATACGACTTTGCTAATGATTCCTACAAACTAAAATGGAAGCTTTTCAAACATTGGACATTGAGAATATAGTTAGGCTACGTACTTTTTGACCGACCCTCGTATGTATCTCACCTAAGTCACATGTATTCACATTCCATTCCACCCAACTCATTTGACCTGATCTCACCACATTCATTTCACCTCTTTTCACCTTGACTGCAAAATATGTTTTTAAGTGTACTATGCACATCTGAATAATTTGCATAGCAATATGTACTATCCACATCTCAGTAACGTGTATCCAGGTGTATTATTCGTAAATGAAAAACTTGTATCCAGGTGTATTATGAACACATGAATAAGTTGTATCCAGATGTACTATCCACATCTGAATAACTTGTATCCAGGTGTATTATGAACATATGAATAACTTGTATCAAGCTGCACTATCCACACATGAATAACTTGTATCCAGATGTATTATGAACACAGGAATAACTTGTATCCAGGTGCACTATCTACACATGAATAACTTGTATCCAGGTGCACTATCCACACATGAATAACTTGTATCCAGGTGTATTATGAACACATGAATAACCTGTATCCAGGTGCACTATCCACACATGAATAACTTGTATCCAGGTGTATGATGAACACATGAATAACGTGTATCCACGTGTATTATGCACACATAAATAACATGTATCCAGGTGCACTAGCTATCCACATATGAATAACTTGTATCCAGGTGTACTATCCACACATGAATAACTTGTATCCAGGTGCACTATCCACATGTGAATAACTTGTATCCAGGTGCACTATCCACACATGAATAAGTTGTATCCAGGTGTATTATGAACACATGAATAACGTGTATCCACGTGTATTATGCACACATGAATAACTTGTATCCAGGTGTATTATGAACATATGAATAACTTGCATCCAGGTGCACTATCCACACATGAATAACTTGTATCCAGGTGTATTATGAACACATGAACAACGTGTATCCACGTGTATTATGCACACATAAATAACTTGTATCCAGGTGCACTAGCTATCCACATATGAATAACTTGTATCCAGGTGTACTATCCACACATGAATAACTTGTATCCAGGTGCACTTTCCACATGTGAATAACTTGTATCCAGGTGTATTATGAACACATGAATAACCTTTATCCAAAATTGAAATCCACACCTCAAATTCTGTTGCATATACGACGCACAGTTGGTAATATTATCTTTCTAGCGCCCGTTCCATGAAGCGACTTTTGCACTATCATAACTCCCAGACATTAATTTACGAAAGGTTAGAGAACCGTATGGATACTGTGAAACGTTGACAGTTTTCTGGTCAAAAGGCCCAAACTCAGCTTACCTTAATGTTCCCCTTCACCGTGTCCCAGGCAGGAAGACAGCAATTGAAGACACTTTTGCACCTAAGATTTCCGCCTGACGTCACAGTAAGTTGCCCGTATGCCACGCCTTTAGAAACCTTCTTCTTGTATTCCTTCTGAAGGCCGGCACCTGCCGCCACCGATACTGCTTTTATTAGTGTTCCATCCTTATATGTAGGGTTCTTACTGGCGGACGTCACGATCACATCCACCTGGACACAAATGACATAAGTAGAGGTTAGTTCTCGGAGCTGTATTAGCATTAGCGACTTACGACTAAACCTACGACTGCCTAAGAGGCATTGTTAAGGTGTCTTAAACTTACCACGTCATAGTACCTACAACATCTATCTTAGTTGAGTTTTATTCCCGACAGAGGGAAAATAAGTTGGGTGTTTCTCAACAGCCGGTTCAGTCTTCAGCAACCAATGCTTGACGTTAGACACAACTAACGGGATCGGAGGATCAGGCTTGGTGTCTCTTACGACAAGCTTGCATTTGCTGAAGATCGATTCTTACCCGGATCTTTACGGATCCGAGGGATGATGGCACTAGCATGCATGCACGGACAGTCACCAAGCTTGTTAATTCCGTTGGGTCATTCGACAATCAGTATCTGCTGTACCCGGAAATCCTCACAGAGTTATTCGTGTGATGCACCTTATCGCAGTTTCAGCAACAAACATCATGGGTGTTTTGTCGCTTTGAACAATATTTCCATTCTGCTAGATGTGGAAGGAATGTCGTAAAGGATGTGCGATTATGTTTAGTCATTTAAGACGGTGCTAAAATACTGAGAATCTGGAATTCGAACTCACGATATGCCTGACTGTCTTAAAAAAGTCATCCCGCAGAGTGAATCATGGCCCCTCGGTTGACTGGGTTAACCGTATCAAAGCAAATATCAGATTATATTTTGCAGCAAGAACTGCGAAACGTACAACAGCATGGAATGTTAACAGAATTTCACGCCCGTGAAGATCCGGTATTAGAATTGGTCTTCAGCAACCCATGCTTGTCTTACAGGCGACTAACAGGATCGGGTGGACAGGCTCACTTACTTGGTTGACATCGTAGATCGATGCTCTTGCTGTTGATCACTGGATTGTCTGGTCAGACTCGATTATTTACAGACCGCCGACATATAGCAGGAATATTGCTGTTCGGCATGAAGCAGCAAACCAACCACCTGAAAGAACTGCATCATGTTCCATGCTGTAGCAGTGTGTTGATTGAAACCGAACCTGGAATCAAGTTACAAATACTCACAAGTTGTTTGGTGATATCCCCTTTGACAACTGTCACCTTGGCCTTCAAAACGTTTCCAATTTCCTCATTAGACCTTGAACCTAGAAAAAAAACATGACCATGTCAGCTAATATCACATATTATTCGTGAAAATGTCAGCCTAGGATCCAATGATAATGTTTTTGCACGTATACTTGGTAATCCGGGATATGTTGAACAAATGTGTTTGAGACGAGTACAAAGAATTTGGGCAAAACCCATGTGGAGGGTGGAGGGATGGGGTGGGGGATGTTCGCATGTCATCATGTATTTCTTTGTATGTTTGTTTGTTGTTCAACGTCAACCTCAGCACTGTTCCAGCTATACGATCGAGGTCTGTAAATAATCGAGTCTGAACCAGACAATCCAGTGATTGACATAATGGACATCGATCCACGCCCTTGGGATACAATGACCCGCATCAACCAAATCAGTGAGCCTGACCACCCCACCCGGTTAGTCGTCTCTTTCGACAAGCATTGGTTGCTATAGACTACTTCTAACTCGCATCTTCACGGGTGTGGACATATTACTACATGTCGTCCGCCACCCGCAATGGTTCCCCAGTGCCATGGGGTTAATTGTCAGTCGCAGCTCAAGATGCTGGTCTGAGAGCTCCTCCCCCATGACCTAGGGTTTACCAAAGTGTATATATATGAACGTGTATTTCATTTTGGGACTTTCTCCGAGATAAGGTTGAATTATTCGATTCGATTCTCAGGATAACCTTAGATGTTAACAATCACTCACTCAGTCGAATAACCATGATATGTGTCAGACAATTCACTCACACAGTTGAATAACGATATTTGTAAGACAATTCACTCTCTCTCTCTCTCTCTCTCTCTCTCTCTCTCTCTCTCTCTCTCTCTCTCTCTCTCTCTCTCTCTCTTTTCTTTCTCTCTCTCTCTCCTTATCTCTTTCTCTCTCTCTCTCTCTGATGAAAGATATGTTTAAGACAGCTTTACACAAAGATATCAAATATACTTACCTATAGGAGGCGTATCTTCCTCAATATCTATTACACAAGCATGTGCATCTTCAGCCACCTTCATCATGTTGTTCCCTGATGGGGACTTGAGAAATTCCACAGCACCCGGTTTATCCAAACTGGAATACTTCACGACAACGTCATCACTCAACGACTGCAACTCGCCTATGGCACTGCTAAGCTGTGATTTTGGTCCAACAACCTTCACCAAGAAAGAGGCATGATCAAAAGAAACATCCACCTCATATTTGGCCTTAATAGTTTCAATGGAAGCAGAACAACAGCGGGTAATGGCAAGGAATATCCCTCTCTCGAAGATGAGTTTCCTCTCGTACATACTGCTTCTTTCAGCCGCTTCTTTCAACATCTTCATGACAGTCTCCTGAACCTCAGCAGCACAGGCCATAACGGCAGGTTCGTCTTCGTTTAATCTGTCGATGATAAACGGCTCTTTAACTCTCTGGTGTATGTCCTCGATGAGCGTCTTCCATTTTCCCCGTGTTAACATGTCCGTCTTCAGGTAGGTCACCTTCACCGACTCGATGATCGTTGTGGATGCAGCCGAGGCCGTCGCCGAATCGCCCGCGTGAATCCAAAGTTCGCCCGAGAGAACCTCGATCACTGCACGCAGATCCTTGGCCGCGAATTTGCCCCGAATGTAATTTTGGAATTCCACACGAGTGAACGCGAACAGCAAAATCTTATGCACGTTCGGGAGAGTTGAACTCCGAACCTTTTTAAGGGTTTCTTCAATTTTAATCCTTGCATTCATTATGTCTGTTCCTTGACCAGATATGGTAACCTTTCCACCTTCTGCGTTGATCTCTACAGTAAGACCCAGGTATTTATTTTCCAGAAAGACCGAACACTCGATGATCTGCAAATACTTGAACTGCCATGGTTTCAGTTCTGTAACGACTAGCTTCTGTTGAGCAACTGGAAGCATTTCTTTGTCTATGTCCCCTTCGACCTTCCGAACTAGTTCCGTGATGTTCTCAGCTACCTGATGTACATGCGTATGAGACCCAACCAGGGTAACCAGATCGTTGGACAGCGTAATACTCATTTCTTCTGGGTTAGGATTTTGTATTGGGAACTCGGAATTCTTTATTTTGGCACATGTCCTTGGCATAAGTGGAACCTTCAACACCAGGATGTCGTCAAGGAAACCCTTTATTGCTGACTCAGCACTTTCTCTCCACAACTGTATGTCTAGCTGAGATGAAATTCGCGGGCCTTCCTTTGTTTCCAGTGCAACAATGCGGTCGGCTGTTACGTTGGCCCACTGTATAGCTGCTCGGTGTTTCTTGAGGATATCTGTCAGCCTCTTCCTACAAGTATCGGACTGTTTAAGGTGGGATAGCTTATTGCTATCCTCGTTATGCATGACAAGCATAGTCACTGGTTCGTACTCTGTCGGGACATCTGCGTCTGCCTGGTGTTCATTTGTAACTGAAAATGGAGCATATGCTCAATAAATTTCTGCTTAATTTAAGTTGTTTGTTCGGTTGTTTTCTTTTGTTATTTAATGACGACTACATTCTATTTCAATCGAAGCTGGACCAGACAATCAGGTGATTGACTTTGCTAGCATCGATCTATGCAACCAGGATACGATGAGATTCGCCAGAGCTGGTACGTTCAAGAAGGACAAGTTTTATTGATAGACAACTTCTTTATTACAAGAGATGCGATGTTTCGGTCTGGATGTTAACATTGTTACCAAGCAAGCGTTATCATCACTTATCATTGTAAAGCTAATCGATGATCATTATTTCACTTATAGTGAGCGAGTAAATGTTGCATGAAGCCGCATCAGGAATTTTGCAGCTATTGGCGCCTAGTAGGGGTGACTATTGAGGGTGAAACAACTATTGCGATAGCGAGAGTCTATTGCGACCAACTATTGCAATACTATTGCAATAGCTTTTTCTCTCCTTGAATTGTCTCATTTGAAGTAATTTCCCAAATGAATATATAGTTGATATGAAATACTAACAAGTTGAAGTAGTTTCAGTCTCTTTTAATAACTGACAAGAAACTTCAAACCCAGATCAAGTTTGTTTAAGAGGTAACAGAGGCGGGAAACTGTAACTCAAAGTGAACAAATCTGGTACTTCCTGTATTTTGCGCTGCGCATTTATCAACGAAAGTGAATTACTAAACTATCGATAGTCACACATACTATCGATGCATCGATAGTTTTCGTTTCTACCATCGATTATTTGCTATCGGAGACTCAACAATTGGAATCCATCGATAGTTCGATGTAACGTTACATCCCTAGCGGCTACTATGACTGTACGGTGAAATCTATGCCTCATAATCGTTACCTGAATAAGGGTTATACTGTGTTGTTCAAAGAAGCTAAATAGCTAGATTAATAAGGTATCCGAGGTTAAGCTTACATACATTTGGTTTGGACTATGTTTGGGAAAAACAAGCAGTTTCTTATCCAAGGCTTTTTAACACTGAATTTGTATAACGATGAAAGTATATTCATGAACAAGAAAGGAATTCAGAATAGCCCTAAAATGTATACCTATTTCTTATTTAAACTGAATTTCTGTGTTGAACCGCATTTACATATTTTTGATAAATGTGTAGTCTCGCTGTGGTTCTCGTAGAGTCCATATTGAAGTGGGCAGATATCAAAGATTCTGTAACCTCTGGTGCATGTCCTTTTCTCTTTGTTTATAAAATATATAATAGTCTTCTAATATAATCTACATACAAGGAAAATACCATGTCCATCCTGCATTGAATATTATTAACGTACCGATGCCAATATGCCGTGATGAAATCATGAAAAAACATTCATTATATAAACTGACTTACAAAAGAAAGTACACACCTGGTGTCTTGGGATTATTTGAAAAGTGTTGTTATTTTGACTGGCAATGTCGCAATTGGGCACGATATATGGGGTGTTTTGGCAACATATTAGGAAAGTCTGTGACATATATCACTGTAAAAACTCTTTTGAAAACATTTACGTCGCATTTTGGAAAGTAATCCAAAAGCACCGGGTGTGTACTTTCTTTTGTTTGTCAGTTTACACCCCATGCACCAATATCAGGAGCTCTGTCATCTGTGGACCTGAATACCTAAATGTACTATTGGCCGATGGTCTACAATGCGCAATAAATCACGAATTTTCTAATGAAATATTGATACAGCGCTCACCCTTTGGTTTGGCACCAAGTCTTGGAGGAGGCAATGGGGGTGGCGTGTTTTGCTGGATCTTCTCACTGATCTGCGATATCCTCATGCTCTGCACCATGTTCTTCATATCTTCCCTGAAGCAGTCTTTGAGACATGTTTTAAAGGACAAATATGGGGATTCCTCATCCTGTTTGGGTTCCTTGCGCATATCCTCTTCTTCTTCATCTTCTTCACCACTAATTCGTTCATAAACAGTGTGAGGCTTTTCAGGCAATAGTTCTTTTTCCTTTACCAAGCTTAGTATGGCTCTACTGAATACATCTACACCAATCGTATCTGTCTCAGGTTCTGTTTCAGAACGGTCAGTATCTGCTGGTTCCGCCATCATAGTCGAGCTTTTTTTCTGTCAAATTTTGTTAAAAACAAATATCGTAAATTTTGTACAGAGTATTACTTAGATTGAGGAAACAACAAAACAACAAAATGCCCTATCGACCCCTCTTTCATATATATAGGTAACAGCAAAATGTGTGTTAATGAAGAAGGAGGATTCGAGTGTTCATAGACGATTCATATTGTCGGGCCAGGACAATAATACCATTATCAATACCACTATTATAATATGATAATACCACTATTCAACCCATAAACTATATGGACTGATTGGTATCTTCCCATAAGACAGGCCTCCCAAAAGACAGACCGCTTAAAACAACACATTTTATGTTTGGTTGTATAAGGCTTAATTAAGCTGTACCCTGCAGATTATCACTAAGGGATTATCTGGAGAGAAAATCGTGGATCCCTAACAAGCAACAGTTGTCATACGGCTTGACTGAAAGCTGATCTGGACGTCATTGTTCCCTGACAGCGTGAGACGTTGTTTGTCGCCTTCAGACTTGACTCTTATCATTTATTCATACATACCTATAACTCGAACACATACCAGATATTAACCAGACTGAACAGTTCAGGAGATACATACCAGTCAATGTTGTATGTAAGATACTGGCGAACCCAGGCACTATGTAAGATAATTACCATCAGTGATGTATGTAAGATACCGGCCAACCCAGGCACTATGTCAGATAATTACCATCAGTATTGTATGTAAGATACCTGCCAACCCAGGCACTATGTAAGATAATTACCATCAGTGTTGTATGTAAGATACCGGCAAACCCAGACACTATGTAACATAATTACCATCAGTATTGTATGTAAGATACTGGTGAACCCAGGCACTATGTAAGATAATTACCATCAGTGCTGTATGTCCTTTTCTCTTTGTTTGCAAAAGAAACGTCAGTTTGTAATTTCCATCGCAGATACTGGTCAACCCAGGCACTATGTAAGTTAATATCCATCAGTGATGTATGTAAGATACTGGTCAACCAAGGCACTATGTAAGATAATTACCATCAGGGATGTATGCAAGATACCGACAAACCCAGGTACTATGTAAGATAATTACCATCAGTGTTGTATGCAAGAGACCGCCTCCGTGGTGTAGTGGTTAGAGCGTCCGCCCGGAGAGCGGAAGGTCGCGGGTTCGATCCCCGACCGCGTCATACCAAAAGACGTTAAAATATGGTACTTGTTGGTCCCTGCCTGGCGCTCGGCATGAATGGGTACAACATTGACTGGTCGGCTCGGAGTCAGTATAATGTGTCTGAGTGGGGTATTCATGCTTCACTGCGGCATGGTATCTCAGTGAGCTAGCACTATAAAACCAGCTTAAGTCTGGGCTAGTACAAGCAGCCGCACATACACATACACACGCATGCACGTCGTCATATGAGCGAAATATTCTCAAGCACGACGTTAAACCCAATATCACCTCACCTTGTATGCAAGATACTGGCCAACCATGACACTATGTAAGATAATTACCATCAGTGTTGTATGTAAGATACCAGCCAACCGAGACACTATGGAAGATAATTACCATCAGTTTTGTATGTAACATACCGGCCAACCCAGGCACGATGTAAGATGATTACCATCACTGTTGTATGTAAGATACCGACCAGCCCATGCACTATGTAAGATAATTACTATCAGTGTTGTATGTAAGATACCAGCCAACCAAGACACTATGGAATATAATCACCATCAGTGCTGTATGTAAGATACCGACCAACCCAGGCACGATGTAAGATAATTACCATCAGTGTTGTATGTAAGATACCAGCCAACCCAGACACTATGTAAGATAATTACCATCAGTGTTGTATGTAAGATACCTGCCAACCCATGCACTATGTAAGATAATTACCATCAGTGTTGTATGTAAGATACTGGCCAACCCATGCACTATGTAAGATAATTACCATCAGTGTTGTATGTAAGATACCAGCCAACCCAGGCACTATAAATGTGAGAAAATTACCATCAGTGTTGTATGTAAGAAGCCGGCCAACCCAGACACTTTGTAAGATGATTACCATCAGTGTTGAATGTAAGATACTGGCCAACCCAGACACTATGTAAGATAGTTAACATCAGTGTTGTATGTAAGATATCGGCCAACCCAGACACTATGTAAGATAATTAACATCAGTGTTGTATGTAAGATACTGGCCTACCCAGACACTATGTAAGATAATTACCATCAGTGTTGTATGTAAGATACTGGTGAACCCAGACACTATGTAAGATAATTACCATCAGTGTTGTATGTAAGATACCAGCCAACCCAGGTACGATGTAAGATAATTACCATCTGTTTTGTATGTAAGATACCGACCAACCCAGGCACGATGTAAGATAATTGCCATCAGTGTTGTATGTAAGATACTGGCCAACCCAGATACTATGTAAGATAATTACCATCAGTATTGTATGTAAGATACCTGCCAACCTAGGCACTATGTAAGATAATTACCATAAGTGTTGTATGTAAGATACCGGCAAACCCAGACACTATGTCAGATAATTACCATCAGTGTTGTATGTAAGATACCTGCCAACCCAGGCACTGTGTAAGATAATTACCGTCAGTGATGTATGTAAGATACTGGCCAACCAAGGCACTATGTAAGATAATTACCATCAGGGATGTATGCAAGATACTGGCAAACCCAGGTACTATGTAAGATAATTACCATCACTGTTGTATGTAACATACCGGCCAACCAAGATACCGGCCATGTAAGATACCAGCCAACCAAGACACTATGTAAGATAATTACCATCAGTGTTGTATGTAAGATACCGACCAACCCAGGCACGATGTAAGATAATTACCATCAGTGTTGTATGTAAGATACCGGCCAACCCAGACACTATGTAAGATAATTACCATCAGTGTTGTATGTAAGATACTGGCCAACCCAGACACTATGTAAGATAATTACCATCAGTGTTGTATGTAAGATACCGACCAACCCGTGCACTATGTAAGATGATTACCATCAGTGTTGTATGTAAGATACCGGCCACCCCGGCACGATGTAAGATGATTACCATCATAGGTGTTTCTAAGATTCTCATTAACACGCACACTGTGCCGAATAATTACCATCCAATGTTGTGTGTAGGATGCTCACCAACCGCTGTTGTAGAGAAAATATGAGTTACTTCATACACAATGTAATATACTAACAAACCGGAACTGTTAGTTACACAGAAAAACGAACTGTCAAGTACTCGCCACACCGATATGTATGTCAGATAAAACAAGAACGGTATGTAAGATACTCACCAACCCGAACTGTATAGAGAACACTCACCAACCCGATCTGTATATAAGATACCCACCAACCCGATCTGTGCGTAAGATACTCACCAACCCGAACTGTATAGAGAACACTCACCAACCCGATCTGTATATAAGATACCCACCAACCCGATCTGTGTGTAAGATACTCACCAACCCGAACTGTATAGAGAACACTCACCAACCCGAACTGTATAGAGAACATTCACCAACCCGATCTGTATATAAGATACCCACCAACCCGATCTGTGCGTAAGATACTCACCAACCCGAACTGTATAGAGAACACTCACCAACCCGAACTGTATAGAGAACACTCACCAACCCGATCTGTATATAAGATACCCACCAACCCGATCTGTGCGTAAGATACTCGCCAACCCGAACTGTATAGAGAACACTCACCAACCCGAACTGTATAGAGAACATTCACCAACCCGATCTGTATATAAGATACCCACCAACCCGATCTGTGTGTAAGATACTCACCAACCCGAACTGTATAGAGAACACTCACCAACCCGAACTGTATAGAGAACATTCACCAACCCGATCTGTATATAAGATACCCACCAACCCGATCTGTGCGTAAGATACTCACCAACCCGAACTGTATAGAGAACACTCACCAACCCGAACTGTATAGAGAACACTCACCAACCCGATCTGTATATAAGATACCCACCAACCCGATCTGTGTGTAAGATACTCACCAACCCGAACTGTATAGAGAACACTCACCAACCCGAACTGTATAGAGAACACTCACCAACCCGATCTGTATATAAGATACCCACCAACCCGATCTGTGTGTAAGATACTCACCAACCCGAACTGTACAGAGAACACTCACCAACCCGATCTGTATATAAGATACCCACCAACCCGATCTGTGCGTAAGATACTCACCAACCCGAACTGTATAGAGAACACTCACCAACCCGAACTGTATAGAGAACACTCACCAACCCGATCTGTATATAAGATACCCACCAACCCGATCTGTGCGTAAGATACTCACCAACCCGAACTGTATAGAGAACACTCACCAACCCGAACTGTATAGAGAACACTCACCAACCCGATCTGTATATAAGATACCCACCAACCCGATCTGTGCGTAAGATACTCACCAACCCGAACTGTATAGAGAACACTCACCAACCCGAACTGTATAGAGAACATTCACCAACCCGATCTGTATATAAGATACCCACCAACCCGATCTGTGCGTAAGATACTCACCAACCCGAACTGTATAGAGAACACTCACCAACCCGATCTGTATATAAGATACCCACCAACCTGATCTGTGTGTATACTCGCCAACCCGAACAGTATAGAGAACACTCAACAACCCGATCTGTGAATACGATACTCGCCAACCCGATCTGTGTGTAAGATACTCACCAACCCGAACTGTATAGAGAACACTCACCAACCCGATCTGTGTGTAAGATACTCACCAACCCGATCTGTGTGTAAGATACTCACCAACCCGAACTGTATAGAGAACACTCACCAACCCGATCTGTAAATACGATACTCGCCAACCCGATCTGTGTGTAAGATACTCCCCAACCCGAACTGTATAGAAAACACTCACTAGTTACCCAACGCTGTTATCTAAATTTAGACACAGTGAAATAAAACCTCGACTTTTCACCGCACAGAAGCAATCCCTCATTCGCGCTTCAAAGCAGTACAACGAAACAATAACATCGCATACCGAAAATCCCAGTAGCTAAACAGCTATGACAGTGGACCACAATGAAATCCCCATCACGACGACTGCACAGTACAAAGTTCAGTCAGTAGCCATTGATCAATGGGGGTTTAGAAAGCGGTACTTACACAGTCCCAATTGGTTCATATAGCTTTGAATGTTCGCATGAAGTCATATAGTGAATATGCTAGAACTACAGCCATAAATCGCGGACACTTCCTGCACTATTACTGAAAACAGTATCTTACCTCTCTCCCACGTAACACTGTATCACTGTATGAGAGTTGTAATCTACATAGTCAACTTGTAGATATATATGTCAACGAGCAACTGCATGCCCCGTGTCTTCAATGACAATGACAGCTGATACACTTCCTTGTTACCGCCTGCTCCGTCTCGGTGACTATTAACTATATATATTGGGTAAACCAGAGCCCGAAATAGATACTGCGTTCTGTTGAACAGGTTTTCATTGTAGGATAATTAATATCAACCATGCTTGCTGTCCCTAATATCTACATGGATAACACTTGACATATGACATAAAACATACAAGGCTGAGAGACAGGTATTTCTTGGTCAAAATTAATACGTTATTAAGTGTTTATTTACATCTGGCTAGCTATTCTCGAAACGGTCGTAGCACTACGAACTTCTGAAGCCCATTATTAACATATTGGCTACGTTCAAAGTGAAGAATTCTTAGGGCTACGAACGTTTCGAGAATAAGGGCCCAGGAAAATAAGTATCATATTAGTCTGCTCAAGAGATTTGCAGCTGTGGATCAGTGGTGATTTTCGTCAAGTATCTACGTCTAGCACGTCTAATGTTTACGTCTGGCATCTATGTCTTGGATCTTTGTCTGGCATTTCTGACTATCATTTACAGTTGTCCAGCGTCTTCTCAAAGCATCCATGTCTAACTTCAATGTCGGACATTAAAGCCTGGCATTTACCTCTAGCCCTGTCTTCATTGACGACCAGCATCTCCGATTGACATACTGAGAGAATCAAATGAAGGAACACAGGAAAATTCAAGCGTTCCTTTAATGCTTTCCAGTTTTTATCACCAGCTTTGAATAGCGCTGTGGGGGAAAACGATAATAAATATAGGAACGATGCCATGAAGTGGCGTTCCCTTATTTGATTCCCTCAGTATATTTACTTACAGCATCTATGTCTAGGATATTCGCCCTATATCTATTTCTAGCCTCAGCGGCTAGAATCCCTGCCCAGAATCAACTTCTAGCATCTGCGACCCAATAATCTTCACTCAAGTAGCTTAAGAGTGAGTGAGTGCGGTCCTTCGTTTGAATTTTTCTTTTTTCTTTTTTGGGGGGGGGTGGGTGGGGTGCACAGCTTTATGTTAAACAGCAATACGGCGTAGTTTAATGCGCAAAAACGTTAAAAGGCTTCGTGAATGTTTGCCCACTTATTAGAGAAAACACGGTACGTTGTTTTTAACACTGTTGTGAACAGCCTTCTGACACATAGACAGGACGTGTCAGCTTAGTGTGGGAGTAAAGCCTAGTGTGTTGCAGTTCTCCGACGTTTACGAAGATTCGAACCCAAGATCGCATAGGTTTGTGGGTATATGTGTTGGTTGGTTGGTTGGTTGTTTAACGCCGCACTCAGCAGTATTCCAGCTGTATGACGGCGGTCTGTAAATAATCGAGTCTGGACCAGACAATCTAGTGATCAACAGCAGTAGCAAAGATTTAGCATCGATCTACGCAACTGGGATACGATGGCATGTCTCAACCAAGTCAGCGAGTCTGACCGCCCCATCCCGTTGGTCGCCTCTTACAACAGTCATGGGTTACTGAAGACCAGTTCTAACCCGGATCTTCTCGGGTTATATGTGTATGTGCGCACTGGAAACTCCCAACCAGGACAAACATACATCCTTTTCGCTAGACTTGACTGACTGAGTTTGGTTTTACGCCGCTTTTAGCAATATTCCAGCAACATCACGGCGGGGGACACCAGAAATGGGCTTCACACATTGTACCCATGTGGGGATTCGAACCCGGGTCTTCGGCGTGACGAGCCAACGCTTAACCACTTGGCTACCCCACCGCTCCCGCTAGACTTGAACAGGAATCATAACAACAAAACCAACATCCGTAAAACTTGACATTGCAGAGCTGTCCTTTTTCACCGTGTGTGTGCGTTTGTGCGTGTCCGTGCGCCTGTGTGTGCAGCTTCATTGTGACACGTTAAGAAATATATATATAATTCTTAAATCATATATCAGATATATAGATGGTAGATTGATAGATAGATTGATAGATGGATGGATGATGGACAGGTGGATGGATGGATGGATAGATGGAAAGATAGATAGCCGATTGAATACAACCAGTCACGAAACTATTTTAACGTGTGTCACCGATACTGAAACCAGCAGGTAACAATTACTATCTGACAGGTGAAGGCCGTGTAGATATGCCGAGATATTCAAGTGCAACACATGTCAGGCCACGTCGCACATACTCTACCCACTTCAACGAGGAATAGTGAGTGAGTTTAGTTTTTCGCGGCATTCAGCAATATTCCAGCTATATGGCGACGGTTTGTAAATAAAAGGGGGGAGGGGGGTTCATTGATTTTTTACATAACATGCAGGGGGGTCATCTATTTTCTACATAAATCTTAGGGGGAGGCATTCATATTGTACATGCATCTCCATAAATATCATCATCACCCCACACCCCTAGCCATAAATTATGAAAGGTGCCTTATATCACAATTTTCATTATCTTGCCTTCACATGTGTTTGTAAGGTCTGCTCCCTGTGTCCCGGGATATGCTCATTTTTCAGCAAACAGTTGGAATTATCTCTTTTTGATAGTAAATCATTAACGCAAAATTATGATATAGTCATAGCTATACAATGTTCAATATAAAGTTTGCTACTTTTTTACACTTCTGTTTTTGTATAAACCGAGTTAAACCAGCAATTGTAGTAAGATAAAGAAGATGTGCAACCTTAATAATGTTTTAGTAGTTATGTTTCGTCACCGAAACTTGTATATGTAGTATATATGGAAAACCCGGAACCCAGTCCTTTCCATATCCTTTTCATTGTTTCATTGTTCAAATGAACCTTGTCTTATTCTTATCAAACCATAGACGTAGACACATGTTCACGATGACTTTAGTTGCAGCTCTAATTAAATTAATCTTTCGTATTTGTTCTGACTCACCATTTATGTTATCACAGATAGTAGGAGAAGCATGAATAACATGAGTCGACTGGTGTAACTATACCCATATTCTTGTTGTCGTGTCATGGTGTATATGTATATGTTTAGCTGCATCCGAATACTTGTATCGTATTTACTAATGATGTTATAGATGATATTCTAGATATATGAATTAATGGTTATACATACGTGTAAGTGTGCTTGTCGTATCGTTGTAAATACGACAACACAGGGGGTGTAGCTTTCTGTCGTTTATTCTCCGTGCCGGAACCCAAATACCATCCCTCGCCCCTGACCCTGTCGGGTCATCAGCCGGTCATCCCGGGACTGCCTACTTTGTTACACTATTCATTACTTACGTTTCATTTACAACATCTATAATAAACACACTTAGATGGACATCCCCAGTGTTGTCGTATGTACAACATCTATATTAAACACACTTAGATGGACATCCCAGTGTTGTCGTATTTACAACAACTATAATAAGCACACTTAGATGGACATACCCGGTGTTGTCGTATTTACAACAACTATAATAAGCACACTTAGATGTACATACCCGGTGTTGTCGTATTTACAACAACTATAATAAGCACACTTAGATGGACATCCCCAGTGTTGTCGTATTTACAACAACTATAATAAGCACACTTAGATGTACATATAATAAGCATTTACAACAACTTAATAAGCACACTTAGATGGACATACCCGGTGTATTTACAACAACTATAATAAGCCCGGTGTGTTGTCGTATTTACAACAACTATAATAAGCACACTTAGATGGACATTTACCCGGTGTTGTCGTATAATAAGCACACTTAGATGTATTGATACCCGGTGTTGTCGTATTTACAACAACTATAATAAGCACACTTAGATGGACATACCCGGTGTTGTCGTATTTACAACTATAATAAGCTATAATAAGTCGTATTTACACACTTAGATGGTGTTGTGTACATACCCGGTGTTGTCGTATTTACAACAACTATAATAAGCACACTTAGATGGACATCCCAGTGTTGTCGTATTTACAACAACTATAATAAGCACACTTAGATGGACATAAGCACACTTAGATGTACATACCCGATGTACATACCCGTTGTCGTATTTACAACGATACGATAAGCACACTTACAATACTTACATGTATGTACACATAACCATTAATTCATATATCTATAATATCATATTTAGCATCACTACGATACTTACCAACTCGAAAACATTCACAGGAAGACAATTATAAGTTTTAACTGGACAATGTTGTTGTTTTTTACTCAGAATGCATACTACATGCAACTATGTTTACAAGACAGTGTATCATGGTTTTGCATTTTGAACCCTCTCGCTTGGTGGACGAATCTTCACGGTCTCGTGTGGGTTGTTTAGGGTAGGCCTGGTGACGGATGTATTTTGCTCATGACGGAGACAAAGCTCAGAAAGTAGTCCACAAGGTGAGTGAGTGAGTTTAGTTTTACGCCGCACTCAGCAATATTCCACCTATATGGCGGCGGTCTGTAAATAATCGAGTCTGGACCAGACAATCCTGAAATTATCAGCATGAACATCGATCTACGCAACTGGGATACGGTGACATGTGTCAACCAAGCCAGCGAGCCTGATCACCCTGTCCCCTCAGTCGCCACCTACGACAAGCATGTGTTACTGAAGATCAGTTCTAACCCGGATCTTCACGGGTCAGTCCACGAGGTAGTGTTATGCTGTAACATAGCAAACAATGAACAAAAACGGTTTGAGATTATCAATATTTGTTTGCTTTGCCTACTGTAAACATGTTTTGACATTTTATTTCTCGATTACATAGAAATTGAAATAAATCACCAGAAATAAAACAGGACGGAAGGACAATGGTTGCCAAACCGGTTGCTCAGAGCGTCACTATTTCCTGTTTGTATCCAAACAATAATAATAATAGTCCATTTATATTGCGCGTTTATCCATGCACATTGCATGCTCAAAGCGCTGACATATTACCCCTGGGCAACCAGCACAGAACACTCCATGTGGAGAATACAACCGGTCGCCTGTCAGGCGTTCAAGGTTCAAATTCAGTCTACCTTCGTATCATACCAGGTACCCAATTTTACTGCTGGGTGGACAGAGGCAATTTTGAACAAACTCACTTGCCTA